GGGGGGGGGCTCTGATACTCTTGTTGCCGAGGTTGAAAGCTTTAGATACGAGCTATCTCTTATATCTCGAAGAAGAAATGACAGACTTGCAACACAGCAATCGTGAATAACAATCACACTGGCTATGGTTGTGATGTTGTCCACCTGGCTGTCTGAACGCATGCGTGATGGAGTTGCTGTATTCCAGGTCTCCAGAAGGCAAGTTGCGGCTTGTGTGCTCTTTGCAATTTGTGTAAATACTGACAAACGTTGTGACTGCTTGCGATTGACTCCAGACTCAGTTGTGCTTTTGATGCTTTTTTTTTGGTACCCACAAAGGTACAAGAGAACAACTCTGAATATTTTTTTTTTGGTTAAGACATTGCATTGATATCGATTACGATATTCGATCTTGAAAATATTACATGGTTTGCAAGTCTGTTAGTTTGGTTCTGACATAATGAGCGAGTTGGAAGACGTTGTGAATGACAAGAAAAGTCTAGTCATGTAGTCAACTGCGGTATGTCGGGCTCCCGTCCGCGAAATTGTGCACCTCCAAAATGAATTCACCTACAGATGATCGGCGCGAGATTACCCGTATAGATAAAAAGCCAATGAGGCGCATGCCGAATAGTGATGTACGTTTTGAGCTGTACCTCTACACATTTTGGTATGCCAAGCCGCTGATCAGGGAATATGATTTGCTCGCTTTGCAGTATCTGCCTATGCATGGCACTCTATGATTGGGTAAAACATCAACCAGAGTCACAGACAAAAAATCCGGTGCAGAAATGAGCCTTGAGCGGCAATGCAAGATGCGAAGTCGTACTGTTATCCCACCCTACTTCATCGGGAGCCTCGCGAAGGCCCCCAATGGAGTCATTTATAAGCGAAAGTCTCACATTGTGCAGTCTCACTGTTACACTCACATGAGGCGCAGGGTCGGGGTGGAGGGCCCAGCAAGTCAGCCTTCCGCACTTGGTATCTTCTTAAATTCCGATTGTTGGACTGGTTTTTCTTGCAGTATCGGTTCCGGGTTTTACTCACGTTGTCGTTCACCACTGAGCACAGGCCATCACCGCTGTCCACCTTGCTATCGGTCCTCCAATTTCATAATCATCACTATGAGCGACTGTGGAACTCTGGGAAGTCATGAGGGAAGCCCTGAAAGCTTCACGTCATCCACATGCTATGCAAAGTCGATCGCCACCACGCATATTGGCGACGAACCCCGCGCCGAAGAGAGCAAGGCAGCGCTACATTACACTCCCGAGCTTCTATCATACTTAACTCATTTCGTTTCACTGTTGTTCACAGCTGTAGTATTGCAGCTGAGCTTTAGAGAAGTGTACTGGGCAGATGAGGACGGATGGAGGCATAGTGGATGGTCACTGGGACTATCGCAACCCGTCATGGCGGGACTACTCCAATTCGCCGCAAAGCTTCACGAAGTCTGTATCCTCGCATCACTTTCCGCAATCGCCATTGACATTATTCGAAGAAGGCTCCTCGTCTCTCGTGGAGTGCCATTTGGTTTTGTCATGGGTGGTTATCGTTTTGGGTCCGCAAGTTCTATCTTCAGTGGCTCATTCTGGGGCCCATTCACCGATGCCATTCGCCATGGCAGATTTGAACTGCTCGGCCTCGGTTTACTCTTGGGACTTGGTGCAATATATGCCAATGCTATCGGCCCCGCGTCGGCGGTCCTTATGGTCCCAACGCTAAATTGGTGGCCGGCATATGATCTCACGGCGCTGATGGTTGGTAACGGGCCATTCTACCCCACTAGCATTACCGCAGACAACTGGATGATCGCTTCTTGCTTGAGACAGAGTGAAGACCTCCCTTTCGGGTGCCCGGGCCTTGGTGCTAGCGACCTCCAGAATGCCGACTATTACACAACGCCCGAAGATTTAGCAAATCGTAGCTTGACGCAGCGGTATGGAAGAGCCCGCAGAAATCTATACACCAGCTCTGCTATTTCACCATCGTGGAACTCTACCCTTCACATTTCATCGACGATACACTCCGTTGTAATGGAGGCTATTGGGCTTGTTGGACGCTTCGTTTCAACCTTTCCGGACATGAATTCGAGCATTTCCAGGGTCGGACGGCCACAACTGGAGGCAACTAATTCTGCAGGCGTAATGAGCCCAGTGGTTCAGACGGAATGCGCGTCTGCACGCTTGAACGGAATTCTTGACGGAACCGATACTTTGCTTTTCCCAACTAGCATACTGTCTCGAATGAATGTTACAAGCCAAATTTGGCCTGTTCCCGAAGAGTATTGGCCATTCGCAGACAAGCCCCCGTTGGATGGCTACCTCGAGCCAAACTTTACTTGGGTGGATAGGGCCATCTTCCAGCTTTCGGACCAGACTTCTGCCAGTATTGGCGCCATAGTTGCAATACCATTCGACCATCCTCGGACTCAAGTTAATTTTAACAATTATGGGCATGATGATGTTTTCCTTGTTGCATGCGTCCTTGATGCAAGATGGGCTGCGACTGACATAAGCTACGATCCGGGAACCAGCGACACAGTTGTTAGTAACTTGACTGACATGTCTCTGTTTACTGGAGCAGCAGCCGACACAGATTTGCGCTTCAGATACGGTATCAGCGATTCAATATATATTCCGACTGACTGGGCAGACTTGCTAAATGCGCCTGTCGCGCCGCCGGGCTATGAGGGCATATGGTCTTCTGCTATTCAAAACTACCTAAAGCGTTTCATGACAGGTCGACCGGATGGTAACCAAAATGCCATATCTGACATTTCGAAGTTTCTGAGTCTCACATTGGTCGATGGCCTGTCACGATCTGGGACCGAAAACATGACTTTTTGGGTAATGAATCGGAATTCATTAATATTCGACTGGACCTTTTCTGATCTTTCCGGAAGTGGGGACTTCGAATTTCCAAGCGAAACAGTCACGCAAGCTGGTACGACAGTCACATTCAAGGTGCAGAGATATGGCTGGGGCTATGGAAACAACTCAAAGACGGCCCGCTTTGCCATTAGCATTCTATTGATACACGCAGTATTTGCCGTGGTGTACATGATTTTCACGATTGCCCACTGGTTCATATATCGATGGAGCAGCAGGTCTTGGAAGAATATGGAACAATTGTTCGCTCTGGCCATGGTTTCGACCCAACCGCCAAGTTTGAGAGGCGTATCCGCTGGAGTTGGAACTTGGGATACTTGGAAAATAGATGTTGCCATCAGAGAAGGCCAGGAAGAAGGCCAGGATCTGAATGACCGGATTGAGCTCGTTTTTGGTGAAAGAGATGGAGGACCGATTGGGAGGAGAGAAAGGCAAATACGACGAAGAAAAAGATACCAATAGAGAAATGGCAGCTCATGGGCTGATTAGCCTATCAATCACATTCTAAACTAATCCTAATATTGACAAGCCATCGGTAAACCTCAATTGGCAAGTCCATTCTCTGGCTTCCGGGGCGCCCGTTTTTCCGCTGCTCCCCACAGATGTCCGATCTTGCTCCGCGTTTGGGAGCGACGCCGTCAATCCCCGAACTCGGCCGGATCCCCGGGTACTTCCATCCCATCATTCCAAATCAGACCATCAATTGAACAAGATTTTTAGCACATGCAGAAAATCCACCTCCAACTACCGAGGGGGGGTCGCGCCAGTCCGCCCTGGAGTTTGAATCTTTGGAGGTGCTTTGGAGAAGAAACCGTCAATCTTTGTCCATTTTAAGGTTCTTAGTGCACGATAGTTTGACGCGATGGGCACACGACTATTATAGCTCTAGCCCCACTTGGCGTTCACAACGTCATTGATGGACCTTTAGGTCAAAAGGGGACTTGAGGGACCTTTTTTGGGGGGCTCGGGGGGTTCCTGTCAAGGTCTGGAGCTGGAGCTGGAGCTTGATGGATGGGCTTTATGGGGCTCACATGTCAAGTACTTTTCGGAACATCGTCGGTGTGTCATCGCAAACACACCCCAATTTGGTAGTATCTAGAAAAAGACCAAATGTTTTAGGACTGATTGGGTCATCTTTGATAGCATCAACACCACACGTAAACGCATTTTCGTGGTTCTTGTTGCTATATAACAAGGCGCAGGTTTCCTGATTTCGACAGTCAATCCGACGGAGCCGGAGACTAAACCTTTTGGGATCTCCACTGGAGAGGGGAACAAAGAAAATCACCACAACACTCAACAGAAAAGAACATGTCGACTGCGGCCACGGCGACGCTGAATGGCAGTGCCGAGAAGCCGGTCACGGTTCAGACCGAGACGGAACTGTCCCTTCTGTACCGCATCCTGCGGACCGTCATCAAGCCGCTGCGGCCCCGCCTGGTGAAGCCGAGCAAGAAGACACAGCCAGCCGGCAGCCCACGCCTGCTGAGCCGGCCGCGGAGCAAGCGGAAATTCAACATTAGGGAGCGCCGGCACCCTGATTCCGGCATCTGGCTGTACGACTACGAGCCCCAGGCGCCGCCCAACATCAAGATCAAGGCCCCCTCGACCATCTACTACTTTGCCGGCGGCGGATTCCAGAGCCCGCCCTCGCGCGAGCACTGGACTTTTCTGGGCGAGCTGGCCGCCGGCCTGACCCTCGACCACCACGTCACCCTGGTCAGCTACCCGCTGGCGCCGGCGAGCCCGGCCTCGGAGTCGCTGCCGGCGCTGCAAAAGCTCATGGCGCCCGTGTTTGCCGAGGCGGCGAAAAAGGGCGACAAGATCACCCTCATGGGCGACTCGGCGGGCGGCAACGTGGCGGCCAGCCTGGCGTTCTGGTGGGCCGAGCACGTCGCCTCGCGCTCGGGCGACTACCGGCTCAAGGCGACGCTTCAGAACCTCGTCGTCGTCTCCCCCGCCGTCGACCTGCGCAACACCAACCCGGCCATGCACGGCGACCTTGACCGCCTGGATCCCCTGCTGGGCGCGGCCTACACGGGCGCCGTCGCCGAGGCTTGGCTCGCCGCGCCGCCCGAGCACCCGCACCTCGACTCCGTGGCCGAGGACCCGAACGTCTCACCGCTTCTGCACGAACCCGCTGCGTTTCAGCGACTGGCGGATCTGGGTGTGCGTGTGCACGGTGTTTACGGTACCAACGACGTTCTTGCTCCCGACACGGAGTTGTTTAGGCATAAATGTGAGGAGAATGGAGTCAGGGGGCGTTGGCTGGTGTGGGTTGGTCAGATGCATTGTTTTCCGCTCGCCGGCGCGTACGGAATGCGAGAGGGCAAGAAGGCTATAGACTGGTTGGTTCAAGTCTTGAAGAGTGACGATGATTACTACCATCATTAGTCCAAAGTAAAGGAATGATTGACGTGTACGGATATCAATGGTAGCCAATGGCACAAGTTATGATGACAGTAATGATAATATTATACTTTGATATGAGTGGATGTTGAATGAAAATGCGCCGGCTATCATGATTACATGGCAAGAAATTTGCCCACCTACTCAATGGTACACTCTGGCACCCTGCATTTCCCTGGTTCCATGTCTTGGCCCTGGGATCGTTCTATCCTATGTCTACGCCCCTTCAAACGCCAAAGTTATCGCCAGGGATGTTTGCTGAATATGTTGTCGAAGCAAGGCTCTGCAGCGTTCTGATGTCTTGGAGCTTTTATTGTCGGGGTCAGGGTGCATTGCCTGGGTGCGTATAACCGCCAAAGGACAGATTATTCAGGATGGCTGCCCCGTAATCCCCAGAGTCACCGTAGAAGAAGTTCTGGTCCAAGCCAAGTCCGTCAAACAAGTCATGGGCAAAATTGGTATTGTTCTGCCAGGGATCGAAACCCATATGAGGGGCGAGTTCAATAGTTTGTGACTTTTCGACTCCGTCCATGGGCCCCTCGGCCGTCTCTATTGGGCCAAATGCAGTCTCGGCGTCCGAGACTGGCGTACTTGAACTGGCGGGCCCCTCGCCAGGTTGGTACTTGCTGAGCAGCACGCCCTCGGCCCCAATCGTCGAGACAATTTCGGCCCAGCGCTCAAGCTTTAGCTTGGTGATGCTAATCTTCTTGGCCGCCAGGTCCCAGAGGTTATTGTCCCAACTGCCACCTTGTGCTTCGCTGACCTCTGACCTCGCCTGCTCGAATCGCACAACCATGGCCCGCAGAATACCAACCACGTCAAGCTGCAGCTCGGGGGACGACTGGATCTGCTCCTTGATTCGCGCTACTGCCGAAGCTACCGCGGGCTCCGCGTCTGGGAATTTGGAGCTGTCCGGCTCCACCGGGGACGGCTTTGAGAACGACGACGGATCTCGCAGTCCTTGAGCTTCGGCTCTGGCGTTCAAGGTGTCTGGGCTATCTGGATCGACGGGACTCTGTGGCACTTCGACTCCCGCCAGCTTGGCCCATCTTGACAGCAGCGTTACGGCGACGAGGAGTTGTGCACAGGTGGGCATGGGCAGGTAGTAGTAATCGGTAATCTCAAAAGACAGCCAGAGCTCGAACCACTTTTTCAGAGCGGCATTGGACCGATAGAATGTATCTAGAGTCGAGGGCGCGCCGAGAGACAAGGACGTGAACGAGTCCGAGAGGGTTTCAAGTAGTTTTGCGTCGACTATCGGAGGTTCCCACAGTTTCAATCCCGCCGTATGAAAGTGAACCATTAATAGTTCTGTCAAGGTCAGCATATAAATCGAGTGATATGCAATGATCTGTACGTACTGTTGGATCGGAGGTATCGTGGTATTTGAGCGTCAAACTTGTCGAGTTCAGTCTGAAATGCGTTGAGGTATGCGCTGACTGGTGCACGCGGGATTCCAGGTAGGCTGTCGTCCAACTGGTCTTTGGATTGCAGCTGTCCTATGCGATCGCTCAGATGCTGAATACGAATGAGCTGTGCCAGCAAAGAGTCTGTTTCATATTCCTTTTCCTTTTCAAGGTCGCGTAGACACTGCTCCATATACGGAGTAAAACGAGCAGCGTCAATTTTCTGAAAGGTGAAAGAAACACTGGTAGTAATCAGCATTTTGTCATTGCTGCAAAGTGAATCCCAAGACAACTTACACGGAGCTCATGTACCACATTCCACAAAGCGCCCGCTTCTCATCATTCGTTCTGGGGCTGGGAACCTGGGGGTTGAGAACGAGCGCACGAGTCCTTTCCTGTATCTCTGGCGGCTTATTTAGACCCAGGTCTGCAACCAGACTCGTCGCAAGGGCCACTAGATTTGATAATTGTGTATGCATCATGCATTGATAGTGGTAAAAGCCCGTGACAACCAGAATTGCCTGTAGCAATTCAAGTGACCGCTGCGAACGCATCATCAGATGTTCGGTGAGGTGCTTCATGATGATGTAGCCCTGGGCCATCATGGACTTTAAGTTGCGGACAGATGCAACCATCTTGATCGCACCAAACAGGATGGGCTTGGTCCTTTCCATCTCCTGAGCCGAGATTCCAGGCCGAAGCACGACAAAGGGGAACGTAGGGCTGAGTTTTGTCACAAACACTGATAATAGGGCCTCGTCTGACTCAACAGGCAGATACGAGGCGCCGATGGGTGCACGGCAAATACATGTCGGCGGAGCATAACAATTGTAGGTCGCTGGTACGACACCTGCGGGGTCCTCTGATGATGTTGCCGGCGTCGACCCAGGACTCGTTGTTGAACGCCAGGTTCCTGGACCGAGTGGGCCGGTTTCTGATGGGATACACTAATTGACGCCATGTCAGTCCTTGAACATGAAACAAGAGGGGATATCATCATACTGTTGGGTCTTCTGTGGGCGGATCGCGTAGACTAGCCGGCAGTTCACCCGAGTTGGATGCTTTGAGTAAGTCGACGAGGCTATTGAGTCTCTCCTCTAGTTGTGCAGTTTTGCTTGATGCCACGTTAGCATGAATAAAGAGTTTGTATACGACTTTATAGGTGCATGTCATGCCATAGCGGCCGTCTTTGCCAAGAGCTATAAAAGTGTCCTTTGGGGCAGCTCCAAGGCGGACGCTTGTCCATGGCATCGAGTGAGGCCGAAAGCCTTCCAGGGAATACATGGGGGTCGGGGAAGTATTGATTTCGCCCAAAGACAATAGTTGTATGACTTCGCAGCCATCACGCAACCCATCTTGTTACTATAACCATTCTATGATGTTGATAAGGACAATAGTTGCTCCGGAACATGATATTCTGAAAGTCGAACGATAGATCCATGCTGGCTTATAGGGGTAGAGAGGAAAATAAAGTAGGAGATGCATGTACTCACGATGGTTTGCTTTGCCGCTTCTTCCTCGGTTTGTGGACCTGGTCCACGCAGTCCTTTTCAAGCCTCTCACATCTGCCAGCGATGGGAATAGTCAGTCATTATTCATTGTAAAACATGATCCAATATAGCGATTTAATTGCCGACTATAGCATGTGCATCCACGTAGGTAGAGACCGGATGTATACATGAGGATTCTTTTGAGATTGCTGCAATACTGTGGCGCTTGACCTTTCCGTGTGCTTCTTGTCCTTGGCAGATGGGAAAATACGCTTGGCGTAAAACCATATGATTTCAACTTGAAGTATAGAGGGGGATTGATTCACACAAAAAAAAAAAAAAAAAAAAAAAAAAAAGAAGAAAAAAAAAATATGGGACCGGATTACTGAAAACTCACGATATACTGACCTATCGCATTTGGAGCCCAGAGAATCGTTGGACCTCAGACACTTTGCCTTTGAGTTGGCACACGGCGCACATGCGGCGCCCCACTTTGCAATATTCATTGCGCTCTTCGGTCGGTCGGCCATGTTTCTGCAAACTGCCCGTGTCCAGCGAGGCTAGACAGATGTGCGGTGGCCCAAGGTCTTTTTTCTCCGGGGGTGGGCGTTGCGATCGATACACTCCCAAAGCAAAAACGTGTTTACCGGCGACCCGAGACGGGCGGAGTTTTGGAGGTCAGAGAAAAAGGCCGAAGATTGATGAAAGGAGGGACTGGAGTGGATGATGCTTATGGGGGTAGAGGGATTCTGCCTAGCGTATCTCTAGCAGCTGCTAAAGAAAGCACGAGTAGAGTGTCCGAAACACAACATGTCATCTTGCCCAATACTTTGGTCCTGTCATAATCTGGACACTTTTGCGACACTGGCTTCGCGCGGACTTGAATCCACGAATTCCTATTCCCGATGGAATTCATTATAAAGAAACTCGGGCTAAATCCAGACAAGTATCTCATCGAAATTATTCCAGATTGGTCAATATTTTTTTCACTCAACCAAAACTTAATCTACCATGTGATTGTCCAGCTGTATTACATCCAGTCTATTGTGAAATTATTCGCCAAATCAGACGCATCGTGTGCGGTTCTGCAACATCAATACTGACAGAAACAATGGCAATAGTATATACTTGCGGGGTATCCTTGGTAATGACTTCGTAACTCATGATCCTAGCGTTGGCAGTTGCCATTATGTTTACGTCAAAGCATAGAGTGAACCTTCAGGGTCCTGGTCTACTTCGACGCCATACTCTTGTATGATTTCGCCGTCAAGTCTTTTCTGGACGCGATCTGCTTCCTCAATGCGTCCGGCGTTCCTGAGATTCTTTTCCAACTTGCCAAGAAGCAAGAGTAGACTACTTTCCCTTGACTCCAAATACTGCACCCAGTTCACAGTCATGTTATCGGGATATCCAGGGTACGTGCTGGGAGGCCGGCTGAGCTCGTCCACTAGCTCCTGGTTGACCTCGATTGCCCCGTCCAAGTCTTTCATCCTCAGGAGCGTTATGATCAGAATGATGCCGGCATAGACTTTCTCGTAAGGGCAGTCCTCTTCCGACTCCCGAACATCCCTAAGAATGGAAAGTGCTTCGTTGAAAAATCGATTACGCGAGAGGGTTGAGGCGAGTTCGGCTTTCAAATGTAAAGTTGGGAGGTTCTTCTTTTGCGCATGCAGAATGAGTCGATCAAGGACGGGCTTGGCCTCATATATTCCCATCATGCCAGTGGCTTCCATCAAGCTGGTAGTTAGCCCGCGCATCTCCGTGATGTGCCCGAAAACGTTGGTAAAATTCTCCAAGAAAGGCTCCAAATGGTCAAAATAGCAGTCCATGAAGGGCCGAATGAGTTGGGCGAATTCAAAACTGCCCAGAGTGGACAATTGGCTGAAGACAATAAACAATGGGTGATGCGCGCCGAATATTACATGGCATAACTCGGCTATGTATTTCAGCAGAGTCTGTGCCAGATTTCGACCAAGTCTATCATAAAACATGCAGCGTATTGTCTGTTGGCACATGTAGATGACGACCCGGGGATCTTGGGGCTCAATTACGCCTTTGGTATTGGCAAAACAGCGCTTCATGATCCGAAAGGCCTTTTTGACCTTCTTTTCTCTGAGGCAATCGAAACCATGGTTGAAGTCGTTGTACCAATGTTCTAGCTTGGCGCTATCAGCCTCATATCGAGACGTGTCTCCCGTTGCCAGTGACCATACTCCAGTGGCATACGTGGAGGAAATGAAGTGTCGCGCGTAGAACATGGACCTCTCCGGAAGGAGATCGGATGGATGAGACTCAAGGGCGCGTATTGTACCCAGCGGCTCGGTAAGTCTGGCAAGGTATCGTGCACGCTTGGCGCTGTTGGGCGGCGATAATCCAAGCTCAGTTTCCGGTAAATTAGGGGAAGCTCGGCGGGATTTCGTGGATGAGCGAAGCGACCGAGGTCTCGCAGACGGCATCGCTTCAACATCTCAAGTCAGCTATTGGGCCATTTGAATCGCACCACCACGAGATGGACATCTAGAAACATGTGGGTGGCTAAAATTAGTACTATACCTTCTGCAGATTGTGGTTCATCATCATCGCCATGAAGTTCCGAGACAAAGGATGACGAAACGTCTTGATTATTGTTGGAAGGAAGAAAAGGAGGGGGGTGTATTCGACTTTGGTCGAGGAAGTCTTTCCACCCTTTCGGAACCGCACCTTGGAGGTCAGGTACTATGTAATCTGGTTTGCGCGTCTTGGGCTGTTCAGCAGGCGGAACTGCATCTGCTGTGCCCAAAGGGACAGCGCCATCCTCACTAGGAACAGATGGCTCGACCCGGCCACTCTCTACATTGGTTTGGCGATGAGTAGCGGCGGTTGGGGAGGTAGACTCGATGCTTCTACCAGCCGTACTGGAGCTGGTATCTGCAGCTTCACGAGATCGAGAGTCGGAGCCAACGCTTTCGGCATCCTCTGAGTCCTGGCGACGCCTCTTGCGTTCCTTGGCTTCCTTCTTTGCCTCTCCTGGCTTTGTCTTGCGCAAGCCCCATTTCTGATAGATTTGGGACTGGAACATCTTGGGACTGGAAATTTAAACATGTTACTACGTGTTACTATAGTGCCAAGACATGGGGTAGCGATTATATGGAGGACGGGCGCGCTTACGTCGCATGAAATTGATGTTCCTCACGCATTACACGCATCACGACAGGCAGCGAGTGGCACATGAACAACGCGGTGATTGTGTTGCGAAACTTTTCCCAGTCCTGAGGTTTAGCCCACTGGGTCTTGGTCCCGGACGGGGCGACGTTGAGCGTTGACGGCTCCATTTTCGCGGTGGTGGTGAGCTGCGCGAGGCTTTCCTGCTAAGGCGCAGCTGCTGGGAAGATTGAAGAAAAGTAAATACATGACCGGCGGCGACGGTGAAAAGACACGGGCGGACAGCACGGGAGGGTGGTGAAAGCTGGGGGGGGGACTGTGCTGGCCGCATCGCAGGGGGTCCATTGGTGGGGAGTCGACGATTGTCGCATCCTTGTCCAAAGCTGGCGGCCGTCCAATTATGGCCCCCGCATCGATCCATCAGGAGGTGCAGGGCTACACAGCTAAGCCCTTTTGGAATCTGGCTTCATGCTGCCAGGATGGAATCGAGAGCATCATTGGTTCCAGGAATAGATCATGTGATCTAACCGCTTGGTAATCTCGTGTGAATGGCCGACAACTCTCGGGATGGGTGAGCCCAGAAGAAAGATCCAGGAGGCAGGATCTAAATGATACAGACCTCGACCTCAAAGTCACTTGTAGGGCAACGATCAGCGTTGGGGACTTGGCGCAATGCACGGAGCAGGGCGCAGTCCCTCCGTAACAGCCACCAGCCCGCGACAAGTTGGCGCCCGCCTTCCGTCGGGGAGCCTGGCCGCTGCCGTCGCGCACAAAGATGTGCACTAAAGGCACTAAAGGCAATGCAGTGCCCCGTGCGCCAACTCTGTATTTTGTCAATGATTAATGTAGGCAGCCCAATATGGGTTGGTGGGAATAAGCCAAATAATGCACGCCTCCAATGCTGGCGGGGCTGCCTTATCTTGGGGATACCTACCATGTCTTTGCGCAGCTCCATGTAGAGATGCAATCGTCTACGGCTGGGCGAGCGAGCAAGCGGGCAACTTGCAACTTGCAATTTGAAATGCAGGCAGGCAGCCTCGGATTCCTTTCCCTTTCGTCTCATCTCATCGCCGGCGCGCCCGTTCTTTGCAGCGTTGCATCGCGCGATCGATCCATATCTGGTATGCAGTAGCACCGATTTACTTACAGGTTGAGTCGCGCATGTACAAAGAGCCACGTACCTCGGAGATGGACCCGTCCTGCAAGCCATAGCTGCACGGAACGATTTGCTGAAATCCATAATTCCTGTAGTGAACGCATGAAACGGGACAAGCCACGCCCGAAATGCATTAATTGCCCCAGTGCAAGCGAAAGGACGGAAGTAGCGCTGTTTTTGAAAATGATTTCATTGGATTGAGAGAGCAAGGGAGAAAACTATTCTTTCAGATGTAAAGTAAAATGCGCCGTCCAGACAAAAAAAAAATATATGCAAAGAAACGGATGAGGGGGCTCATCGTTGACAAATGGATTCCGTTGCCACCCTCCTTGGATCAGGCTTACTTGCCCGCCGCTGTGGGAGCAGAAGATCTCCACCGTCTTTGAAAGCCACGTCCATTGGCACCAATTGGCCGCGAGGCCTGAGGCGAGTCTTGTAGTTGACTCGAGCTGCCGGACATCAAGTCTTGAAAATGCCCAAATAATTAATTCCCATTCTTTTTATGTTCATGCTTCGTCGCCTCCCGAGCTGATGATGCCCATGCCTGTTCTCTTCTCGAGGGCCGGCTCCTATTTAAGCAATGTTAGTCATCTTGTTGGTTCCCCACAATAAATCGTAAAAGGTGACGGGCTATAGTACCTCGGCGTCCCGCTTGGAAGCAGTAGTTGTCGAAGTGCACACTTCTCCATATCCTGTCCTCTTGGCATTCTGTGAATTGCGTAGTGTTAGTACCTGTATCTATACGCATTGTAAAAGTCGGGAAGGCGGTTGCAACATACCGAGGTGCAAGACTCTGGTACGGGCTCAGGTGCACGCTTAGATTCCGATGCTCCGTTTACACCGAGTCCATTGGCAGTCGATTGTGGTGTGGGAGCAGCAAAGGCGGTGGCGGCAAGAGCCAGAACGGTCATGTAGGTCTTGAACTGCATGTTGGCGGTTTGGTGATGGTTTATGGAGTTGAGAAAAGTTTGGGTTTATAAGATGAGGAAGTGTGGACAAGATGTTTTGATGGATATTGGAGAGGAAGTAGATTGTGATGTAGGCAGTGCTTAAGAAGGTAATTGTATGTTGATGATGAGAGAATAGAAAAAAGATGATTGCCAGAAGAAGGTCTGACCCTTTTATAGACATGTCGAACGATATCCTCAGCATCTTGACATCTGGAGACGGAATACTTTGATCCACATGCGGTGAAGAATGTGACTTTCCTTATCACAAGTCTAATGTGACTAAAATGATACCATTTGGAGGATCATGGCCCCCGGGAAAATGTATTGTTCACATCGCGGTCAGTATACTCATGGCAAGTGATGCAAGTATAGGATACCGGCAAAGGCAGATATTGGCCGGCAAGGGGCGGAGGGATGAGGGAGGGGGCACAAAGCCGACACGGACCCCATCGGCCCCGGGACCCGTCAACTAAGGCAGCATGAGCGCTTGGTTTACCAATCGGGTGCAAAATCACGTTGAAGCCATGTTGAAAGAACCATGCTTGGAAGATTTTTCTCCTACATTAATCATGGAAAAAAGGTGGCCTTGAATCTAGACGTGGTCGGCCGGTTCGGACTTTGTGATACTAGAATTTTTGACGTCGACATTGGTTGCTCTGACAATAGCCAATTGAACCAATCAGAGTGGTGGAAGCAAGGATCAAAGGTGTAAGTCGAGAGGGGCAAGGTCGTCTGCAAGGAACAGCGGCTAAACGCTTCAATTGCAATGCGCTGCAGGGATGACGGCTGAGACTAGTTCTTTTAGGCCTTGAACAGGCAGTCTTGAAGAACCTCTCACTCCATTGACGATCACGAATCCGTCACATAATCACACTCGCCTATATGAGTGATAGTGATGATTTATGCTAAAGAAACTTCAGATGGTCGCAGATCAACTCGTTCACCTCCCTAATATCGCGGAGTCAGGGTAGTAGTCTCCGACGTCGCACAAAATTTCTTTAGCAGAAAAAAGGCTCTGCAAGAGAAGCTTCCATGTACTCTTGCTTTACAAGCCTCTGGTCGCTACATTATGCATGATTGGACCCCCTTGTCTCTGTGTTGACATCTCGTATCATTGTGCTATCAAGGCTTTTTCAAACGTCCCAAAAGGGGAGAGTAAGCGGTGGTTCGGAAGTCGATCCTAGATTTGATTAATGGCTCGTACATGTACGTTCTTTTATTGTATCCCAAATGCGGGCTACAATATCCCGTCATATACTGAACTCTCTCCTTCCCCCACAATCTTCCTACAGCAACCATGAGTGGGGCAATAAACACGCCGCTTGCCCCCATGTCAACCTCTAATGACACCAGTACTATGTACACAACGCCTGTAGTAGCAAGGCTACCACACCTTCTCCTTTACACAACAACATTGCAAATGTCGATCGTATCCCAGCGGGAGACGGTTCATTTCCATTCTCCTACCTATCCCTTTTTACCTGAATACTACCCAGGTCGAACCACGGGTATCTGCTGCTGTCATACTCGACGAGGCGGCGGTGGCAATCATCATCCTGTCTCATAGGGTCAAATCTTCCAATCAAAAATCATAATAATACTCCAAGTGAACCATTCGCCTGGAGCGTCGTTGAAACAAGAGTGCTTGCTTGATGCACCAACAACGGCCTGAAGAGCCGACCCTCGTCCCGTGTTTGTGATTCGCTGTCCCTCGTGTGCCCTGGGGTTCCCCGTATGCATCAAGCAGTGCACACTCGTACATACGCACAATATTGCTCGTCACTCTTCATCGTCATTTTCCGGGTTCCAAGAGGCTGCAGCCACCAGTTAGTGACCAGGATTATTCCACGAGGGGCTTTGTCCCGCCAACATCCAGAGTGCCAGCCGGAATGGAGAATGAGATGCCGGTAGTATTTTGACATTTGAGGACCCCTGCATCACTTTGCCTCTTTTAAAGAAAAAGATTGCGGATTGATATGTGATGGCATTAGCTCGTGGTGATGCAGTAGTTTGCGTCCACTTGAATGTTTTCTTTTCAGAGGATGGACTTGTTGCTCTTGACAATGGGCTAGAACGCCACCACCTCGTGAGAATATCATGCGCATTTGTAATCCACGTTGCCATCTACGCTGCAGGGCAGAAAAAAAGAACCTGAATCCTGTGTACTCTGTGTGATACCTCCTCCTTGATATGTCCCACTTGCTCGATTTCAGTATATATGTACTATTGACTGATGTACACAACATGTCGCGGGCAAAGTTTACTAACCGAGACTAGCCCTTTGCTCCACTGGTCTGTGCCTCGATCAACGACAAGCATCAGTCAATGTACACTACCAAATGGTAACAAGAAACGGAGGATCCCTTGTCAGCTTGCCAGAAAATGCTGGGCAACATGTCCAAAGGGTTCTTTCTGCAACAGAGTTGCATATGTACATATCGCCATTGAGCACGCAGGATTCCGTCTAGACCGTCACACGGAAACAGTTCCTCCTCATCTGCATTGCGGTGCACGTTTAAGATTCAGTGACACGTTGAAAACCCACTTCTCATTTGGTTCTGTCAAGGTGACAAAAAGTTCCCGGGCCCATGCCGATTCGTGTGATTGATGATGGTGTAGCGCCACAAGTCAACAGAACAGCTTCCCATGCGCTCCGAGAGGCGTTCGGGATGGATTGTGCTGTGTTGTGCTACCGTACCAAGGCACTCGCTTTCACCTTGTCACGTCACACCACTGTCACACAAATTCAAAACAAAATTAAATGTTCCGTAAAATAAAATGTTATATTTTGGGTGTAATTCGATCACGAAAACTAGGAGATAAGTAAATAAATAAAACCGCATCTTGGCTGCGTGGATGTCGGAAACGACTAGATGGCAAGGCAGGTAGGTAGGTAGGTACCTACAAAGTAATGTAGGTACCTAGTAGGAAACTCGTAGGTACATTTGCTATTGTACAGGAGCTAGCTTCGCTAGTGTGCTAACCTTAGTGTCGTCATATTGCGGGCAAGGGTCAGCTTGCGCCCCATAGCAACGCAAGGTGCTGCAGGCAATATAGCGGCAACCTTCAACAGCAAAGAAACACACACAGTTAGCGGGCTGGTACATAGTAAAAGACAACGTGGTTTGCATTAAGCCAGGCCTAGACCCAACCATTCATTCGTTGATACTTTGTCAAGAATATTCCAATGACATCTGTTCTGATTTGTGCGGTATTACAAACTTGCTGACCATGGCGAAAAGTCTATATGCCTTCTTGCAAGTCATGAACACTTTCCTACACTTTACTTGGGAGACATTGGCAGTTCCTCTCATGACTGTCCATGTTTACTTGCATCATGGAATCAGTCGCCGCCGCTGAGAGATAGGAAGCATCGGCTGAGCTCCCTAGTGCTGCAGCGGCCGGCCCGAAGAAGTGGGAATCGACTACGGTGCGTGCCCCATACAAGGTGAGCAAGCAACGCCTGTAGGCGGGGGAAGGAAATGAGTCGACCGTTATGCACATTACCTTGTAGTTACTAGGATTTTTACCATATTCCCACACAAAAGTCCCTTTGACTAAAAGACTCTTTCAATACCTTGCTGTTCGCTACTGCGGTTGTCCTCGCTTGGTGTCCGAGTCGGCGGCAGTTCCCGCCCAAAAAAAAAAAAAATTGCTCCATAAGCCAAGCAACAATTTCGAATACTATTTGCGTACGGAAAAATGCAATGAGTAGAGTGACCCACAATATTGTGCCTCAGATGCCTTCAGAACAACGTGTTATAGTTGCATTAATATTTGCATCGATTTTGGAGAATGTACCAATACCAAGACTGAATGCGACATGAAAGTTTTCGGCCTCGCCGCGTTTGATACAATCTGGCATTGTACCATAACGGTTGAAATTTAAAAAAAAAAAAAAAAAAGGCTTCGAAGCAGCATTAGGTACACAAGTCTCCAGTGCATCTTCATCTGCGTTGAGAAGCACGGCCGCAGATGAGAATATGCATTTGGACTTTTCGTTTGGTGTATCTGCTCATCCCAGCTCGCCTGTCAACCGTTGGATTACTTTTGCCTTTGCAAGTACACCACACAATGCATTCCTCCTCCTCCAGGTGATTCAACGAAAAGGGGCAAATGAATACACCCTAGGGGACTTTCAGCCGCATGTTGTACAAAGGACATTTGTATGCCGATCTGCGTGAGAACTACGAGCCCTGAATGTTCCATTTCCGTGACGACACCAAACTGATCAGCTTCCCCCTGGCCGAAACACGCCACCGGAAAACATGAGTCGATCGGAGGGATCAATCGTTCAGCTTGACAATCCCCCAAGACAACTTCAACATGACAGTCTAACCGCTCGCCAAAAATACAGCATTATACCACTATCAAAGTAATAGAACCGATTCATCACTTTGTTTGGGCGAGATACTGGGGGCTGTAGGCGTAGTCAATGTATCCTTCTGCCAACTTTGGTGTGTAAAAGTGCAATCTGTTGTACTTGACCAGTTCAATGCCTTCCTTGATTCTAAACACGAGATCCGGATTGGAGATGTAATAACGCCCAAACCCGATGGCAATGTCGTAGTCCTTGTATGTCTCATCTACAGCTCGACGCGCACTGTCGGGTTGAAACCCGCCCGCCAACACTATGGGGCTCTTGTTCTCCCAAGCCTTGATCAAAGAGCTACAGTCGTTGGATCCTCCGCAGTCGCCATCGTCGTTTCCAGTGATGCGAGCTTCAATGAGATGCAAGTACGCAAGTTTGAATGACCTCAGTTCCCGAACCAGGTACTCAAAAGTCGGCAGCGGATCGTCCATCAACATGCCTAGATAATCGCTAAAGGGACTCAAGCGAACGGCCGTACGATGGGCCCCAATGGCCTCCACGACCGCCTTGGTGACCTCGAGGTGGAACCTTGCCCTGTTCTCGACCGAGCCGCCCCATGCATCCTGTCGCCGGTTGCAGTTGTCCTGCAGGAACTGGTCGGCAAGGTAGCCGTTGGCACCGTGGATCTCGACGCCGTCGAACCCTGCAGCCATGGCCCTCTTTGCCGCCGTGGCATAATCGCTGATGACGGTCCAAATGTCGTCCTCGGTCATGGCCTCGGGAACTGGCCTGGTCTCGTCAATGGCCACGGCGCTCGACGACAGCACCCTGTGGCCGAGTGACTTATGGACGTCAGGCCACCCGGCGCGGCCTAGGTGCCAGATCTGGCAATACATAAAGCACCCCTTTTCATGTACTGCGTCTGTGATTGGCTTCCAGCCTGCAACCTGCGCGTCCGTCCAGATACCTGGAACGTTTCGGCGCCCAGCTGCCTGCTCTGAAATAAATGTCGCCTCGGATATGAGCAAGGTGCCCGGTACGGCTGCTCTCTGAGTATAGTACTCTACACGATTTTGTTCAGGAGTCCGAAAGCGAAAATACCAGATCAGTAGAATGCTACATACCTCGAGTCATTGGGAGTGGGACCCAGTCATCGTCGCAACGGTAACGGGTCAGAGGCGCCAAGACACAACGGTTCTGGAGTTGTACGGTGCCAATGTCAAGCGGCTCGAATAGTTTTGACATGATGCAATCCCTCGAAATCTCGCTTGATGGTTGCGATGCAGGAATAAAGTGGCTAGTAGTAGTATTCCGTTCCACCTACTGTAATAGAGTTTCATCTGTGATCATATAATTCATTGTTCAACACGGAGGCTTCCCCCCACCAAGCAACCAGGTGTGATGGTTGCCATGTAAGCGCTGGAATGATGACGCCGCGAATCGGATGTTTCCGCCACTTTGCTTGAGATCTGGTTTTTCAAACTTGCCAGAACGAGGTAGCTGCTCTACCGAGAATAGCGACGCAACTTGATCCAGCCACTTGCGTCTACAGAAATTTGGTGGGGCGGAAGTCAGAGCCGAAGGGCTGCTACTGGCTGTGGAAATTTGGAGATTCTCGAGGATCCCGGCCATCTTTGGGGGAGGAAAATATTGATTGGGGTCGGAGATGACTTGATCACCTCATTGACGACTCCGAAATTCCTACCTCACTCCAACTTGAGAGGTTGTGGGGGCGACCGAGCTGCTTCACTTACCTATCTGCTCAGTGTATTGATGGGGAGATCGCTCTAATTAGCTTCGAAAAATGTCCGAGTAACTCACATGTACGAGCTCAGCATGATGAGGATGAGCGCTATGGAGGAAGAAGGTACCGAAAACACGCATGGCTATCGGCTAGCAAGACAAGGTACCCGCACGAACTCCGGGCCGCCTCCTAGACCCTGCCTATGAAACTGCCTCGGGCCGAAGTCATATTGGCAAAACCAATCGCGCCAGGTGGTAATGGACCCATCCTATTCGCGCCGTAGACCTTTATTGGCGACAGCAAGGGTGGTATCAAGAACGGGGTGGTCCGCTCAGGGAATATGTGTGAACCCACACGTACATCAAACTAGAGCACCTTGGTGATCTCGGAGGACAAATATCTTTCTCTATTGCTTAACCGGAATGTTTCAGCGAAATTATTGATCTAAGCTGGCTGACCCCTCTTCCAATATAGAAATGTAAATACACGAAATATAAATGTACACTCTTCAACCGCATCTTCAACCGCATGACTTGGCAGCAGCTAGTGCTTTTGAACCTCCAAAAGCGTGACGGAGAGAATAAAAGTTCCGTGGCCAGATCGTCGACGACCTTTGATCGTCTACGTTTCCTGAATGGACTGTACCACAAGGCGGCACGTCATCTAATCGGTATCAGCGGGGGCGTACATGTAGGTCGCGTCGAATGGCTGAATGGTCGTGTTGGTACACGAACACGGGGTCGTCTTGCCAGCGAAACGGTCGTCGATCCATTGCAGAAAGGACGGCGCCGATGCAGCAATGACGGGGACATGGTCAAGGCCAGGATAGTATTGCATTTGGATGACATTGCCGTATTCACACGCTCCTTCGTAGCTGAGCTCAGTGATGTCTGGATACACGGAAACGTCGGCAAGACCTTGGACCACCAGGACCGGCTGCTCACTCTTGCCTTGGCCGACCAAGGAATAGTTCTGAGCTACCGAGAACTCTGCCTGGAAGCTTGCATCCGAGATGTTGAAGACATCATCGACCTCGAGATCTGCCACCAGCAGTTCCATTGACAAGTAGCAGGCCTGAGCCAGCTCGGCGAGCGCCAGACGCTTTCGGAACTTCTCATGGACCCATGAAAAGGATTCATTGGCGATAACCCGGTGCAGACCAAAGGCGCCCCACCCCAGCTCGCCAAGAACAGCGCGAGAGTTGTCTGTGCCGGTGGAGTTGAGGGCGGCATAGTAGCCCTCTTCGGCAAGATCTTTGCCACGAAGACCGGGAGCCTGCGCGACGGTTCCGAGGTAGGTGCCAGCGTTGGCAGGGTCTTCGCGGAGCAAGTCGCTCTCGGCCAGAGTCCAGACGGCACCACCGCCTTGCGAGTGCCCGACGCTCACCCACTCATCACTGAGCTGGCTACCGAAGAGCTGGCGCGCGGCGACAACAGAGTAGTACAAGTCGTTGGCCTGGGCCGAGAAGGCAAAATACTGATGAGCAGTGTAGTTGTTACCAAGGCCAGCATAATCTGTCGCGACAACAGCGTAGCCTCGGTTGATCAGGTAAGCCCAGCTTCCATACTCGTACAGGTTGGGCATGGCAGAGGGAGCGCAACCTCGAAAGACACCAGAGGTACCGTGTGCCCAAGCGACGGTGCCGAATTTATGGTCATTGGATCTGCTAGAGTATGGAAATGCAATGAAACCCGTCGCGGGAACAGAGTTGCCAAATACATCTACGGAGACATATTGGAAGCGATAAGCAGTGGTTCCATCGGGAATATCACTGAGATTGTCTGGATCGATGGGTTGGAACTTGAGAAGATCGCCGGGCTCGGAGGTGGAAAAATTGTCGGCCGTTGCGTAAAAGTCTTCGTCATAAAGGCTTCCAAAGTACGAAGCGTCGTATTCAAGGCCGTAGCTGAAGTACTCGTAGCAGGTTGCATCACAGCCATATTCCAAGGCCGTCTCAGCAGACACGTTGAAATTGGCGACTTGTGCTGCTCTCGTAATTTGGGGCACAGTGGCCAAGAAGGAAAAACACAAGAGTAGATTTGAAAACATGGTAACAGAGGAGATGGGAAAATGAGTGATAGTCGAGATACTGAACAGATATCATTCACTCAACTTTCCGTGCCGGTCACGGCCCTTATATAGACTTGTAATATACATAAGAGAATGATGTTCATAAGAATCATGCCGTGTATGCCGAAAAAAAAAAAGAAAGAAAACAAATAAGCTAGTACATCTGGAAGGCGCATATCTCCTTTGGCATAAAGAAACCATCAAATTAACACAAGCCCCCATGTGTCGGCAGTCCACACGTGCCGTATCAAGCAAAATATGGGATATACTTATCCCAGAATGAGCGTAGTGCTACATAAATCTATACAGGAGTTGTAGTGTATTACGATGTGGCCAATGGCATGCTGTGCCTCACTGACTGTGGGTTAGTATTAGCTTGGAGGCTAAAGGGCTGCTTTGAGAGACTTGTACAGAGTACGTGGCTCAACTTTCATGTCCTAGATTATCTACGTATGGAGATAGAGGCTCGTTCACATGCCTGAAATTATAGGTCTCTTCGTCGGTCGTATCTCCCCTCTGTCTCGATAGCTGCCGCTTCACGTCCCATCCTACGGAATACAGGGCGAGCAGCGTACCTGATTTGCCGGCGCTAGTTTAGTATTTTACGAGACAGCCAATTGAAATTCATGGTGTTGTGGGGCGCCCGTCCATCATCCCCCTGTTACGATACAGCAACATATCCGACTTGATAGATCTTTCCAAAATGGTATCTCATTGGCACGATCATTAAGAAATCATTTTCAAGAGTTCCAGAGCCCTGGATTTACTCATCATATTCATCTAAGCCACAACGTGATGCGTGTTCAAATTTCAACCTCGACGGATCCGCGGATCGCGAGTTTCTGACAATTGGTGCGACTACTTACTAGCACAAGGGCCGATGATTACTCCGCCTCTGTCAACAGTGGTGCAGCACCTAGTCATGTGATCGATCACGCCTTCCGAAGGCGACATATTCTCTGACCTTTACTGCATGCCGAACAGCCATTTATTTCCTCGTCAACTGTCGCCATGGGTCGTAATGTCTCCAGGCCCAAGTGGACTCGACAAAGCACATCGAGAGTGCGGACAGGCTGTAGAACATGGTAAGTTGACCGACTCGTGTACGAATGTTGCGACTCTAGCTGAAAATTTCCCTTTCCCCACTTAGCAAGTATGTACTCTATGAGATGCCGACATGATTCTTACTGGATTCTCTCTAACTTTTTCTCTCTCATACGTAGAGCTCGTCATTTAAAGTGTGACGAGAGTAAACCGTCTTGTCAGCGGTGCCTCAGAGATGCGTTCTCTTGCGACTACGCGCCACCAAATCATGATGCTGCTGCTGCTACTGCTGCTGTTTCAAATTCAGTCAAACGGGATCCATTGTGCACGAAACGTCAACTTTACCTGCCAATTTCGAATGGAGTCTCCAATGACCAACGAGTCGAGAATATATTCCTTAATCATGCTTTGTACTATATGATGCCAGAGATGAGACGTTCGACGTCGTTGCCCTCTTTCTGGCTCCAAGATGTCCCGTTATTGGGCAGTCACTGCGAAGCGGTAAGACACGCTTTGATTGCGATAGGGGCCGCACACAGATCCTTTCTTCTACAGAACAACACTACTCCGCCCAACAACTATGCCGTGACGCGATATTACAATGCCGCAGTTCACTCTCTTCAACTTACTATGAGCCATCCGGAGCAATTGACGATTTGGGCGACTCTTACATGTTGTATCTTGTTTGTATGTTTTGAAAACCTGCGAGGTGGTTATGCCGAGTCAATACGGCATTTGCGCGCTGGCGCAAAGCTGCTTGTCGCGTCACTCCAATGTGAGAGCGGATCAAATCGCGTTGGACTGCCTTGGAAAGAGAAACCAGAGCGGACGATTGGACACAATATGAGCCCAGAACAACTCGACTCCATCACGACTCTCTTCTCACGACTTGGGATGGATATATCCACTCTAGTTGACGAACCCATTGTATCACAGCTGATATTATTTGGTCTTCCGAGCACTAGTCGTGTGATGGGCGAATCGAAGCCAATAACCTCGTTTGAAAACCTTGGCGAAGCGCGAAAAGAGCTACATCGTATCGAAATTGCCTATGACGCTTATTTTGAGCACATGTCCCAGGACCAAGCCTGTTGGGCTGCTCCTAATTTGGACTCGGTACGATGGCCATGGCAACGAGCCCATTTAGTCAAGGGGGATCAGGATATATATCGTGCTATTTGTCGACGTTTTACATGGTGGAACAAACGCTTTGATCTACTTCAAGCATCCAAATCATGCGAATGGACACCTGCCGAAAAGGAAGACTTCTTGATTCTCTGCATATTACAGAAGGTCTGGACGGTTCTTCTCCAGGGCAAACACGATGTTCGATCGCGCTTCAGCGATTTCAATCATGCGGACCTCGAGGCTATTGTGGAAAAGGCCGAGTTGTTCATACAGACTCGGACCTTGCATCATCATGTATTCGCCTACGATGCCGATATCATACCATCGCTAGGGTTGGCTGGGATCTTCACTGAAGATTCCCATCTGCTTGGACGAATTATAAAGGTTCTGGAGAGATTGAATAGAAGAGAAGGCATGTGGGACAGCCGCGAGATGGCAGATATTCTTCGTGCTGTACTTTTGGCAAAGCAAAACCATTGGCTCCCTAGGAAAATCTCGCACGGCAGTGCGCAGTCACTATTGAGCGATCTGTTATCCTTTGAAATACCCTTGCTTAGTCCGACAAGTTCTATTGCTGTTTGGGCGAGGAGCACTTTGGCTGAGGGGAATTAGGAAAACACTGAATGAAAGCGACCAAGACATCCGAACCCAGACACATTCCAGTGGTTATGACCACGTATTCCAGCAGTTTTGCTTTCCGCATCCGTACCTACTCAATCACAGCGAAGGTCCTACTTCAATAGTAGTTTGATGGACATGTTGAGGAGATTTCTCCACAATCGCCAGCTATCAGGTGTTAAGACACCCGCATTGCGCCAACACGTTCAATGAGTGTCCCTAGAATTCGATATAACTCCGTTAAATGGGGCAAGGTCAATCGCATTCGGATTGTGGCTTCTCGGCTCTCGATAGTCTATTCGCGGCAGTGGAATGCGTTGGTTCCGCCGGACCAAGCTAAAATCAAGTTCCTCCGACGTGAAGTTCCCCCGAAGAGTGAGGATTTTGCTCGGCTTTCGGGACTCGGTTCCCAATGGTCAGTATAGCGCGACAGAGGGCCCACCTTTAGCGAAGAAATGTCTGGATCTTCCGCCAAGGTCATTTCCGATGATTGGTCTTGACCAAAGATTCTTTTGGAACGTCGGAGGCATCTATTTCATGTTTGTCCGTAGGCTACACAGTGACCGGCGCTAAAGAGATCGGTGGAATAGGAGAACGGGGAATATAGACGATAGTCAGCTCTGTAGAAAGTCTCCGATGGTACTAATTAATGTGTGCTACTCGCCAATCGTTCTTCTGCCGGATGTTCATATTCATTGCCTCTTGGGTTGTTTTGCTTGCGCAATCCACTGAATACAGTATCACCAGCAAGTTGGTAGTGCAATACTACGACTGGAAAGTCCAGTCGCGCTCTTCTCAGCATGGACCAGGATTCTCTCGATAGAGATGAATTAACTCGAATTGCCAGTATTCTCTCGCGACAAGAGACTGCTGGGGCGGTTTCTTACAATACAGACCTACGACCGGACGCGCCAAGCATCGACGATTCCCTGAACCCGGACAGTCCCAAATTCGAACTGGATAAATGGCTTACATCATTTGTCAAACAAGTTGTTGATGCAGGCCATAATCCACGTGGAGCTGGCATCGTCTTTCGAGATCTCAGTGTTCACGGGACTGGAAAGGACCTTCAATGGCAGGAAACAGTAGGATCCGTCTTCAAGTCCGTGTTACGACCAGGTGACTTGTTCACGTTTGGCCAAAGCAAAGCCAAACACATTCTGCATGATTTTGATGGGTTACTGCGTCAGGGTGAGATGCTCATTGTATTGGGCCGCCCAGGATCAGGATGCAGCACATTTCTCAAGACGTTGTGTGGAGAGACACATGGCTTGAGCATCGATACCGGCTCGACAATCAACTTTGATGGAATATCCCATGCTCAAATGCAGAAAGAGTTTAAAGGTGAAGCCATCTATAACCAGGAGGTGAGTAGAACAACATTCACTGTGCATCTGTATCACAATCAATAGGTATTAATCAGCATATCCCATAGGTTGATAGACATTTCCCGCACTTGACCGTTGGCCAAACACTCGAATTTGCCGTGTCAGCTCGAACACCATCGCATCGTATCCAGGGCATGAGCCGCGCACAATACTGTCGATATATTGCCAAGATCGTAATGGCGGTGCTTGGGTTGAGTCACACTTATAATACCAAAGTTGGTGACGACTTTATCCGCGGCGTCTCTGGAGGCGAAAGAAAACGTGTGAGCATAGCAGAGATGATGGTGGCCATGCCATCATTTGCCGCTTGGGACAATAGGTAAGTCGCCATCAAGAACATCATTCGCCGACCAAGGTGATGATATTTAACTTTACAATGCAGTACTCGTGGTCTCGATTCAGCTAGCGCTTTGAAATTCACAGAGTCCTTGCGCAAGGCTTCTGATATTGGGGGTCGTACAAATGCTGTAGCAATCTACCAAGCAAGTCAAGCAATTTACGATCTCTTTGACAAGGCGACGGTGCTATATGAAGGTCGCCAGATCTATTTCGGACCCGCCAGTAAAGCTAAAGCGTTCTTCGAAGCTCAAGGATGGTTTTGCCCTCGTCGACAGACTACAGGCGATTTCCTCACATCACTGACCAATCCGATTGAACGGACGCCCCGCAAAGGCATGGAAGACAAGGTACCAAAGACGGCGGCTGACTTTGAAAAGTATTGGCGTGATTCTCCCGAGTACAGAGCTCTGAGAATCGAGATGAGCCACTACGAGGAGCAGTTTGTCTCAACACAAGGCGACAACCCAACACTAAAGACGCTGCAAGCACAAAAGGCCTTTAGTCAAGCCAAGCGAGTACGAAACGGGTCGCCGTACCTCATCAACACCATGATGCAAGTCGGCATCAATACCAAACGAGCTTACCAACGTATCTGGAACGACATGACGGCGTCATTCACCAACGTCATGGTCAGCGCTATACTTTCACTCATCATTGGTTCGATATTCTACGGGACTCCGGATGCCACGGCAGGCTTTTACTCCAAAACCTCCGTTCTATTCATGGCGGTTTTGCTCAATGCGTTGACGGCCATTTCTGAAATCACAAGTCTGTACGCACAGCGCCCAATTGTTGAAAAGCAATCGTCATACGCCTTTTACCACCCCTTTACCGAAGCAGCAGCTGGAATCATGAGCGACGTTCCCGTCAAGTTTGCCTCGGCCGTGGTCTTCAACCTCATCATCTATTTCATGGCTGGCCTAAGACGAGAGCCGTCTCAGTTCTTCATCTTCTTCCTCATCAATTATGTCATAACATTTGTCATGATTGCCATATTCCGTACCATGGCTGCAGTGACGAAAACCGTGTCGCAAGCCTTATCATTGGCGGGCGTGATGATCCTTGCGTTGGTCATCTACACTGGTTTCGTGATACCCGTACCGTCAATGCACCCCTGGTTCAGTTGGATTCGTTGGATCAACCCGGTCTACTATGCCTTTGAAGCCCTCGTGGCCAACGAGTTCCATGGTCGGCAATTTACTTGCTCAGACGTTGTTCCGCCCTATGGGACTGGAAACTCGTGGGTTTGTGCTGTTGCCGGAGCAGTACCTGGCGAATCATTTGTTGACGGCGATGCATACATTTCGGCCAGCTTTGAGTACTCGTACTCACATCTCTGGAGAAACTTTGGCATTCTCATGGCGTTCCTGATTGCCTTTCTCGCAGCATATTTCACGGCAGTCGAACTGAATGCATCGACTGCAAGCACAGCTGAAGTCCTGGTTTTTCAAAGAAACGGCGCTCGAGAAAAGTCTCTTGCCAAGGCCCGGGAACATGGTATCAATGACGAGGAAAAGGGCAGCTCGGATGGATCGTCGACTCCGACAGGTACCTTTGATCGACAGAATGTACAAGATGTCATCAAGCCGCAAACAGACATCTTTACTTGGCACAACGTAACGTATGATATTGAAATCAAGGGAGAGCCTCGCCGCTTGCTCGACAATGTGACGGGATGGGTCAAGCCCGGCACGCTTACTGCTCTTATGGGTGTCAGGTAAGATCCCGACTTTTCTTATAGGTTTTCTCAGAGATCCCTTGATTAACACACAACAGCGGTGCCGGAAAGACGACACTCTTGGATGTCTTGGCACAACGAACATCTATCGGTGTCATTACTGGAGACATGTTTGTGAATGGCCAACCTCGAGATGCAAGCTTTCAGCGTAAGACGGGTTATGTTCAGCAGCAAGGTACGTATCGAATCTTCCGGCAAGAGGCACTTTGTTCTTGTGTGATTTCGTGAGACTGACAGAGTCGATCACAGACCTCCACCTACCCACCGCGACCGTACGAGAGAGTCTTCGCTTCAGCGCCGACGTCCGCCAACCGGCATCCGTTGGCCAGGCGGAAAAGTACGACTTTGTCGAAAAGGTGATTACCATGCTTGACATGCAAGACTTTGCAGACGCCGTTGTGGGATCCCCAGGACAAGGTCTCAATGTTGAGCAACGAAAGCTCTTGAGTATTGGTGTTGAACTTGCCGCGCGACCGAAATTGCTATTGTTCCTTGACGAACCCACGAGCGGTCTTGACTCTCAGAGCTCCTGGGCCATCTGCAGCCTGCTTAGAAAACTGGCCGATGCAGGACAGGCTGTTCTTTGCACTATTCACCAGCCGAGTGCAATTCTCTTTCAAGAGTTTGACAGGCTGTTGTTCCTTGCCAAGGGAGGCAGGACAGTATATTTCGGCAACATTGGTGCGGATTCCAAGATTCTGCTCGACTACTTCCACTCCAAAGGCGCTCCTAGACCATGCGATCCTCAAGAAAATCCGGCAGAGTACATGCTCGAGATTGTCAACGGTGGCGGCAACTCTCATGGTGAAGACTGGCATTCGGTCTGGAAAGCTAGCGACGAATATCGTGACACTATCACTGAGCTTGATAGACTACATGGAGAGGGCCATTCGTCAAAGATTGACTCGACAGTGAAACAAGACGCAGAGTACACGGAATTCGCCATTCCTTTCACGCATCAGCTTCGGGCCGTCACAGTTCGCATTTTCCAACAATATTGGCGATTACCTTCATACATTTTTTCAAAATGGATTTTGGCCATTGCATCTGGCCTTTTCATTGGCTTCACTTTCTACCATGCAAACAGCAGTCAAATTGGCATGCGAAACGTCATCTTTGCCGTCTTCATGGTTACAACCATTTTCACTTCACTCGTGCAGCAGGTAAGAAACAGTGCCTTAATCCTTACAGCTGAAGTTGAGCTAACTTGGAAAGATTCAACCGTTATTCATCACCCAACGCGAGCTATACGAAGTCCGCGAACGCCCTAGCAAGGCCTACTCATGGCAGGCCTTTCTCCTTGCCAATGTCATTGTCGAATTTCCTTTCCAAATCATAAGCGCCGTGCTCGCTTTTGTCTGTTTCTATTATCCCGTCATGGGCCCCGACCAGTCCTCAGATCGACAGGGCTTGGTCCTGCTCTTCATGATCCAGCTCTTCCTCTACGGCAGCGTCTTTGCGCACATGACGGTCGTGGCCATGCCCGACGCCCAATCGGCCGGCGGCATCGTCACCTTTCTCACCATGATGAGCACCATTTTCAGCGGCGTGCTGCAGACGCGGACGGCGCTGCCCGGCTTTTGGGTCTTCATGTATCGTGTCAGCCCCTTTACCTACTGGATCGCCGGCATTGTGGCCACGCAGCTCCACGGCCGGGAGATTGACTGCTCTGCAGACGAAATGCTGGTCTTTGACCCCCCGCAGGGTTACACGTGCGAGCAATATCTTGGCCCCATGCTGCAGCAGGCCACTGGAACGCTGCAGAACCCGAATGCGACGTCCAATTGCCAGTACTGCGCTTATCAGAATGCCGACCAGTACCTCTCGGGCTCGGACATTTATTGGACTGACCGTTGGAGGGACTTTGGTATCATGTGGGCGTTTGTAGTGGCAAACATTGGCATTGCCATTCTATTGTACTACATTTTCCGGGTCAGAAAATGGTCGCTTGCAAGTTTACGTGCAAAACGTGGGCACTGAGTATGAATGGTATGGGGACAGGTTTGAGACACCATTACAAAGCTCACCATCTTCTTTTACGATACGGTGTTTAAATGACCGCCTCAGTTGCAAATAATGTTTTATTTTTCTTAGAATTGAAGATACCTTAGATATAACTTTAGACAGATTTGGGTCGTAATTAGACGCTTGGAAAGCCGACAAGACTGAGGATAATAAGAGTAATAACAATATCAATTCAATTGTGCAATGCATGATCGGACGCCAAACTGGGCTCAGAACTTGGAAGATTGCTTTGCGTCCTTGGCCTTGTCCGAAAATCAGTAAGAATCTTTGAAGAAAAGAGAGAAACACTACCAGCCAACTCGACTTGGTGTAAGTCCGCCGGAGCTCCAGTGACTTGATGAACCAGTCGCCTTTATGCCTCTTCCAGGTTTCGTGATAGTAGCCGCCACCTCTGAGCTCGTAAAGACCCAAAGAGTCCTTGATGATGATTTCATCTTCCATGGCCCAAATGGCTTCAATCTCGTCATATGCCACCTGTTCGAGGTCGCCTGGACCAAACATGTGCAGGGTATTGGCGCGCGCAAATGCGTCGGAGAAGAAGCTTGTGAATTCAGAGGTTGAATTGAAAACAAGTTGGGTCTTGCCAACGCTAAGAGGGGTTTTGTCCGTGTCTAGGAATCGGAACGTGGCATGTGGGAGTGCGATTTCTGAGAATCGGTCCCATTGTTTGGTGTCAACATAACGACCATATCGTGCCTTTTTGGTCGTGATAATTTGGGCATCTGCATGCGCTACAGATATGTCAGACATGTTGACTTGCAGCCGAATGTCTGTTTGCGAGAATGTCGCTGGTGAAAAGGCTTCCAAGTCTCTAAAAGAAAGAGATGAACTTGCCGAGATTAAGTACCTGATTATAGAACTTGGGCAGCATGGAAAGTTGGGGTAATGAGATACCTAACTCACTCTGCCAGTAAAGTCTTCGGCTTTCGGAGTCATCATGCATTTTCTCATTTGAGAAGGCGAGCAAGGTATGCAGTAAGTACCTAGGTATGTACTCTGTAGGTGCCTCGGTTGGGTGTAAATGTCTGTTAAAAAATGCATTTCTCGTTATACTGCAACTGCAATCTACACTGAGTAACGCTCGACCTTCTATGGTGCAAAGACGCACAGAGCTTTGAGAGCGCCGAATTGAACGCTAAATTGAATGTCCAGGGCTGTATAAAATTGGCAATTAGGCGCCTTTAAGTCTTTACACGGGGATTTGCAAAGGTCCTCAGGTTACCCCACATCACTTTGTAGGCCTTCCATTTAGTGAGTAGCGTGTTCACGGAGGGGCATTTTCAATGTAGTGAGCTTATGACCTCAGCTGCAACCCATCACCCAGCTTTGCGCTGCGTTAAACGTGAGGCTCTGGGAGGTACGTTCACTTACTGGTACCCGCTTCGGACACTGGCACGTTTTTATCTCCCCCTTTTTTTTTTTTTTCTTCTTCTTTCCCTCTCGGAAATTGTGATGCCTGGACTGTTCAAACCATTCAATTTTTGCCTTGGGGGTATTCACTTCAATCACTTTTTTGGTTATCAACGGGGGGATCCTAGGTAATTCACATTGCATTGGGTGAGCAGAGAGACGTGGGGTAGGCCAAATGTGCCCCAAGATCAACACCTTTGGGCGCTGCTGCAGTGCAGGTGATGCCGTGATGTGCCCTAGACAGAATGATAGTGCGCCCTATCAGCTGGATCACTACTGCCAACGCCACTTCAAGCCAGGCAACATGAGAAGGACTTATAGATTCAAGGATTTCAGCTCAAGATATAAAGATCGATAATATAGGTATAATCCTGTTTCTTGCCTACATGAGAAGGGGGGACGTTATTGCAGTCTTGTTCGGGCGAATGCTTAATCTCAAAAGAGCCCAAAAGAAAGCTTTGTGCCAAATGGTATGTCCTCATTAATAATGGCTTTGAATTCCGTCGCGCGTTTCGCAAACGTGAAGGAGCAAATCAGGTGGCTAGAGGGAGTATGTGATAGATATTTCAGATACAGCCTCAACTTTTGTGCTAGCAAGGTTCACTCAATTGCTAGAGCAGAAAAGTACATAAGGAGAAACATGGTACAATGATATGTGGTGATTGACCCAGTATAGGTAGGCAGGTTCAGCCTGGAATGGCCAGCACTTTGCCTTCTGTCGATAGTTCTGACTGCCCTGCTGGGCGGTCATCTCCACCATCTTTAGGCCCCAAGAGCCAGGTTGCCAGGCTCATCATAGCCCCACGCAACTATTTTGTACCTGCTAGTGGTAACCCAAGAAATCTTTCAATCATGCAAGCATCAAGTAATCAACGATTGACAAGATAATAAAAGAAGACAGCGATCAGAGGAGAACCAATAATGTACTCTGTTGAAGCACATTAATTGTGCGGCATGACCTGTAAAGCACCTTGCGTCCGAAAACCCCCGCCCAAAGGACGAGGGGTTGAATCTTCCGGGTTCACGATAGCCCAGACTTCACACTCATATAGAATTTCCTTCTTTGCGAGACACGCCACGCCTATGACAGTCTGCGGAGGTCGGTGGCCATTTGCGTGTTTATCCATAAAGGCGACCCAGAGATCCCCCCAACCACGATCAACTATATCCAAGCTGTCTACATTCGGATCACCCGTGTCTTTCACGACATAATGTTTCACCTGCACAATGTCGCGCGGTGTTGCTCCAGCAGCTGCCAGGCACGTCTTGAGCTTGGCATAGGCCATGGCCGCTTGCTCTGGCACTGTCGTAGCGTTGTCTGCGCCGGCTGGGTCGTACCCTGTCAAACCTGCAAGTGTGACTAGTTTACTTGTAGACGAGAGCGGCGTCAAAGAAATGTGATCGCAAGCTGACGGCAATGTGGGCAGGCCTTCTGGGTTGATGGTGAGGGGCTGGAGAAATGCGCCATAATATGATACTGTGTTGGGACCGAAGGAGACCGGCGCGGCTCTACCAAAACCTGACATTCTTTTTTTCTCCGGCTTGACTTGGTGCAAAGATGTTTGTCAGGTAAACGTACTGGGAAATGAGAAACGAGAAATAAGAGATGGGAAAAGACCGAAATAAAAAGACGAGGAACGAGGAACAAAAATAAAAAGATTCGCCGCGCGTCAGGTGACCTTGGAACAAACGATGCACGCATGACGCAGAGCAGAGTAGAATTGCTACGCCCTAACGGCTTCTACTTGATTGTTGCAGAGCACTAGCTGGATGTCTGATGATGTCTATATGTATGCATCAACAACAACTTGCCGCTGGCCTCAGTTCGCGACCGTCGCCGCTTATAAGGCCGGCAAGTTGAATCAATTAATGACTACACCTTTGTACCATGTCATATTTTCATTTTCATTTTTTCGCAGTAGGGGCTGTAGCGGGCACCCATTGAACAAGGAATCAAGTATTTTTCAGCGCTCACTCGTCGTAGCCCATGTGCAGCCTCTTGTCCCATTGGCCGCCAGCATCACGTAGTCTTTCATGCTTATAGTCTCCAGGTACCAACTCTTCCTTAGTCTGCAGTTTTGAGCAAATGATGCCACAAGTACAGACTGCTTTGGGCGATTTTAAAGTGTCGTTGACTAGCGAACGTAGACCAGCCGAATTAGTTATAATTCAAAGAAATAGACTGATGGCTGGGTTTCGGTGCAAGACAAATGATTCAAGATACCACTTACGCGGTTTATGAGAGGGTAAACTTGAAACGAGTCCAACCAATATATCTCCGTCTGATTACTAGGTAATGTACATAGGTATAAATGATATCGTTGGATTGAGAATTGATACGTCACTGGCAACTGTGGAGAATGGATCCAAGCATCATATGTCACCTTCATTGGATGGGCCATACGCACTTTCTTTATAGTCTATATGTAGATCGATGGGTACCTTGCCCATTGCAACAAGATGAATTATCCATAAGACGAAGGTTACTGCTCATTGTGGGGCGAATGGCAACCATTCATTGTAGCTTTCTACATTTCCAAACACTCTTACGGTCGACCTGTTTACCCATCTTCTCGCCCCTTCACTTCAATCCAAGACTGTTTGCCCCAATGCAAACTCGAATAATCATGAACTGGCTTCTCATTCAATTTCTTTTCATCGTCCATCATGCAGCAGCTGCTGCTACCCAGAATGCTACGTCTGAAAAGACTTCCGCCGCGGAAACAGAAGTTGGGTGGTATTCTGGGCCAAATGATCGCAGCACTCTCTCGCTAGTCTACAGCTGTCTCATACCCATCTTTGCTTGTACTTGGACGGTTCTCCATTTAAACGTCCCTAAACCTACCCAAGTCTCGTGGTATCGAAAGACAAGAAAAGCTAGATGGATGGCAGTCACGATCCTGTTCCCCGAGTTCATTTTCTCAAAGGCTGTCTGCGACTTGCATCTTGCCTTGAAAAGTCTTCATGGCTTTGATAAAAAGCTCCAGGAGATATATATTGATGGTTTGACATATAAAAGGGTCACTCGGGTTGGAAATGATTTTGACGTGCAAGTTTTTCACGCTTAGCGGCCTAGAAAAAGCCTGGAGACAGTCTTGTCTTGGTGCCTGGCTTGGGAACAACCATGAAGTCTACTGCTATGGGCATGTCGCTTGCTTTGGCGTCTCTTCTACTAACTACTGTAAGACTAGACGCGGACAACGGGATTCTGCGAAGGCCGAGTTCTACAGAGATCTACCAAGCAAGAAAGAAGCGTTTCGTTCCCTGTATCGTGAGAACCTTTTAGCTATAGCTGGAATGTCTCCGAGTAAAGCACTCAGCGGAACGCGGGGTCAATTAGAGTCCGGAGCGCCCCTTATCCCCGCTGCTAGGCAAGGACGTTACTGAATAACACAAAATGTCTCCGCTATTACCCCGTCTGAGTAGGTATAATTATCATAAAACCACTTCGAAACAAACAATGAAAATATACAACTTATACACCCATCCCTACGATTATAATATATTTCCCGGTATTCTTAAACAGCCTGTATAAGGGCGAAAACATATCCTACAAAGATATTTCAATTCACAAGATGGTGAAAGCGGCTATTGCTGGTGGCTCAGGCGGCTTAGGAAAAGCCATAGTTTCTGCCATTCTAGCCACACGCACGCATGAATACATCATCTTGAGTAGTCGGGCCTCACCCGACGACAATACTTATACTATCGATTATGACGATATTGACGGCACAAAAGAGCTACTCGAGGCTCACCAGATCGAGACCGTCATCTCAATTATTCCGCTATACACCAAGGATGGGTTTGATTCCCAACTGAATCTCATCCAGGCGGCCGAGCAATCCAACTGCACGAGACGCTTTATTCCCAGCGAGTTTGGCCTGTACATTGATACAGCGTAAGAGTCGCCTCCATCACAAACCCATTTTAAGAAGACTGTTCGCTGATGGTTAATTAGACAAACTGATATGCATCCGTCCTTGCTTTACAAGCACGAAACCGTCCACCAGCTGGAGAAATCGAAACTCGAATTCGCATGCGTCCATAACGGAGTCTTCATGGACTACCTAGTCTGGCCTCAGGTCCCCTCTCATCTACAAATACAGGCGCTCTGGGTGAGCTTGGCCCACAAGATGGCCGCCATACCAGGAGATGGAAACAACAAACTTGTCCTTACACATTCAAGTGATGTCGGCCGCTTTGTCGAGGCCTTGCTTGGCTTTCATGAGTGGGACCAGAGGTACTTCATATCGGGAGATCGAACGACCCTCAACCGTGTGGTTGACACAGCTGAAGAGATACTGGGGTGCGAATTTGCGAGGGTTTACGATACTCCGGAAACGTTGAGCCGTGGGAATTGTACTCTACTGCCGCCGCCGCCCCTTTCGGGCACTGGAATTTATCAGGCGACTGTTCCTGGAAGCGTCGAATATCATATCGCGCAACTTGGAATGTCGGTAGTCGAGAATATGGCCGACCTTCCACCTCGTACTAGCCTCGACCAGCTGTTTCCGAGCATCCGCGCACTCAGCGTTCGAGATGCATTCCAACTTTGGAAAGACGTGAAATGATTATTTGAATCTAGGAAATATCAGCTTTCACAGTTAGATCCCGAAATGTACGGTACAGCATTAGTTAGTCATGTCATACAAAGAGAACGCTCGCTTAGTTTTTAGTTTTAAATTACCAACAAATACGATGCGTATTTCACGTGGAGGAATGGGGTATTTTTTTGTAGGCATGGCGGTGTTTTCGTCCTTGTGAAAATATTGTCATCTTTGTGCATAATGAAGTTCCTAGCCCACGTGGTAAATTACAATAGTACGAATTTAGAGAAGTTCTGCATAGGTCAACTTTCGGCATCAGCAGAAGTGGAGGCAAAGATAAGAGGAACATACATAGCACGTAGCCCCTGGTTATGACCAGCCTATTATCTGCAACCATAATCCCCACTAATAGATCATAGATTACGAGCGTCGCCGTTCCATATAACAACCACAAAATATGCGAAGCAACCAAGATGAGCCACCGGCTGCTACCTGCTTATATCCATTGGCATCTCTGTCCAAAATTGGACCTCTGGGTCCTCGGACCGCGACCCGCGATCCATCTTGCTGAAGAGTCTCATGCAACGACGGAAGCAGAGGTGTGTTTTCATACGACTGCCTGGGATCAATTTCGCCCCTCTCCTGACACGATGGCAAGCCAGGGCGTACAATATCGTCTCCATCAACGTCAGAACCGGCCAAGGTAAGGGACTCTTGCGTATTTCTTCTCGAGACTTCGGCAGAGGGTGCTATCTCGGTAATGTATGGCAAGGCATCCTTGTTATTGGGACTGGTAAAGATAATCATGCCAGAAGGACCCCTTCGAGAGGTTGGAGTCGAGAGATGATGAAGACTTGGAATCGAGCTTGGCCCTGGTTCAAGCCCATCTGCGCCTCGGCATTGGGGAATATCCATGTCTTTAGTATCATGGTATTGGCTGTGGCAGGACATGGGCTGCTGTTGATATGGAGGGTAGGGTACGGCATTGGTGGAGCTTTGGGTTGCCGTCTCATCTGCGTCGAGCTGTCCCATACTGGCCTCGTGAATTCTCTCAAGTTCTTCAATAAGTTTCTGGGAGTGGTCGATTGGAGAAGAAGCTTCCGAAACGTTCATCTCCGAAGCTGGTTCATGCTTACCACCGTTGAGTGGTGATTGTGGTTCGAAGGAGCTGTCTATCACATGGTTAATCTCAGGTTGCCTGTGATTGTTGGCCTGGTCTGTATAAAGGAGCACGTCCGATATTGAAACTCCTTCAGAGGGCCTGCATTGATTGTAGATCCTTCTCAGACCATCACGTATTTCGACCATGGACATTCTGTCCTGCTTGTCTGGCACAAGCATTTCAAACTCGATCATATCTATGAAGCTTCTGATGGGTTCCGAGCACTCGTTCATCTGGCGAAGTTTGTTCATCCACTAGATCCCATGTTAGCAAAGAAGGACGACTTGTATGATCTTCAATTACTCACTTCAAGCACAGATGGCTTGACCACTGCACGAATATTGCCAATCCCTGGAGCTTGTATCAGATTGAAGAACTTGTCCTCCTTGAAGGGCGTCCCGTAGGGTTCATCGTTTTCGATCCGGACGTCTACAAAGCTTTTGAAAGAGCCACTCTCGGCGTTCAATCGTGAGCGTGTCGCGTGGAAGCCTAGAAGGAACCACGAGGTGAACTCAAGAAAGAGGCATCCGAGACTCCAAACATCGTACTTGCGTGAGGTTGCATGCTGCATGTCAAGCTCTGGAGCTCGATAGGTCCTTGAAAAGCCATGTGGATCCGATGCCTGGCTCGCTTCGCGGAACCTTGTCAGTCCAAAGTCTGACACGACGAGATGCTTGTTGCCGAGAAGTGTGTCCTTTCCGGGGGGATCAAAGAACAAGATGTTCTCTGCCTTGACATCACCATGAGTTCCCTTGTTCTTGCTCAATGAACGTTCGCGATCCTGGTCATTGCGCTTCAAGGAAGATCTGTACAAATGGATCCTCTGCAGGCCGTCCGCGATGCCAAGACACTGTTTAATCAACCACTCGACGTGGTCGGGAGAGTCGGGTGAGGCTTCGAAGCGCTGCCACAAGTCCACCAGCGTTCCCTGAGCCCAGGGAAAGAGAAGATAGTAACTCGTACCATGCTCGATTGCCGCGAGGAGTCTGATGAGATGTTCATGACCTTTTCTAGAAGCGCTGAATTTCTCATGGACACCGATTTCGGCTCTAAACAGGGTGTAGTCATCGGATTGGATCTCCTTTAGAGCAAATTCGTGCTCGACATGCCTGTGCTCTCGGGACTCGTAGCTAGGGCCATATAGTGATGAAGCGTGTGGAAGGGTTCTGGGATCAAAGTCGCAATGCGCTGGATGGATCTTGACTTTCGAGACTCTGCCAAAACCACCAAGATAGGCTTTGCGGCCGCATTCCACGAATGGGAGTATGGTGTTACTTGGAAGGCGATGGAGACACAATTGATCTCCTCTCATGCGGAAACGCGGCGAAATGAGTTTCTCTTGCTGACCAATGAAGTTGTCCATGTCTTCCGGTTTCCAGTCTTCAAAACAAATCAAGACGGAATCAACGTCGTCGTCGTCAGAGTTCCTCATGACCAAGTTGCTGCCCAGAGGGTGATATGGCGACGGCCGTAGCGGCAAGTCGGCGTCAGTGATGAGCTCGTTCAAAAAGTCCACAATGTATCTGACCTGGTCTATCAGAACGAGGATGGCAAAAATCCTAATGTATCCCGTCCTGCGACCATTCTGCTTGCGTATCCTGGTACAAATACTGCGAGCTATCATGTCAAGTATCTCTGATGGTGTCGTTTGGAATGTCGCTGTCTGGAGGAGTATGCTGCGAACACGCCTTCTCGTGAGAATAGCCCGTAGCTTGTCGTATGGGATGAACCATCCTTGGGTCTTGTGCTGAGAGTGGATGTGTGAAGATCTCAATTCCTGTTGAACTCTTTTGATCTTGAGATAGTCCTGGCTTTTTACCATGTCTGGGACCTGATGATGCTCTCTTGTCACATTTCGGAGACTTGAGAAAGATGTTTGGACTAGGTCGTCATTCAACGTTTCCCACTCCCCTGCATTAGACAGCAACTCCCCGGCAGTGGCTATTGCTGGCCGTTCGTCGGCATTCTGTTCCTTATCTGTATCATTGTCTCTATCGTAAGCTGAGTCGCTATCAGACAGAGGATCCTCGACAGTAACAACAGTACGCCGGTCGCTCTCAATGGGAGACGCAGAGCTTCCACTTCGTCTGCGTGCGTGGAACCTCTCGCTGGATGTTGTGCTCCAAGTCTCTGCGGGCACTTCTAATCTTGGCCTGCTCACGGAATACCTTCTTCCTCTGGGGGTGGATGAGGCTAACCCACTCCACGGCTCCGCAAAGGCACTTTGGTTGGAGCGAAGCCTTCTTTGAACACGATCTGACTCGTCACCGGGTGGATTTGTTGTGGCCAGCGACATTGAGATGCTTGTTTAGTAAAAGACTTGGTAACAGGGCACATGTGCCGTAGCGCGCGCCCGGATTATAATTTGTTGGTACTTCAGTGATTTATGGTTGAAACAAGTGCCTTCTTTGGTGAGTTGCGGCTGAAAGTGGCCTCACAAAGGGGACCGCGATTGGATGGAATAAGGTATGGCACTTTTGGAGGGCCCTGCATGTGTATCAATCCTGCCGACCGACGTTCGGTAGACTTATTGGAGTATGCATATTGCATTGCCTCACTGGCACTCTATGTAGTCCTAGATTTGTGCTATGAAAACGCCGTGCAAGACTAGGTACATACTTGGTTTCTGTTCCTGTCAATAGACATGAATGAATTGACTTGAGATGTTACGGGAGTATTGAGACTGCTGCAATGCCCTCGTGCTCAATCATGCCGCGGGCGACTGACTGTCCATGTGAGATTGGTTCCTGTCGTCTTTTGTCAATGACAACTTTCGACAATTGTGAGTCGCTGAATGGTCATCAAGTTCTCCAATTCCCTAGAGTCACTGGATACTTCAGGAGAGGTCAATGTCACCAGCGCAGAGACAGGCTGTAGCCTCTTCGTCACGATGCCTTGCGACCTAGATGCCTCGTTACCACATTCAAGGATGCAAGATCCCACAAGTCCCAAAAAGTCCTACAAATTAGTAGCGAACGATGAAATCAGACCTCCTATTGGCCCCTCGCCAATGGGAATTATGCCGATACTTTAAGTGCAGAGGCCCTGACTCGATGTGGCTGTCACAGCCCTGCTCCATCTGCCGGTAGAGAATCATGGCCAATTTCGGGGGGCCTTTCGAGGGGCCATGTCAGCTCGCTTGCTGTCAGACATGGCTGAGTGGCTGTCAAAGACCTGAACATGCAGTGACACACAGCCGCCTCCGAGGCGTTTTCACGTCACTGTTCTTGCGCTTACCGAAACGCGCATACTATTGGCGGATACCCCAGAATTGTGCCTCGCTACGAACCAGCTGACTTTTTGTTTTGCGGGTATATATGGCCTTGCCTCATGCCGTGGAGGACTCGTTTTGTGCGGACCTCAAACAGACGACACGCTTGAGCGATAGTCATTACAGGCAACAAGAGAGCACATTTAAAATGCCTTCAAAAAGTTTAATATCGCCTATAGCGAGGACCGCAACAAACATCACCACAGTCCACCTGCCCTCTCGTCACGTCAGGAATCCCCACCAACTATCGATGGCGCTACAAAAGCTGTACAAGGACCAATCATACACTGTGGAACTGCGAAACGATGTCTATGTTATTGACATTGCACGGCCGTGAAAAAGCACCAAAACGTGATGGTGAGTTTTCAAATTCTGGTAGTCCTCTTTAATGATGATGCGATACTGATTTCTTAGTTTCTGGAACAGATATATGCAAGCGAAAAAAAATCAGTATCGCATCGTCATTAGCGAGGACCAAGACCCAGGAATAGGGCCTCAGAACACCGCCACGCGAAATAGGCCTAATACCACCCACCTACCCACCTGTAGATAGTTGTCTCCATGCTCCAAGCGCACACTGAACGCTCTTGGGGCTATAATAACATTACTACATTATAATGATTGACATGCACATTTGATATATGCAAAACAATCTTCACATGCTGCCTCAATATTACTCAAGCTCGTTCGCGATGCGGTGTAGGTGCAGTGCTCGGTGACCTATGCAGACTGCATACATGCGTGTAATAATTGGCGAGCGCATGGAGTCGAGGTGGATACGACGGCACTATATGCTGGATCAACGGCCACTGAGCAATGGCAAGACTGCGCTGGCTGCAACCAGTTTGTGGCGGGGTCACCACCTACATGAGGACCCTACATCGAGGTGCAATAAATGTAGGCTTGACGAACTTGTCTCATTCTCCCATGTTCTGCGATGCATCTCCAGTCGAGGTGGACTCGCTATTCTCAATTTTCGGTGAGCTATTGCATAGCCCTCTTCACATGTTTGGGCAAGCTCTGCAACGTCATGGTGTTGACTCATACACACCCAATAGAAAGAGCACTGCATTGACCATCTTTTCTTCCCCAAGATTCAATCAAGAGTCCGATACCAAGAGCTTGCGACCATGAGTATTGGCATATCTCGGGTCTTCTTTGCGATGTTGTGGGGCTTTCTTCAGCGCTGCAGTCGTCTCATAGTCGGCGCGAATCCCGAGAACCCTGACCCGATTGTCGAATCAGATTCCTATACACATCCACCCACCATGGCTCCAGATACGAGAAAAGCCTTGTATACTAGAATGCAGCGTGCTTTTCAGCGCAATGCCAAAGACTTGGGCCAAAAGCGATACCTCCCTCCCGACTGTCTCTCTCAGATATTGACTCATGAGATAGTGGCCTCTCTACTAAAAGAAGCTCACAGACGAGACTTCAGCCATGAATATATTGCATCGGTGATGCAAAAGGCCCCAAAGACTTTTGCCCTCCTCGTCTATATTGATGCTGTCGAGAAGTTTGCATCGTTGTATAGGCAGTTTGATGACAGCGCCTTGCCTATAGGCTTTGAGGGACCGTCGGAAAGCGATGGATCCGGCGTCTCTTCATTCCACTGGCACGTTGCCTCATTGAGCCCCAAGACGGGCGCCTTTGATGATCAGAGACGGCATCCCGCGTTTGACACTTGGAGTGATGGGTTGATCGAAAATTTCGAACAGCGCCAATGGATCTTTTTGGCCGTAGAATTCTCGGCTTCCAAATTGCACCACCAGTTTCACCCCATGCAACCTTTACCAATTCTCGAGGGCGACTTTCAAAAGAAGAGTGAAGGGCATTTCAGTCTCGTATACAAAGCGAAGCTACCTATATCAATGCAGTTGAATAGGTCCTCTCGAGATGTAAGTAGTTACTTTGTGTAGTCAAAGCCTCTTGCAAATGCTAATGGAGCATGTAAATCTTAGCTTGCCAGACCAGAACATGTGGCCGTCAAAAAGTTCCGACCCGATGTCAGGGAGTTTTTCAAAAGAGAGTTTCATAATCTGGAAAAGATTGATACTATAACACACCCCCATCTCATCAGACCTCTAACTACTTTTGAGCAAGGAGAGGATCAGTTCATTGTCTTCCCTTGGGCGGATGGCGGTAACCTTCGCGAGTTCTGGGGCCCAAAGTTTAGAGAGACGTCTGTTCTATGGGTGCTCAAGCAGATGCATGGTATATCTCAGGCACTCAAGATCTTACACGGCAAAAACGGACGACACGGTGACATTAAACCAGAGAACATTCTACGATTCCGTGGAAGTTCAGCAAGCGAAAACTCCCTTGTTATCGCAGACGTAGGTTTGGCCAAGTTTCATCAGCTGGCCACATCTCAGCGAGACCATGCCTCATCAATTACCGCTAGCACTGTGCGTTATGAAGCCCCCGAGATGAATATCGACGATCCAAAACTCCCTCGATCTCGTCGCTACGACATCTGGTCTATCGGCTGTGTCTACTTGGAGTTTGTCATCTGGATAACATACGGCGACGCGGCACTGAAGAAATTCAATGCAATGGGACATCATTACAAGTTTTGGGACTTTGACGGGAAATATGACGATTCAAGAGTAAAGGGAGGCGTCAAGACTCTGCACCCGGATGTCCAAGACATGATCAAGCGGCTGCTCAGCGACCTTCCAAGGCCCTCGGCCCTAAGGGACGTCGTAAAGATGATACGCGACGGACTGCTTGTCATTAACCTGGCGAGAGATGCTAGACCGCCACTGACGGTTCGGTGGATCGCTCCGCACCTTTTCGACGTGATGGACGACATTTGGACGAGAGCGCAAACCGACCAGACTTATGCTGTCGGTGCTGGAAGACAAACCCCCATTCGGCAACGCCAGGCTAATAGATATTAAAGCTCGCCCTCATCGATGCTCCTTCATCAAGTACTCCCCTAGTGGACGCGACGGCTCGCGACAATCAAGACGATACCCGAGCAAACCTCCAAGCCTCGGCCGACCATGAATCTCTAACTTTTGATAGTAAATATAACACAGTAAGCACCATAGACGACCTTGAATAGCACCTTTTACTAACAAGTTACAGTACGTATGTTGAACACCATACTGCAAGGTATAGCCTAGGACTAACATGAATCTCTTAAATATGTAGCGCATACAGGTGAGTTTCCCAAAAATGTAGAATCAGGTAAATGTTCAGCGACAAATCCTAACACAATGTAGCAAGCTCAAAATGTCAAAGATGTTTGGATTATCAAGAATGATAACACCTTTGCCCGAAAGCTTCTTCATCAGCTCGAATGGTCTGATATCAAGCCGGCACTGCCAGAACCAAGATTGTGTAATGACTGCCAACGCATCGACTTTCAGAACCTTGAAGGTTTCCGCCTCGACCCAAAGAAACTGCAGCAGAGATCATCCGAGTGCGACTTTTGCGACCTGTGCTACAAGTCTTCTGAGATTGAACAAAGAAGCGACGGAATTGTGCGATTCAAGCCGACAGACCGATCATCTTTGATATCTGTCTATGTGGATCCCGGTACGTATGGCTAATATCTCGACATTTTCACCTTGCCACCAAAGCCCTCACTGACAAGTAGTGATGAAGAATCCGATACAGACCTGTCGTCATCTTTACCCATCGGCTTCCCCCAGCTTCCAGATCCTGGCAGTGCTGAAGAGACCTTGCTACTCAAGCACTGGCTTCGAAACTGCGACGAGAACCACACGTGCATTCCATTGAATGATGTCCACTACATGCCTACCAGAGTCATTGATGTCTTTGCTGACTCCAAGGACAAGCTCAGACTAGTCGAGACATGTGATGAGATCAAGGGTCGCTACGTCGCCGTAAGCCATTGCTGGGGTAATATACCAGACTCGAAAAAGTTCTGCCTGCTGAACGAGAACATCGAGGCGCTCAAAGAGAATATTGATTATGCTCAGCTGCCACAGACGTTCCGGGATGTCGTTGACGTTAGCAGGCGACTCGAAGTGCGCTATTTGTGGCTCGATTCGATTTGTATTATTCAGAACAATAATGACGACTGGGCCTCTGAATCGACCAAGATGGAATCCGTTTACAGCTCATCATACGTCACCATTGCAGTCAGCTCGGCAGCTTCGAGTCTTGTCGGACTGCCCAAGCAAAGAGACAAGAGACCATGTGTCCGGATCGGCGACCTCTACTTTGCAAAAGACATTGACGATTTCGAAACCGATGTGCAAAAGGCAGTATTAAACACTAGAGGATGGGTATTCCAAGAACACGCACTTTCTCGACGATGCATCCATTTCACGACGAGCCAGATATACTGGGAGTGTGGAGATGGCATCCACTGTGAGACTCTGGCCAAACTATCCAAGTAAGGACCTAGTTATGCACTCATTTCACCTCGAGTGCGCTTGCTGATATATCCCCATAGCCCCTATGCTGCCTTTTTGGGAGACGCTCATTTCCCAAACATTGCGCAAGAGTACTTCAAGGGCGGCAAGATACTGCATTTCCAAGGCATCTTTCAAATGTACTCGAAACTAGCCTTTACCAAAAGGACAGATCGGTCCCTCGCACTCCAAGGTCTCGAGAATCGGCTTGCGAAGACGATGAAAACCAAGGTGAAATTCGGAATCCTCGAAAACATGCTCGGGCGAAGTCTTCTGTGGCGGGCGGCTACACCCCGGAGTATGGAGCGCATCACATTTGACCAGGATAGAAATGTCCCATCGTGGTCCTGGATGGCGTACCTCGGTGCCATTGCTTACGAGGACGTCCCTTTTGCCGATACCGAGTGGTGCACCGAGAACATTAGGAATCCTTTTGGCGCAGACCGATTTGTTTTCGCGAGAGACTTTGAGCTTGATGATAGCGAAGTGGTGTGGCACATTAGCTACGATCTAGCTGATACCGTCCATACGATTGCGCAAAAGTGTGTCATCATTGGCAAAGAGAAGAATAACCGTGAAACGGAGAACAGGATGCATTATGTTCTAATCATTCAACCTTCCATTGTGCGCGAGGGCTGTTACGAGCGGACTGGAGTTGGGCGTTTGGAGGGGCGGCAGATTTCTGATCAAGAGGGATGCTGGTTGCAAATGCAATAGCTCCTAGAGACAATTAGAATTGTGATCACATGAGTTTACATATATAATTATTTCATAGATCGTATGTTTCGCTTTTTGAAATGCGTTTTCACGGTTGACACGATTATCCTGTATGCCATTGTACTGAAGCATCTGCCCAACGCTCTCACTATCCGTTAGTGCCTAACTGCCCAGTATCTTCCCCGCATCGCGCACTTTAGCATATAAAGACAGCACTTAAGGCATCGTGGTTCAGTCAACCAGAACCTAAACCAATAGTTTATGTACGTTTTAAAACAAACTCACAGATGTCTAACCAGCCAGTCTCTGTAATATTTGGTGGAACTCGGGTTGGCAATCGACATCTGTTTATGCCAGGAAACGGTCTTGAAGTGTTCCTTGACAATTTAGCGGCCCACAGTGTTACGACTATCGATACAGCACAAAGCTATGGCAACTCGGAGGCGACGATTGGGCACGTTCAAGCAGGAGACAGATTCAGCCTTGACACGAAATGGAGTCCATCGCCGAGCGAACCCGGACTGCCATGGGCCACGAAAGACCAGATCACAAATTCTGCTCAGGAAAGTATAGTGAAACTGGGGGTCAAACAAGTGCGAATTCTTCATTAGGCTCCGCTACTTGAGCAAAGGACTGAAGTTGACCTCTGCCTCTAGGTTGATGTCTTTTTCCTTCACAGGCCGGACCCAAATACACCAATTTCAGAGACTCTTGACGCAGTCAATATCGTTTATAAGAATGGCATATTTCGGCGCTTTGGGCTCTCTGGCTTTCCGGCGTCTGAAGTCGAAGCAATCCATGCACATTGCATCGAACATGGATACCCTCTCCCCGCAGTGTACCAAGGCAGTTACAATCCCTTCAGTCGATCCAAAGAGATTGCCCTGCTTCCGACTCTGCGTAAGCTAGGCATGGCATTCTATGCCTATGGTCCATCAGCGGGAGGATTTCTAGGCAAGACGGTCGCACAAGTCGAGGAAATGGCGAGCGATTCTGCTCGAGTTTCTGCTACTTGTCGCCCGTATATCGGAAAACCAATGTACGTGGAAGCACTAGCCAGATGGAATGACACGGCAGATGCTGAAGGCGTGAGTGCAGCCGAGCTTGCGTATCGATGGGTGGCATGTCATTCGGCGCTGAGCCGAGAGCATGGCGATGCACTGATCATTGGTGCCAGCAGCCCGGAACAGTTGGAGGAGACGCTAAGTGGCATTGATAGGGGACCGCTTAGCGATACCACATGTGCTAAGATCCATGAAATTTGGGAGAGTATCAAAGTCCCGACATGATCGACAAAGCATAAGGCATCTACCATCAAACCATGATTAGTAATAATAGACCTGGGAATGCATGTTGGCATGTGTTTGCGACAGCATATGCAGTCGCTCCAAATCATGGCAACTTTTATAGCCTCCACAAATGTGATTATATGCTGCCAAGTTGTTGGTCGCCATCTAAGAGGTTATCAGGTAGAGCGTTGATTGTCGCAAAATGTTGGTCCGAGCAAATCTACAGAAGAAAATAGGGGGGAAAAGGCAATAGAAGCAGTCATCCAAATATGATGCACCTTTGCTGGATACAAAATTTTCCGGAATCACGCTGGCCGGCCACTCAAGTCTTGCTAAACTGTCTAGTGGATGCATTATAGTGTCAACAGAGACCCGACCTCTGGTTTTGCCTCGCGGGAAACCATGATCTTTGCCAAATCCCGCCAGCGGGCAGCCCAGCAATAGCACAAGAATGATAGTCCCCATCCACCAGCCGGGATAGACTTGAACGGAAATGTCGGGGATTGCATGCAAGTAGGCGCCGGCTGATGCATTAATGTAAACAACATATCACTATGGATCATGTTAGTGAAATGAGCAATTGGCATTGGTCTATCTTAGCAGTTGTTGATACCTACCTGCATCTGCAAGGTCGTGCGATGTAAAACTTGGAATTCAGACCAACAGTCCAGTTAACCATCGCGTAGCACGGAAGCGCAAGGGCCTACTGCCAAAACTAACTCTTTTCAGCGGCAACACCACTATATGGTCCAACCAATAGCCAAGTCAACAATTGGCCTATAAATACAAAGATTAATCCAACTTTTATAAACGATTTTCCTTTAGTTCCCTTGAATATAATTATGAGCTAATTGATCCAGATTAGCAACATAACACGTCATGAACTACTCTACCATTCCTCTTGGACAGAATCCCAATGGTGACCCGCCAAATTTCAATGATCCCCCCAATCTGATAAATACTGTACGCGCTGTCGGAGTCACAATGGCCTTGATCACCATGATACTATTATGCTTGCGATTGATAATCATCCGCCGCAGCGAGCGAAACTTTGGACTAGATGACGGCAAGTTATTCCACAATTTCAAATGGTCTTCAATATACTAATTCCGCATGCTCAGCTTCGGCCATCGTGGCCTTTACGTTGGGATGCGCTTATACAGGGATATCTTGCAGCCGTAAGTGTTTCTCAAGTCGCCTTGACAAGATAAAGGAATGACATAAGACCAGTGGACAATGTCTCTAGACATTCCTGGGACACACCACTCTCGGCTATTGACCCATCATATTTAAAGGTACAGGACGGTATTTACCCTGCTCATATCATATACAGCTTGCAACAGAAGCTGACCGAGTAAATAGAAGCTCTTTGTTACAAGTGTCTTCTGCGGTCCGATGCTCTTTTTTTCGAAGTCATCAATTCTCTTGCTCTATCATGCAGCATTCCATTCGCAAAGGTGGCTCAGAATCAGCGTATATGCATTGCTGGTCATTTTATTCTGCTCTTACTGGATGACTGGCAAGTTTAATGCGGCGCAGCTATCAGTAGTATAGAAGATACTAACTGAAAGTACCTAAAGTTCCGCTGTGCTTCAACTATTGCATGCCTCACAAGGGCAATCCTTGGGATCTTAGCGTGCTCAGCAACTGCAATCACCTAGCCACCCCAGGTCTAGTGCATGCTGCTGCTAATATCGTTACTGACATTGCCATTACCGTCCTTCCGCTACCAATTATTGTCAAGCTCAAAATACCTACCGGAAACAAGATAGCTCTGGCCTGTGTATTTGCGACCGGTCTTGTGTAAGTTGCGGTATTCTTGCAATACGAGCATGACTTCAAGGTTGACCGACCCTGCTTCAGAGCACTAGGGGCTAGCGGTTTAACAGTCTACTATCGCGTGCAAATCATTCGAGGAGTTGATGCTACCTGGGCAAGTGCGCAAACATACATTTGCATGTGAGTAAAACCGCATTCCACATTGTGAGTCACGGCTAATCAATACAAAGTCAAGCCGAGGTATACGCATCTATATCCGTTGCCTGTATGCCCTTGCTGGCCAGGTTGATGAGGGTGAAATTCTCGGATACCAAGCTCTACCAAGTTGTATTTCAAGTATGGTCGCGCTTGAAAGGAACAATGTCTTCGTGGCGTGAGGAAACCAATCACTCGAAACACGGGAGCGAAATGAACGACTGCATTCATCCACATCTGGACTCGAGTGAGGTTCAGCCGTGTCAAGTTGATCCACAAATTTATAGCTCAAGGATGTTCAAGGAGAATGTTGTCGCACAACCGGGTTCTGTAATCATTGTCCACGAAGAGGTGTGATGGATAATATTTCAGACTTAAAGCAACGCAAGAACTGCGGTTGCATTATGGCAGACAAGAAACATGAATATGCAGTAACCAAAGCAAAAGCCCTATTCGTTTCTCAATCTATAAACTGTGCATTGCCCTACGTCTCCTGACCATCTCGAGCATAGACATCATAATTTGCCTATTTGGGCAGCTTAAACCCACCCAGGACGCCCTTTTGGAACATGCCTTCGGGATCATATTTCCTGCTAACCTCCCTTAGCTTTAAGACACTTTCCTCACCGTAACCAGAAATGACATCGTCCTCCTTGAAGGCATAGTTTGTGAATATGTAGCGATGTAGCAATCCCTTCTCAGTCGCAATACTTCGAAGCTCGTCTACAAGCGCCCCAACCGTTTGGAATATGCGCTCATCGTCCTCTGGGAGCGTCCAGATGGGATTGATCAAGATGACAAGCAACGGACCATCAGAAGGGGGTATGGCCATGGCATTGCCGCCGGCCTTTTTCGAGTTCTCAAGAAGCGCTTTGGTCAGCGGATGAAATCCAAAGGAGAAGATGAATCCCTCGGCATCCTTGATCTTGGCAAGAGCTTCTTGCCATTTGTCGTGGAACATTTCCATCATGGATATGTCTGGTTTGACCGTGATTGACGCCCAATATTGGCTTCTCGGTGGTTAGCGATAGTATACAGGTGGAGTACAAATGGGGAATACACACCGTATGCCATCAGTAGAGAACTTGGACAACTCGTCGCAAAAGTCCAGGTGCTTGGCTGTTCTCATGGTGCACATTTGCGAGATTTGCGGCTCAATTGAAGTGAAGCGTTGCAGCGACGGGGGATTCTCGATGCCACCAGTGTGATACATGACGCACGACACAGCTTGGTGGCCATAACCGTAACCAGCACTGCACATGATGTGGGTATCGATATCTTGTTCATTGTGCACAAAGTCACAAGCACGCTGGAGTACTTCGTTGAAAGTGCCCGGCATGTAGTATGTTACGCCACCCCAGATGTCGCAAGATTTGATTGTCCTCATCTTGAAAGATGTGACGACGCCAAAGTTGTTGAGGCCACCCTTGAGAGCAATCCAAAGATCTGCGCGCTCCTCGGCATTGGCCCGCACGAGTACTCCTGATGAAAGGACAACCTCAAACTCGATGACCGAGTCACAGGCGAAGCCTGTACGTGTCGAGAACATTGATAACCCACCTATTCACATGTTAATCGGCATTTTCCACCAACAAATTTGGAACTCTTGCTCACCCCCGAGAAGGAAGCCAGAAACACCAATGCGACCAACACGACCTCCTGGAACGGTAAGGCCATACTTCTCCAGCTCCTGATAGACAGAGGTCCATGTCTCTCCAGCACCAATGGTCACTGTATACTTGTCGGCGCTAAGTGCCACACCCTTCAATCCTCGCAAGTCAATCGTGATGCCATTGTGAATGTTTGCACTGCCTGCGAACGGAGTATGTCCGCCACCTCGAATAGCCACTTGGATATTGCCGGAAGTGGCATGGAAGCCAAGTTCCTTGATCAGGTCTTGTACTTGTTGCGCCGTGTTCGGTTGAGCAATGTAACGAGGCTTCAGCTCATTCTCAAATGCACTAAAGTATGAGTTGTTACTCTTTTCGTACTCGTCGCTACCAGGTTGTGAAATAGTGCAGCTGGAAATGTTGGTCAGAACACTCGGAATGTCAAGAATATCATGGTCCGACATAGTGTTCATAGCGGACGGTACACCTCAAAGTACCTGATATTCTATGATCGACCTAAATGGAAGAAGCACCTTTTATCTAAGCTATTTACAAATTTTGATCCGTGAATGGTGCTATGTTTTTATAGACACTACGAGAGTTGTGGGATGGCACAGGGCAGATGCAGCCGAACAATCGCTCATGCAGTTGGTTCCTGGAGTTTCCTGTCGTTGGTTGTTAATGCCGTACCAAGGTTACTGGAATGGAGCTCTGTACCAACAGTGGAACAGCCCAAGATTCGGTTGGTTCAGCGCCATTGGAGTACCCGCTAACTGTAAACTTCAACCCCTCCCAAGACTGCCCTCACTCCCGAATGGCGTATTTCTGTTAGCCACCACCTCGAAGCAATTATTGATTCTCCAACCGCTTGTCGTTAAGACTCGCCATTACGAAAATTGGGTCTTGCAACTTTACGCTACGTCGCAACTCTTGGGAGATATGTATGATCTGATGCCTGGCTGGGTGCCTCCCTTAGCCATTGGAGCTAGAAGTTGGCACTTCGGCGTGCAAGTCAAGACAAAACTACCTAGGTAGGTAGTTTAGATTGAATGCATAGGTAGATTTTCCATTTTCTAGACTACAAGATTTGGACCCGACAAGGTTCCCCGATCAATCCAATTTCCTCCCTCAAAGAGTCTGGCCAATTGTGCGCAAAGATATTCCGGTACTCCTCCTTGAAATTGAGTGCCATTGTGGTTTCATCCTGTCCCGTAAAGGTCCGGAACTTGGTCAAGTCACACAACCGGTTTCTTAGATGATGTAGAAACATGTGAGTTGCGATCCTCTTCACCGGAATGCATATGTATACGGTTGCTTGGTCATTCACGGAGGCACTGCTATAAATCTTCTGCTCGATTCCGTACGCGCCCAGGAGACTCCATCCCATCCAGTTGCGCATCGGTTTCTCTCCAACTCTCTTCCGATATATAATATCATGACCTTCAAAGGTGAAGCATTCGGGAGAACTCTCGGCGCTCACTTCTATAACCTTGGTGACCTTTTGATTTACAAACACGTCGAAGTTGTACATTCGAGTCCGTCTTCCAATGCTCAGTATACGCGTATATTCTGCCCACATGGCGGCATCAAAAGTGAAAAATATATTTTCAGTATCTTGTGGAATGTTGTTCGCCAGATTCTCGTCGCCCAGTCGGCGATAGTCGATATCGCAGGGTGACTTCGTAGAACAATGTATAGTTGAAAATTGACTCATTATTGAGACATAGAGCTCCCCAAACTGATGGTAGTTGATCTTGTATAGTGAAGGTGCATCGGTCAAAAGTTGAAAGAGCGGTAATATGTCTTTGACCCGAAGATTTCCATCTGGAATTGCTCCCAAAAGGCCTTCGTCCAGTTGTGAGTCGAGCTTAATTATACTCGCTGCAGAGTAGAGTGTTTCGTATGGGAGAGGCATCGTCCAGCCATTCGACAATGACAATATTGGCCTAGAGTCATAGAAACAGTCCTCTGCATGTTTTATTTGGATGTTATCGTTCAGGAGGGTTCCCGTGGACTGGCCATCTGCTCCCTTGCCTTCTGGGAGGTCAGCGCCTGCTGCGTCACTACTCACGGGCAGTTGCGGCCTGCGGAAGATAAGCAGATTCCAGCAGCGGCAAGAGCATACCAACTCGTATGCTACACCCCGAACTTTCTGCTGCGATTCTCGTAGAAAGAATAAGATTGGACCAATAGCACCGTCGGTGTCGCGCATGAATATCCAGATTGGGATATCGCCGAGCAACAAGTCCAAATCTATGAGGTCAGTGCAAAGGAGAAGAGAGTGTTTTGCCATTACAAATTCGAACAAACGAAGTGATCCGAAGTCTGCAATCCTCCTAGGCCTTGAAGAAAGCTGTATGATTCGAATTAACTTGATTGACAAGGCCGCCGTGGAGGAATGGATAGAGAGGGATTCATTAGTTGAATTGCCCAGGCTCATCATTGCTCTCAACTCCGCAAAACTTGTTGTGTTCCAAAGCTGATACTGGTTGTCGGTACTCTTACTCCGCCACCAATCAAAATCACCCTGGAAGTCCGAAGTAATTGACCAAACTTGTTGGCAGCATAGACCCATAACTCTGTACCAATCTTGCAACTGGTCGTAGTCTCTTTGCGCCGCATCTATTTGACTACGCCAAATGAATGGATCCCGCATGTCTGGTAACCAAGTTGGGTATCCTGGTGCAGCTTTCAGTCCAGCGGCATGTCCAAGTGCGTGCCGTTGATCTAATATGATCATGACGTACGCTACCAAGCCAATAAAGATTTCTCGCGTAGAAAGCGTGTAATCTGGCAATAGCGAGTAATCCACGTTGCGGCACGAATCTGCCGTTGAGCGCGGTTCTTGATCACAAACGGCCGTATCGACAAGCCCCAAGATTCCAAACAACTTGTCTCGTGGGTCGGTTGCCTCTGAGCTCCATGTCTGATCCAATAACAAATGTAATTCGTTGCGAGAAAATATTCGCCCACTCGCGATATGTTCGAACCAGGGCGCTGTTGTGCTGTTCCAATCGATGCTCAGTCGCTTGATGCACGCGCTGTCGGCGTAGTATTCAGAGCTGTACAAGGGAATCAACAGCGATTTCGCCAGCAGAAGCTCTTGTATGACCCAAACTCGACTAAAGTAACGGTGGTCCATGAGCTTTTTGGAAGTACGGTCATCATTGTCTTCAAATGCTTGGGATTCGTCCAACCACGACCGACGACGGTGCTGCTGGGTGGGTTGTAAAACAGTATCAGGGCCAAGATAAACCACAACACGGCTGGCGTTGCGATAAATGTTTTGCATTTCTGCAACCTGCACTTCCCTTTCGCGGATATTGGACTGATCAATGCATATAGCGTCAATCCAGACCATGCGCACCCCGCGAGTGGGACGCAGGTATTTCAACATTGACAAGCAGTTTTTGGTTTGCAAGGCCACATCATAAAAGTTACCAATGAAAATTGGACCGCTGGGCTTGCTGTCGCCATCTTCTCCTCCCCATGCGTAAGAGGTGGCTTCGTATTCTGGGCAATCGTCCAAATTGTACTGTTCTAGGTCCAAGTGTATCAGATCGCCATGATTCTCGGCAGGGTACAAGCATATGAGACGAAATTGCCCAACATCCAGTTGACGGTATATCCTGGAATGCCCAGTATTTTCCGAGGTTGGTTCAGAAGATACTGGCGCCTTGTCCGTGTCGGGAATAGTGGCGGTTGTGCTATGCGATATGTCGAGATCTTCATCTGTTGTGTATGGAACTGAGGGTGGCCATCGGAGTCTACCCAAGGGTCGATCTTGTGGGATAGCAGGACCTGCAGCTGTTGTTTGAGGCACCGATCGCTGATTGAACAGATATGTCGCGGAACAATTTTGACAAGAGACTTCAGAGTCTTTGACTGAAACGACTGGATCAGTACAGGTTGAGGCGTGCCAACGCACCACCATCTTGTTTTTCTTTGAGACTTTGCCGTGGCGCTGCAAAAATTGGGGGAATAATGCACCTTATCATTTTGATACAGAGCGAAGAGGATGTCATGGATTGTGGAGCTTTCGGCAATGGGTGCCTGATGATCAATATGATAGGTACGTTACTACACTTGTAGAACACGAGCGGGGTAGACCAGAGTCCATGTTGCGCGATATAACACTCTACACTGGCCTGAGCTTGGTGTGGAGCTCTCACTTTTGCGTTGTATATCGCGATAGTCCAATAACCCCCCCAAACCAGAAGGAGCATTGTCATTTCATGTTTCTTGCTGCGGGCGGGAGCAAAAGTGCACATAAGTGTATTCAATATGTAATAATCAATGTTTATCTGGCCAACCTACAAGGATGTCTCAACCAAAACGGCCAGCGAAGAACAAACCGGTAAGTCCTCGCAGCCGCTGCAGGAAAGCACAATGGGCTGTGGCGAGTTTCAAGATCACCAAAGGGGTTAGCAAGATTGGGGGCATCAAACGACAATGACTATGTATCCACATTGCCTCGCCTCTCACTGGATTCCGTTTCTAAAGAATGATGTACAGGTCAGATACAGCTCGCTATGACATCTTGCGAAGCGGCTCTAGATATGCGCCCGGCAGTCCACTCTTTGCGTGGTGCATCCACTGGAACCAAGGCTCATACGGCTTGTCTGTCCTGGCAATCACGTTGCCGCTCTTATACTCTGGTACGTCGTGGTAGTAATGAGACCTGTAAGCTGTCTCGATGGCCTGCCCGGTCTTTTGGTGTGCTTCGTCTTCCAAAAATACATCATAGGCCGACATGAGGCATTCCTTGTCCGTCAAGCTACATACAGGTTAGTTTATTTCGGTTCAAAAAGATAATTTTCGGGAGTAACTTACTGTTCATCCAGATACGCCTCTTTGAAATCTGGCATGATGCCAGTGTCATACCCATTAGGCAGCACGGTATTGATGGTGATGTTTTCATGTTTGAGCAGCATGGGCGCCATGGTCCTCACCCACTGCAACGCAGCTGCCTTGACACAACCGTACTCTGGGAATGTCGGGCATGGATAAATCGCGACGATGCTGCCGGTAACAATGATTTTGCCCTTGACGTCGGGCGGGTTGTGCCGGTTGTAGTGCGTGAACAGCTCGGTGCTGTAAACGACGGCCTTGAAGTCGACATCAGTGCAGCTCAGATCAGGCTCCGGCGGAGGATCGTCGACACGGGCGTTGCGCCGGTCGAGATTGTACCGCGATCCCTTGTCAATCATGCCGGCATTGGCGATAAAGGCGTCGATGCGCTCCCACTTTGCCCAGACGGCCTTGAAGAGCTGCAGCTGCGAGGCATACGACTCGACGTGGCACTCGACGAAGAGGACCGTCTTTCCCGACGGGTCTAGCTGCGCGGCGATAGCCTCGCCCTCCTTGACGCGCCGGCCCGTGATGACGACATTGTAGCCGCGGGCGTGCAGGCGCTCGGCCAGGTCGCGACCAATACCGCTCTAGCAAACCGTGTTAACATCATCTTGAGTATCGAGAAAGTCAAATCATGCTTACAGTGGCACCAGTGATGACGGCAACCCGTCTGTGGTCTGGGGGCGCAAGGGAACCCATATTGCTCACTTATTGTTACGATTTTACGCAATGACCCTTTGAGTGGTGTCAGAATACGTGTTGTTCGGTCAAGACTGATGACGAAAAATCTATCTGACAAAGACAATTCACCAAAAGTCATGTGATACTAGCCAAAGATTGCATTTATATACGGCCTGATGATCTGATGTGTTATCGTGGTAGTGCCGCCAGTTGCACGTTCCTTACCGTTCGGCCAGCCGGAGAAGAGCCCCATTGTTTGCCTTCTGCCGAGCGTGCAGATGGGTAATTATGCTTGAAGATCAGTCTTGCTCAAAGCAAATATTGTTTGATTGTGCGTAGGGGTGGTGGAGAGAATGGCCAACTGCTTTCCCAAAATGGACGAGATATCTGCTCTTTTATCAAACAGTTCGATTGCCAGCACCGAGTGGCACAGCTTTTGCGGTGGATGAAACCATGTAAGCGGGAGGACGGGAGGATTTCTCTGTACATACCGGCTCCCCTGGTCTCTGCCGGGTTTGTTGTTTGCTTGGTCTGCTCTTTACATATCTTGAGAGACCAGATTAATCGCTCAACGGCCCGAAGTGTTGATGGCCAATCGCGGAAGTGGCCGCCGATCCTCTTTTAAGAGGGTCAAGCCAGGAGAGCCCTGTTAGGTGAAAGCTCCGTCATGAACTGACAGGTGAAAACGCGGCTCCGTAAGCCAGCGGATGATGGGTCCGGCAGTGCCACTCCACCAGGAACAATACGACTGTGTGCGTGGGGGTTGGATATGGCAGCGCCATTTGGTCCACTACTGGTCAATGCAGATTGATTTCTCCTTGGGGTAAAAAGTGCTCTGCTTTCTGCATCCATGACCAAAGTGCCAAGACCGGGTTTGGCGGTCATTGATAGGATAGGACGGAAAACTTCCAGAATGATTCCTATGGACTCGGAATTTCTTTCATTTTTCTTGAGCAGTGATCAATATCAATCTTTTTTTTTCTTCCAATGCCTAGTCTCGATGACTACGCTACCAGCTCTCGCGTTTGACTTGCCTCAATGTGGACTTGGACCGATTGTTTGCTACCTCCATGTCCTGGATGACCAAAATGTTTGCTAGAGGAACACGACGCCATCGCCCGGGGCAGGCGTCATGATACAAGAAACGATTCGCATCCCTTACTTCGTGAAGGCCGACTATCAGAATATCGGCAGATCATTCTCATGATATGATATTACGAGGCGTCTGGAATAGGTGCCAGGGACATCATTCATGGTTTGATATTACCGCAATTCCAAGAAGAATATTCATCTGTCCATAGTCGGTCCTCCATGGCGATGATACACCCCCAGTTGAGACCGGGATGAACACTTTGGGGAGCGTTTTGTGTGTACTAGAGATGACGAAGGATTTCCTCTCAATTCATCGAGCCAAACCGTACCTCGAGATGTCAGGGATTCTGTCTTGCCACTGGCGGCTGGCAATTCTTTGATGAGATGGTCAAGATCCTTGATGAGCAAACGAAGAACCATGTCTACGACGTTGGACAAAAGGGGTCCATTTTCCTTGTGCATTCGAACATGTGAAGGACAATAGAATCTCGAACACGCACTCTTGTTCTTTTTAGCAGTGCTCGAGTACGACATCCAACAATACAACAATAGTCATGCCAGACAAAGGAAAAACATATGAATCGATTACGATTCAGAATAGTGGACAGATTGGTATGATTGCAGCATGTTCTGTGTGTATTGTCGTTCCCACGGTCCTCGTCTCATTACGCTTCATTGCTCGTCAACGGTATTCGGGCTTGCCACTGGACGCAAGCGACATTTGTATCGCTGCTGCACTAGTGAGTATATTGCACGCCATTGATGGTTTCGAATTTTGTCTGACCAGCACTAGCTTTTCGTTCTTGCTCTCTGCATCGTTGACTACTTGATGGTATTTAAAGGAGGCTTCACCTTTGACCTCACTGAAATTGCCGAAAGATTTGGTCCAGATGCGCTGACCATCTTCTTCAAGGTAATTTTCACAGTTCCGCGTCGTATCGCAGCTGCGTTGACTAACTCGTCACCCAGTGCATGGCTGCATGGCCTCTGCTTTGGAATAGCTGCGTCTTGACTAGCAAGCTATCGGTTCTGGCCATGTACATGACTCTAATGCCGGTTCCTCGGATGATACTGGCAGTCAAATGCGTCGGAACTTTTGTTATTCTGTACAACGTCTCTGGCTTCATCACTGGTCTCGCCATTTGCCGTCCGTACTCCAAGAACTATGATTGGCAGGGCACGGTCGAGGGCTCGTGCGGCGACGTCAAGGTATACTATGAATGGTTGAGTGCCATCAATGTCGTATCCGACGTCGTCATACTTCTCCTGCCACTCCCATTTGTCTACAATTTGCAAATGGCATTGAAGAAAAAGCTTGTGCTCTTTGGCATGTTTGGTATTGGCTTCATGTGAGGGGACTTGGTATGTTGTGAGACAGAGCAGCGCTAATTGTTGAATCCCAATAGGACTTGCGCAGTCACCATCTATCGACAAACATTATTGCCAAGCCTAGATAACGCAAACCCTACAGGTACCGGTCTTCTCGCCTTCTTGTTTTCGACTGTAGAAATCGCCGTAGCTGTTTCATTGGCATGCGTGCCGTTCCTGCGACCACTCTTTCGAGGCACATTTGGTGGCTCATCGGCCGACAACTCCAAGTACAAGACCGATGCGAGCTATGCCTTCTCTAACAAGGGAACAAAGGCACATCATAGTCAGGGTTTCAAAGAGTTGGAGGACGACGGCTCCGAGATTCAATTGCAACCAGTCGATCTGGAACGAGAGATTGGTGTCACGGTTGAGACGACTTGGAAAGTCGAACCAGCCGGTGGAGACACGGCGAGGTCGTCGGTTGCGAACTACCAAGCGACAGCTTCCAGTAACAACCGTCTGTGAAAGGCTTATGGTGATACAGGGTGGCGAGACTTGCGGGTGACACCAAAAACAAGAACCGAAACCAAATAGTAGTATAGAATAGTTATTTGGGCGCAGATTGATTGACTATTTATAATAATCCGAAATTGTCGTCTATAGTCTTAATCTATCTAAAATAACAACATTAGAGGAGATTCATTACAAATCCCATGCTCCACGAGTGCAGACGAGCTTTTCTATTCTAACAGCCGTGTCTCTATCAGAATCATGCCTTGCTAAGCAATCCTTGAGGCATAGTAGCCTTGGCTACCAGAACAATAAGACCACCAAAGAGCGTAATGGCACCGCTGAACATTGATACTTCAAAGAAGCCTCCATATTTATCAACAAGAACACCATTGATGGGTGGTCCGATCAGGGACCCAAAGCCAGCAATGAACAGTCCTATACCCAGATAGGCTCCAATTTGCTGAGGGTCGGCGATGCAGACAGTCAAGGCAGCAGTGGCACCAGAAACGACGGTTCCTGACCAGAAACCGATGATCACAGCGTATACAATCAAGCCGGCTGTATTCGTTGGCAGATTCATGCAAAAGATGATGATGCCAGTAGCAATGCCTCCCAATGCGAATGCGTTCGTGCGACCCATTCTGTCCGCAAACACGCCAGGAATGACGCGACCAAAGAAGGATGCGGCGTTTAGAATAGCCAGCGTATAGCCGGCGAGTGTTGCCTCGATACCCAGAGTCGTTGCAAACGTGGGGATGTAAAAGAGCGGAGTAAACACTCCCATGAATAGGAAGAACATGGAAGCGACCAAGAGCAAATATGTTTTGTTTCCAAGGACTTGGGCAAAGGGAATCGAGACCTTGGACGTGCGCAGTGGAATGCGCGTCTTGACGACGACGCAAGAGAAGGCGAGCAGGGGGAGAATCATGAAGCCAACGATCCTTACGGTCCAGCCAAAGCCGAGAGAAGTTCCATTCAACATCTTGGAAATGGCAATCGGCATCACTATACCTCCAAGTGAAGAGCCAGCGACAACGATACCAAAGGCCGCTGCCCTGTTCTTGTCGAACCAGTGCGGTATAGTGGCGAAAATAGGGATTTGCAAAAACCCCATCGCTATGCCCATCAAGACACCCTGGACGAGCATGATTTGCCAGTACGTTTTGCAAAGACCGAGCATCATCATGGCAAATACGTAGGCCAAAGCTGCCGGTCGAAATGCCTGCCACCAATTAGTCACCTGTCTGCCACAACCCGTTGGATGGATTCCCTTACATTGACTCCAAATCGGTCAAAGATGGGCCCGGCAATCATTCCTGTTGCAAATTGAAGAAAAGCTGCGAGCGAACCAATCCAGGCGACATCGTCGGGTGTCTTGTCGGATAATTGGTGGGTGAGATAGTATTCCTCAAAAGCGCCAAAGGCATTGGTGAACCCCAAACAGCAAAAGAAAACTGTGCATCCACCAGCTGCCACTAGCCAAGCAGTAACGCCGCCGTCGGGCGCAGGACCGAAGTCTGGAGAATCGGATGGCTTTTCTCCTGCATCGATGTTTGAAGCATCTCTTGATGATCGATTACTTGTTTCGATTTGATTTTCCATGTCCGGGGATGAAGCGGCCATTTTTGCCAAGCCACAGTATAATGGGGTCTATTACTTGGACGGATATAGGCGTATTAGTGGTTGAAGTGCTACGGCGAATGTGCAACCAAAGCCAGTTGACAACGTGAGATGCCGAGAAACAGGTTCAAGCTGAATGATAGATACGATCCATATAAGCCAAACGTATTGCAACCATATTGACTCTGATATATGTATCCATCTTACGAGTTTTCGGACATGCACGGAAAATTAAGCAGAGTATAGAATGAGACGAGTCATCTCGGGGATAAGGCCAGTCTAGCCTATCATGGACTGGGGGCGGCGCGGGAAATTCAAGGCCGAGTCCGAAGGATTTCATGTCCGATTTAGTAGCTGCCTGCCTAGAGTGAGTCTGACATTTTTATAGAATAAATCTTTTTCAAATGCCTCTTCTCCTTCCGGAGAAATCATCCCCTTTGTAACACGATATAGACAATTTACCGAGGACCGAAAATTGCAAAAGGCTCCTTCTTCTTTCTTGGATCGTGTGCACGTTCGGACAATTGGTCATCAAAATGGAACCCGAGCGTCGGCGTAGACGCCCTGCTGTGTATGATCAGCCACTCATGTCGCGCCCTCCACTGTAACCCCTACAAGGCTGACTGTAACGTATGCGTAGCTCGTGCGTTCTTTGTCGGAGACGCAAAATCAAATGTAATCGGGAAAGTCCGTGCAATAATTGCGTCAAGTCCGGCCGCAATGAATGTGTGTACGAAAATCCACCGCCGCCGGCCCCACGACAGCCACGCAGCGATCGGATGAGTGAGGCTGGGACAGACTCACAGCTGTCTCTGTCATCGACCAATAGTATCCAGTCTGTGGTGCAAAGTCATGGCTCTGACCCTGCGAGTCGTGGTCCCACCCCAGCGACTACGACTACCGGCTCCTCATCGTCGCCATCAGCCGCCTGGGACATTGAGACGCTCAAGAATAGAGTGAGGCAGTTGGAAGGGCAGCTATCGCAGACCAGCTTGACGCCAACACAGAGAGCTGCCACGCCCGTTCCTGTAAATATTGAAACCAACACTACTTCCCTTGGCGGGACATTTCACATTCACCGCGACAATGCCTCGAACCCCGTTGTTCGTGGCGTCACACACAAATCGAGAAAGTTTGGTCAGAGCCACTGGGTCAACATCGTGGGCATCACACTGGTAAGATGGACATTGTCATGGGTTCATCATTACTCTCGACTCACCTTTTTTCGTTTCTAGTTTAAAGACTTGATTGTCTCCATTGAGCCGCTTCTTCGAGACCCGTCGTGCCCCTTCATGACAAACCACCAAAGAGGCAAGGCCCTAGCCAGGACCATAAAGGCCCAACGTACTCCACCGTGGCCAACAACCATCACTTCACCATTGCCCCCAAAGAATGTCTCGGACGAATTGGTCGACTGCTATATGCGCACTACGGAGACCGTCTACCGTGTTCTCCATATATCAACCTTTAGAGGAGACTATGACGCAATCTGGGAGACGGACGTCCGTCCGGATCCCGTGTTTCTTATAGTAGTCAAGCTCATGTTTGCAATTGGCGCAGCGGTTTTTGACGAGCGGTTCACATTGCGGGCGTCGGCAATCCAGTGGGTGTACGAGGCCCAGACCTGGTTAGCCGAACCAAACATCAAGCGCCGCCTCACTCTCCAAGGCTTACAGGTTCACATACTACTCCTCCTCGCCCGCGAGGTTGTCGACGTGGGACACGACTCGGTCTACATCTCAGCAGGTGATCTGTTCCGCAGAGCCGTCATCATGGGGCTGCATAGGGACCCGAAACACATGCCTCACAAGTCAATCCTCGTCTCGGAGATGCGCCGGCGACTATGGAACACCATCTTGGAGGTGTGTGTGCAGTCTAGTCTGACGTCGGGCGGCCCGCCATTTTTCGGCTGCAACGACTTTGACACGGAACCGCCGGGGAATTTCGACGACGACCAACTGGGTACGGAAGACGCTCTGCCCAAGCCCGACGATCAGTTCACCCAAGTCTCGCTCTCGCGAGCCCTGCGCAAGCTGTTCCCGGCCCGCATCGCCATTGTCAAGAGCCTCAACGATCTTCACTCGACGGGCACCTACGAAGAAACGCTGAGGTTGGATGACCAGCTGAGATCATTATACAAGAACGTCGCCCGAACCCTGCAGCCGTTTCGTTCAAGTCTGGGTTGGACCTCGTCGCAATTCGGGGCCCAGATGATTGACCACTTGGTTCAGCGTTACTTCTTGTCTCTTCACGTGCCCTTTTATGGGCCGTCGCTCAATGTAGCGCAGACAGCATTTGCCTTTTCCAGAAAGGTTCTAATCGAGGCTTCGCTCAAGATCTGGTACAATCTCTATCCACAGCTTCTGAACCCAAACGGACCGTCTGCGACCGACGGAGATCTGTTCTCGGGCAGTGACTTTGCGCGTGTAACGGCTGCGGGCGGCGGCGTCCCTCGCTTGGCCGCCAACCAAGCCGCCCTGCTCATCGGCACCGAACTCGAGGCCCAGGTCAAGGAGCACGAAAGCCTCGGCGGGCCCATATCCATTCGACCGGACCTCTTTGCCGTGCTGCAAAAGGCGGTGGATTGGCAGCTCCACTGCAACAGAATCGGAGAAACCAACATCAAGGGCCACCTGATCACATATATGCTGGCGGCGCAGGTCAATGCGCTCATGCTTGGAACTGCAAAGGGAGAGACGGGTCCCCTTTTGGTGAAGGCGGCTATCGAGGCGGAGGAACTGTCGATTCCGCTGCTCGAGGCCATTGCGAGTGAAAAGCAGGATGAGCTGTCGACGGATGCATCATACTCGGGTTCGCTGAGCACGCCCGCAAGTATGGATTGGGATTTAATGGTGAGTAAACAGATAACATCTAAATATTGACTGCTGCTTGAGACTCACAAATTGCAGATGACGGATGCACTTTTGGACGCGGGTGGCGACATGGACACAATGGGTTGGCAATTTAGCGACGACAACATGAAAGGAGACACATTTTGGTAGTCAACTGGAGAGAGACGGAAATAGACCCTCACTTGGCCGCAACGCACATAACAGCTCACTACCATGTTCGAAAGTGGTTTCAAAGAGAGGGAAAAGCCGCCTCAGGATCAGAGAGGAGACGATGAAGCGGTCGAATTTTTTTCGTCCCTTGTGTACTAAATTCCGGAGATAATTCACAACTAGACATGGAGCTACAACAGTTTGTTTGGACCGGATCACTCATCTCATCTGATAATATAATTAATTATTCCATGTGGGTATCCAATAATGATCTATACTGAGGGGCGCCATCGTCCCCTAAAACTTGCGCTTAAATGCGCACCCGCTTTCCAGTGAAGAGGCCAATAAAGGCCAGGATGCGGTAAAGAGAACCAATACCAAACAGCACCGCGAGATTATTCATGAACCAATCCAGGTGGTACCCAGTGGCCTGGGCAGCCCGCTCAATATTGTACAGGTCGGCAAAGGGACTGACCAATTGACCCACGTAGACCTCGGCCAACCAGACGGCGGGACTCGCGCGCCAGAGCCACTCGAGGTGCCACGTCTGGACCTTGGCCAGCGACGGCGAGGCACCGCACAAGACGCCGACAATGAGGGCAATCATGGTGGCGAAGAGGGGCGCGTCGTCTCGTCGCAGGAACATGCTCAGGAAGCTGGCCAGTCCGTAGATGCAGTAAAAGTAGAGCAGGTTGACCAAAAAGGCGCTGCCCCAGTTCATGACGGGCACGGCGAGCAGCAGCAGCCAGGTTGAAAAGTGGAAACATCCGAGAAACATGCGCGGTAAGACGGCAATCGACTTGGCCACAAAGTAAGCCAGGCGCGAATGACCGGCCTCTGCCTCACGGCGATGCAGCAGCATTTCTTCGGAGAATACCTTGACACCGGGCGCCGCGCAAACCAGACCAATGGCAATGGCAATAAGCAGGGCAGTCTCGGGGGCAGACTTGTAGTCAGTAGCCACGGAGAGAATCTCGAATGGTGCCTTATACATGCCCGTGAAGAGAATGCCCTTCTTGGAGTTCTCGGCCAGGCCAATGAGGAAGCCGGCAATACTAGCTAGGGTCATTTCACTCCAAAAGACGAGACCGTTGCGATACTGCTGTAGCATGGCTCTCTGCAGGCATAACCAGGTCTGCTTGACTCTAGAAGCACCTCGGGTCTTGAGAACCCGGTTCATGGCTGAGCTGTCGACGGGAGCCATGGACACAGGCCTCGAGTTCCAGCTCAAGGATTGTTGAGAGTTTTTCCAGTAGGCAATGAGAGACTCCTTGGAGATTTCGCCGCCAGCTTTGTAGGGCCTTCCATTACCAGTGATGATGTCTGTAACAACATCACCGTGGTTGCTGTGTGGTGGGAATTGGTAGCCGTTGCCTTCAAAATATTGTTGAACATCAGCTTCCGGGCCCTCATAAATGAGCTGGCCATTGCCAAGTAGAATCAAGTTGTCCAGCATGTCAAAGATTTCCATGCGAGGCTGGTGAATAATGACAATGACGGATATACCCAAGCGCGAAATGGCCTTGAGCGTTCCCATGATGGAACTTGCCGCAGTAGCATCGAGACCAGAAGTTGGCTCGTCCAAGAAGATGGCCATGGGGGCAGCGGCGAGCTCCATTCCAATGCTGACACGTTTTCTCTGCCCACCGCTAATGACGGGCTTGCCTACAGTACCGACCAACGAATCCCTGACGTGCGAAAGCTCGAGACAGTCAATGACAGCGTTGACATGGGCTACCACGTCCTTGTCTTTCCAAGTCCGGGGCAAACGGATCCGCGCCGAATGAAGAATATTCTCGTAGACGGTCAGTTCTGGCAAGACGACATCATCCTGAGGGACGTAGCCAATCAATTTCTTGTACCGTTTGAGCTTGCCAGGAATGCCATTGATGGCGACAGATCCGCCCGTGTGGTTGGTTTTGCCCATGAGCACGTTAACAAAAGTCGATTTGCCAGCACCCGAGCCACCCATAATGGCCGTAACCGATCCACGATCGATGGAACCAGTGACGTTTTGCAGAATCATCTTGGAGGACCTTTTCGGCTGAAAGCTCAAGTTGTTGTATCTGAACGAGAGACCAAATTGTGCAGCATCCGTAGCCCTGCGCATAGATTCTACAAAGGATCTGAGCTCAGGGCTCATGCCAGTGGCATTCTCCATTTGCTCAGCTCGCGTTCCACGGTTGAAGCCCATTTCCATGACGGCATTGAAACCCCAGGTTTGCGATCTAGGAATGGGTCCCGGCTGCATTGGTTGCATCTCGGTATCTTGATCGTTCTCATGGTCGTGTTCGTCGTCCAGGGCGTGATATCCAGATGACTTGGCCGCATAAGCTCCAAATCCAGTGGGACGGCTCTTCAAGGTAGCCGCATGCGCACTGGCAGTCTTGTGGAAGCGGCGGCGGATAACGAAAACAAGGGCGACTATTATCATGGCGATATCGACGAGAAGTAAGAAAACAATAGGAATGACATTCCGGTTGTAGGTAGATCCAGCTGGACAAAGACCTCCAACGCCGCACGGGGTCGGTTTCGCAGCGCCTGGTTGACAGTACGAGCCCGACGGACATTGGATGATTTCATTTCCGGGACTTGGGCAGTAGTAACCGGCTCTACAAATCGTCGGCTCGAAAGGGCCCATGCCAATATTTTGCCCATTGAATTCACAAACCGCCCCAGCCAACCGGAGTTCCTGGCATTCGGTAAGGGGTGGACAATATTGCGGCAAACTGTTTGCCGTATTGTTGGCGCCTGTTGATTGTTAGCTATCTTGTCTGAAAGAAGATCCTTGCACAAGATCAGAATACATACAGAGGAAACCTTCGATGCAGCCCTGAGACTCCCACGACGTCAGATTCTGCAACTGAATAGGAGCGGCGCCTGCCCTCCAACAGGGCGCAGCATCAACCGGCGTGACATTCCGAGCAATCTCATCTGTAGCCCGGTAGAAAGCCGTCGAGAAAGTTGTCTGATTCACAGCGGTGCAGGCTCTATCGTACCCGGTGAAGCCGCTCTGGTCGGTCACCTCGACGAGTTGTGACTTGCTATCGTCCCAACCATATGTCGTGCTATTGTTGGGGCCATTGGAAGCATCGTAGATGGGGAGTTTGACATTGCTGTCACTGTTCAACGTATTAAACCATTTACCCGTCGTCGCCACATAGACGTTCTGTGTCTGATTTCCAATGCATTGCCACGCTGTCGCATTGCTATCAACTGCAGGAAGCGTCCGCAGAGCACAAACGCATGCCCCCGTGTCAAGAAATGTAGGCCCTGTAGGGTCGGCTTGTGGATAATAAGGATCTTGGGGGGTGTCGCTGGCATCAAGACCATATACGGCAAGTGCGCTGCCAGACATTTTTGAGCCAGTCGCCTCTGGAATAATTGTACACTACAAACAGAAGGCGATCTTCACAAATGAATAGCCAAGAAAAAACGGACCATGGACAATGGGAGGAAAAGCATGGGAAAGATATATCAAGTAAAAATGCTGAGCCCCATGGTCCTCAAGGACCACGGCGTTATGGATCAACATCCCAGCGGATCCTGCGCCTCAGCCTAACGGCTCGAGCAACAATATGATCCATTTCCCAAAAGGCATTGAACAATCTCCTCTCGTGCTGACTTTGCAGATGCCATATCACTAGAAAATAGACATCTTATCCATTTTGGGTGAAAACACTGTCCACCTTGAGTGGGGCACTTTTGAGGCTGGAGTCTTACAGGTGCTACGACTGGCCTGCGGAATACCCGCAGTGGCCTGCCAAAGGATTCGGTGCCATGCTGGCGCAGGGTCGTCGTGTATCCCAGCCAAGTGTCGGGAGCAGCTACTGTAGTCAAGGAGTCCGGGAACTTTTCGATCGTATGTACCTGGAGCTCCATGAGACAAAACGTTGACCTTTGGTTTCGTCGTTAGTCACTGAGCTGGCGAAGGGGGGAAATGGTTTGTTGTTTTGCGTTCGCGACGAAGCCAGCGGCCGCATCGCAAGCTAATCTGTTGCCCTAAGTCAGACCAGAGATGCTTGGGAGTAGATGACACCAATGTATTCGACGTGTTTTCAAGACGCGACGCATTGACAACGATTCGAGCGCAAACACCAGAAATAGATACTGCAGCAATCATTGTGTTGAGACATCTTGTCGCACAAGAAATATTGTGCTGAGAGAATCCCAGTCGGGGGATGGATTGTGATAGGTCCTGGTGAATCTCTGTGCCGGAGTGGGACACCAGAAGACCAACCAACCCGCAGCCTGCAGCTAAAGTCTGAGCCTTACAACGGAATAATTTAGCGTATCAGCATGCCGCAAATCCACCGGACTGTCGCCAACCTTTCTGCCTACCGCTTCACTGGTACAGGTCTTACACAATATGCCGTGCCTGACGCTAACATGCTCAAGGTCGAGTTTCCTGGCCCTAATTTCTTACAGGCGCAGGAATTGTAAGATGAATTGAGACACGTAGTACGGGGAGAAGCGAAGAAAATAATGTTCTACGTTGCTACATCATTTCACGCATTGGTAAACAATATCAGATGAATAAAGTCGGGGGAATGGTAGCAGCACCTCAGGTATCGACCAAGCCCAAGGGCTTCATGGTTAATTGGTTACACACCTAGGTCAGTGCTGTCCAGAAGGAAAGAAGGTCTATGATTACGTACCGTCGCTGACCTGTGCCCACATGTTAATTATGAGGCCCAATGAGAATTTCGGTGGGCAGGCAGTCGCTTTCTTTGCATGCTTCCGGTGTTTGTCAAAATAGTTGGTTCCCTTGCTCAACAATATGAGGAGTAAGATCCAGTATCTTTCTGGAAATTCTCAAAGACCCTGATGATTTGTCTATTTTTAGCGATCTCAGGGATGGCCTGGTACTATGAATGTATACTAGGTGGGCCTTGGAGCTAAGCTCACCTCCCTAGTAGTATGCTAGTATCTAAGTTGGCATTGAGGTTCTTGGCGAGGCATAACACAACGCACCATGAATGAGATGCTCAAAACACAACCATGACTGTCCTCCTCATACGCATATTCTCCGCCCATGGAATGTATGCCACTAGTTCGCTCGGCTGAATAAACGTTTTGTTGGGATCCATTAGACAAGCACAACTCTGTTGAAGAAGTAGACATATGCCGTCTTCTTCATTTCCTCAATGTCACCAGCTTCAACCACCTTTTCGTCGTTGAAGAGAACCCACTTTGGCACCTGGGTGTCCAGGACCTTTCGAACGAATGCCACATAATGGCCTGCATGTATACTTGTTCCCTTGTGACAGACTATGCTGTGGAGCTGAAACTTGGCCGGCAGTGTTGATGTCCCTGCCTCCGTTCTCTCGGCTGCTTCCGGAGGTGGTGCATCCTCTCCAAAGTCGCCCATATCGTCGGGGTGACTAAAGACCCATTCCACGGCACGTTCAATGTCACCACCCGTCTCACGCAGACCCTTGCGGGCTTGGGGCACGCTGAAGCCCATGCCGGTGAGCATTTCAATCTTTTCGGGATCATCCGCAAGTGCGCCGCCACCTGCAGCAGGGGCGGCGATGACCAGGGGATCGTCAATATCCGGATCTTCCATGTGACCAAACAGCCATTCCATAGCTATATTAGCGTCAGAGTTACCCGTAGCATATAATGCTCGATCGCATCTGTTCTTTGGGAAGCCCATGGACATTAGTTGTTCGACAGCCTGTTCGTTGGCCACAAATGCCGGTGCTGCGCTGGTTGAGTCCTCGGGGAGCAGCTCCTCATTAGCCTGTTGGCCAGACGAAAGATACTCATCAAGGTCGAAAGGCTCATCACCAACGAGTACAGGAACATCCACCTTTCGTGGGACCCAGTTTTCAATGGCCATCTTGCGTGCATTGACGATGAGCGTGTCTGGGAAAGTCTTGAAGAGTGATCGTTTGGTAAAGCCATCCTTGCTACCACATGATGCGCAGGTGAGCTCCACGGCTTCGGGTGCTGTTACGTTGTCCAAGCACTGCTTGAGAGTGACTGGCTTGTACTGCTCGCCTTGGCCCTCGACTGCCGGCAGCTTTTCCAAAGGTACATCTATGAAAATGCTGTCCTGTTCATTGGTCTGATAACGCACCTTCTTGCAGCTGAGGCATTCAAGGCGCTGTTCCATGAGGAAACGGAACTTTTGCGTGGGATCGCGCAGAGGGGAGGGATGCTGGGAGCGACTGATGAGCTTGACCAAATGTTGAAGAAGCTCAAAAGAGTCTTGTTGGCGCATTGTTGAAAACTCGGGATGACCACGGCCGATCAAGTGCTTCAACATGCTAGGTGCGAGGCCCTTCTGGTGAGGCACCTCGGGAGAATGCTCAGATGCAACAACATCCGAGTCAGGTTTGGAGTATCGCCCAGACAGGAGACCGTCAGCCATCTTGCAAAGCTGAGTTTCCAGATCCTGGGCAGGATCGGCTACGATAGGCAAGTCTGAGCCAGGCCTGTAGTATCGATCTTGGAAAGCTGGAAGGTCGAACAGGCATTGGAGGATACTGGCTAGATAGCAGCTGTTTCCAAGATTCTTGAGGCCAGTCAGAGCAGGGCCAAACAAGGGCTGGAGTTCTTTGCCGTCCTCTGTGGTCATGGAAAACTCCCATCTCAGATTTTGCTCGATTTGCATTTCCGTCAAGCTCTTTTCCGTCTTGATTTGGTCGGACAGAATAATGCCCCAGTGGGCAAGATGGGAAGAGAGCTCGCCATCGACTCTCTCCTCATCACACTGATAGCAATAAACATCGGCGGTGCCTTCGGGTGTGATGGACCCAAGCTTGACTGCTACAGCATGGCTGCTCTCCGTCGCGTGAGCCAAGCCATGAGAATTGCCTCCGACGCCGCCAAACTGAGCTCGACCACAACCCAGATTGCCACATTCCAGACACAACCAGAGATTTTCCTTGAGGTCGCACTTGGAGCAGTGTCCCAGATCACTTTGGAGCTGGCGACTCTCTTGCTGCTGGAGGAGCAAGATGTGTTCGCAGGATGTAAGCTCCTGTTCCCAGGCCTTGACCTCCTCCTGTCTGGAAAATGTGTTTGCCTTAAGGATTCCATTGACAACTGGAGCAATCTTGGGGTTGAAAAGGTCGATATCGACGTCGCACTCGAGACATCTGGCGGCGGTATGGGTATCATAGCGGTCGGCTTCCGTTTCGGCGGCAATCGCGAGTTTTGTGATCTTGGCCGGAGGTTCATCCTTGACGAGCTGCTTGCGAGTTCGACGAATGTTCAAAACAAGAGGATGGCTTCGAGTAATACTATGAAGTTTCGAATGGGTCTTGACACCGGGGCAGCCGCCGTTGAAACATTGTAAACAGACATCGAGACCGGCAGGTTCGTCCTACTCCGGTCAGCGGTGCGAAATCGTTGTCAAAAGGAAGCAAAACGCACGATAGAGTCGAAGCACTGGGTGCAGTCTTCTCGATAAACTGACTGAGAGGGGGTCGGAGGGCTGAGAGCTGTTTGCAGCAATCTGTTAGCTGGTACTTTTCCGTTGGTATTGCGAACTGTAGCGATACTGAGCAGAAGATGCCGGGCTTACAAATGGACTCAACGTGCGGACACGCCATCGTCAAGTAGCTGTCTAGAAGTGTTTGTGGTCTTTACCGTGACAAGTCGAATGGGGTTCCGCTGGGTAGCCGTCAAGGTTCTAGCAGATTGGTAAATGTGACCAGGAAAGGAAAAGGTGGACACAGGTAAGCTTGTATGTAAACAACAACGATGCGGCACAAGTAACAATCTCGAGCTTCTGTTCCGGAAGCTTTGTCTCTACTATTGGTAGTACCTCAGGTATTGCCTGCTACCATGTTCAGCCTTGATCTGCGCTAGGCAGGCAGCTCCAGAGGGGCATTGAGTTTGTCAAGTATGACGCGGTTCAACGCCGCTGAGCTGCAAGGTTGCCCCGCGTTTCTCAGCTGGCAAAAATTATTCGACAGATGACAACTCAGTGGCCCAAAGTATCGTTGAGCCGACACTTGTTGACGTCAAGTAGAGAAAGCGTGTGGCACTGCGTGGAGCTTGAGTCACTGAGTTGGTTGCACGCAATCTCAAACACCTATGAATCCAAACTCATCATCTCAAATCATGCTCAATCGTATTGCTGAATTGCTGATGACTCTACTGTATTGATAGTAGAAATATCCATCGTTTCACTGGATAGAACCAAGTTCAAGGCAGAAACTTTTAGCTGGGTCCGACGTCGATAGCTCACAGATAAGAAAAACACATTGCCATTTTCTGGGGTGGATGCACTAGTACTCCGCTGTCCGCATCAGCGAAAAGAACAATAGACGGAGAAAACAAAAAGGCACTTGCCCCCTCCCGGTTAGATCTGATTGATAATGCAAGCTCGCTGTACAGTGCGGAAAGACAACTCCGCTGCTCGCTCGCCTCGATTTGGAATCTTCTGCGAGCCCTTCGGCCTTCTTCGGGCTCGCAACTAAGCCCAAGCAACTGCTGGCATGCGTCAAAAGAGCCCTCGGTAAATACAGTGCCAACTCCTGCACCGGCTGTTATCAGATCCTGACAACCGACCCTTCTTCCCTACACTTTGGGACTCCCCCCGAGATCGCCGACAAAGACCGCACCCACATTAAAAGTGCAGCACCCAGAGTTTCCGACGCTTCTCATTTGCGAAGAGAACCAACGCCAACAGACCCTCTGATCTCATCGGCACCTTACTAAACAGAAACCTCTCTGAAAAGATCGCCCGACCAACCTCGACTCTTCCATTTCATATCTCTTCGTTCAATTTGTGCCCCAACGTTGCGATATCGCAGATCACACCTAAATTTCCTGTCACGATTGATTCCCTCGGTAACCCTGAGGCTTTCGACTCACGTATCTAATCAACACACACAACACGTACATTCACATCACATCGTCGCCACCATGTTCTCAAGGGTAGCATCGACGACCGCCCGTCGGGTCTTGACCTCGTCGACCACGCCTCGTCTCGCCTCGGCCAGCAGGCAACTCCTCAACCCTGCCGCCAATGTTGCGCGCCGCTCATATCACGAAAAGGTCCTCGACCACTACAGCCGGCCACGAAACGTCGGTTCCATGGCCAAGACGGATGTTGATGTTGGCACTGGTCTCGTAGGCGCACCTGCTTGTGGCGATGTCATGAAGCTGCAGATTCGTGTTGACCCCTCCAACAACACCATCTCCGACGTCAAGTTCAAGACATTTGGCTGCGGCAGTGCCATTGCCAGCTCCAGCTACCTTACCGAGCTGGTCCGGGGAATGACTTTGGAGGAGGCTGGCCGTGTCAAGAACACAGAGATTGCCAAGGAGCTCTGCTTACCCCCAGTTAAACGTAAGTCGTGATAATCTATTTCAATTTATTGATGAACAACGATACTGACTTTTGTGTAGTCCACTGCTCCATGCTTGCTGAGGATGCCATCAAGTCTGCTATTTCGAACTACTACACAAAGAACCCTCAGGCCAAGACGACGAACCTCGCTGGCACTGCGCAGGCAATCCCTGCGGCTGGCGAGGCCGCCGTTGCCGCCGCCTAAATGTATCAAACGCGTTTATTTGAGGGGATCTGGTAGATATGTGGTTACCCCCGAAAAAGTTCAGGAGTTGAGTTGCTTAGGAGGAACGAAGGTATACCCAAGTAAAGAGAGGCGTCACGGAGACACCTCTGGCAACAAGAAAATGTGCCACACAAACTTGCGCACGCACACCAAGACAGAGCCAGCACAGTTGAGGCCTGGATATATCGCAGGCTACAAAGAGCCCGCTGGGAAAAGCCTGGAGGCAATGTCGCTCACTCGATCGGTTGTTGGTGCTAGTAGCTGATTGTTCTGTATTATAACGTCATGGCTGTTTACACTGCGATCGCATTTCAATGAAACTGATTCAATTTCACATTCAAAATCAATGCTCTCATGATGCAAAGAAAACGTGCAAACACGGGGCATCCATTTGGCTTTGCCGAGTTGTCCGGGGTTCCTCCTTTGCCCCTCATGCTTAGCGCGTGCGCGTCCCCCAAAAGTGAATTAAGAAGGGGAAAAAAAAAAAAGGCCGAGAGGTAGGTACAAATTTCCCATCTCTTATCTTAAAGATGCACATTGGACGACGGGCAAGAAAAGCCAGAGTCTGCTGATTGCATTTCTTTGGTCAGGATGGCAACAACACCCGTCGGCTCCTTGTAGAATTGGTGGTGCATTGGTTCGAAATTGGGTCAGAGTTTGCAGCTATTCAACCGAGCAAAGATATTTTCTGAGCTCCATACAAGAGGAACGCAGAGCAGCTCGATGAAATGTACCTACTTTTCCGGATCTCCTCGCCCGTTCATCAACATCTTGAATGATCATCGCGAGTAGTTTTTTCTTTCCAAAATGCATTACATTCGCCTGCTGCGTCCGGCGTCGGTGAACGCGTCCAACCCAAAATCACCAAGACTCTCGTTGACATTGACCATTACGACCGATCTTGGCGACACATTTCTCGCTCCGGACTCGCCAGTCAAGATTCTTTTCACGCCAAAGCTGCAAGCTTCTAGCGATGGCGTGACCACGGTGCAGCCTGTGCAACCCGTCAATGGCCCTGCGATATGGAAGGACGGAATGCGCGTGCTCAAGGTGAAATTACCCTGGAAGAAGGCGTGGTCGCACGGACGGATTAATCTGTGTATCGAAGGTCTCGTCAGTAGCGGCAACGATAGTATTTCGTCCAGAGATTTACAAATGTCGCTGCCGTGGCGCCGCAAACAATTTGCAAAGAGCAATCCGGGCCTAATCGCGCCCCTCACGGTCGAGCTTGACGAGGGCCGTGGCTCTGATGTCGCTGTGCGCGAGTTCATTTACAATTTCCCGGAGAGTGACGATGTTCCGACCATGTTTCTCAACCTCGAAGAAGAGATTGGCGAGAGTATTGCTCGACACATATGGGATGCAGGTCTTGTAACTGCGGCTCTCTTGCTCGATGGATGCCGTGTCGAGCAAAACGAATCGGAATCTGACCATATCATACCCATCACAAGGAAAAGCCCCAATGTCCTCGAGCTGGGAAGTGGTGTAGGGATCCTGGGCGTCGCGCTGGGCATGGCCATTCGCCCGATGGCAAGTGCCCAAGGTATCGAGCTTGAGAAGGCCACCGTGCTCCTGACAGATCTACCCGAAGCTGAGGAGCGGGCTCGAGCCAACGTGGAACGATATCAGGTCGGAGCTCACGCTCATAGTCAACCAGCCGAGATCCTCTATGAGAACTTGGACTGGGACGATGGCTCTAAAGGCAAGTTTGGTCCACTTGTCTTGTCCCGATGCTGGGATTGCATCGTGCTGAGTGATTGCACATACAATGTCGACTCATTCCCGGTGCTAGTAGAGACATTGTCCGCTTTGCATGCTCATAACCAGAAATATTCTTCAAAGCACGACGATATCACTGCTGGATCACCGACCACCAAAGTAATCCTCTCCACAAAGCCCCGGCATGACTCCGAGAAGGCACTTTTTGGCATGCTACAGGGAGCTGGATGGAAGCATCATCTCTTCAAGTCCATCCCTCTACCGAGACTGGGAGACGAGACTGAGACGGTCGAAATTTATTCCATCGAAAAGGGCCCCGGAAGTGAAACCACCGGATCCAAGAAGCGGAGAAGCGATGATGCGGCTCAAGAAACGGAAAAGAAGTTTGCGAAGATAGATTCCTGAATAGACGCTTCGGTTCTTTAATGAGACAGTCGTTTTGGCCAAGCACTTTCTGTCTTCTCAGATAAGGAACGTTTTTGTTAGAGCCCTGATAGCAATCTTATGGGATTGATTCAAGATATGTATTATACATACAATGCTGTTTAAAATATAACAAACAAAAAGATAAATAAGGAAGAAGACTGAAAATATACCAAGGATTCCACAGCCGTCACCGATTTGTATATTTGTAAAAAGGACACTATAAAATGATACAACAGAGGTGTACTGCTGACGATCCAATGGCGATACAACCGTCATCTAGATTGGCGCAGTCTGCCGCACTAAGAACTTGGAATGGGTGCGGAGGCGTTTTCTCAATCGGGACATCCGCCATTTCTAGGCCCTTCTGTTTGGCGCACAACAGCCACCACATCGGTCAACCAGTGAGAGAGGAGATGAATTCTGAAAGTATGTCATACGTCCACCTTGAATATGTCATGTCATAATATACCCCCATACGGCCATCCCCATACGGAATATAGGGTGTTCCGGACTACGCGGATATAATTGCTTCACTAAGCATAGCGCCTTTTGGAATCCGGGGTTCACAGCAGGACTTCAAATAGAGTATAATATGGCCTCGTCGGAAAAGAAGATAGTCTTTGTTCTGGAATCCATTTTGTGCATATTGTCATCACAATGGAGGTGTTTACTCGACGTGCATTGCCTGCATTCCGCCAGGCGCAGCCGTTTTGCGCGACCAAGCCCATCACTCGAAGCGCCATCACTTGGGCAATCCAAGATCATTGGGAAGACCCCAAAGGACCCCAAGGTATTGACCGGCCCAGTCCCAAGCTTGCAGACATAACACCGGGAAGTCCACAGTGGCTTCGAGACCTTCATAAGAATGGTGTAAGTGAAACCTGCATTAGGGACAAGTCGCATGTACTTGACCAGCTAATTCCTTTGGTAGTGGGCTCTTGTTAAAGGAGCCGTCCCCAAGGAGAGGGCCTTGAAATACGCTGAAAAGGGAGAGGAGTGGCTGGAGGGATTCAACATGGGATACAAACGAGACGATCGTTCCACTTGGAAGTCGGGAAACATTCCCAGACACCGTTATGGAGGACTGTTTGATCAGTAAGTCAGGAAAAGTTCACACTCGGATGCATAAGGCTCATTTATTGCCAGTTTCTCCTTTGCTCATGCACAGTTTGTCTGGGATTGCAAATCAGAACCTGGAGTCCGAGACATATTTGCCAAGATCTGGGGTACAGACAAGTTGACCGTCTCGTTTGGTAAGAACAAGACCCTGTATACTAGAATGTAAGCAGCAGTCAAGCTGATCGATTTGTAGATGGTGGTACATTGGCATTCCCTACGCCGGAAGAGGCTGACCACGGCAAGGAGCCTTGGCCACACGTAAGGATCACAAAGCATACCGTGTACCAGTGAACTCTAGCTGACCACATCGTAGTCGGATCAAAGCGCATACCGACCACACCCTCATTGTATTCAGGGGCTACTCAACCTTGTAAGGCCTCTTGGGTGTCGTGTTAAATCCCTGCGACCTAGGTTACTGATGGATTTCTCAGCTTCCAAACGGACCGGATGATGGTGGTCTAGCAGTCATGACCGGCACAGCCCCCCTTTTTGAGCAATATTTCAAGGAACATGAGCCTGTAAGTCAACAGGTCCTGAGATCATTCAGAGCAATTCGGACTAACAGGCATAGCCCGAGGGTGGTTGGATTAAGCGCGACCTGTTCAATTGGACCAACGAAACACTGAAATGGTTTGAAGACCACGGTTGCAAATGGGTCAAGCCAAGCATGGAACCAGGTGACTTCATTCTTTGGGACTCAAGGGCAGCTCATTACGGTGCTGCACCCCTCTCGGACAATAAGCGAATGGCAATTTGTAAGACCCATGTTCCCGGTTTTGTAACTTTATGTGTAAAAGTTGCTAATGTTGCTCCCAGACAAATGCTACAAGCCCATCGAGTTCATGAGTGAAGAGCAGCGTCAGCGCAAGGTCGAGGCATTCAAGCGCGGTTACATGACGGTGAGTAAATCATGTGCTTCCAAGGGTGGACCGATCTAACATTTTGACAGTCCCACGATCCTACCGACTTTGTTCTGAAAGAGCACCAGTTCGCAGATTGGAACATTCTGCACCCTTATGGACCTCCCACTATTAACAAGGAGACTCAGCAGGCTATTGGTATCATCCCATATGAATAAAAGTCATGTCAGGCTGGGAGGTTGAGAATCTCATTTTGTTCAATTACTGGATCGTGTACCATATCAATGTCTGAGAATGCAGGACAAAATATAAATGCATTGTGAGCAATTATAAATAATCTTTATCCTCCTGAAGGCTCTTTATTCTATATTACAGTGTTGAATGTCCTGATGTTGCCCCAGCTTTTTCCCAAGCTGGCCTCAAGAACATGGAATGGTATACCCACTTAACAATAGACTCGGCTTGTTGATTCTGCTATCATGTCGATGTTCTAGACTCACATTTTTATGAAGTTTACCAATCACTGACCAATCTCAATTGATTTCAATGGCAAGTACAGTGGGATATGTTAAACTGTAACCAAAACGCGTGAATGAGAGCAGAATACCTTGAAACTATATCAAAGCAAGGGATTTATATATAGTGTCTGTGCTAGTTTCTATATTGTGCTGCCTCACTTCTTCCCGGAGGCGGTTGTTTCAATTTCATCAGGATAAGTCAATCCATTTTGTTTGCGAACGGCATCCAGAGGACAGTCTCATCCAAGCTTTGGAATCTTCCCTCTTTCCGTCCTCCCAACACTGCCAGACCCGCTTCATCCGCTTCCCAAAACATGCCATAGCCCTCCCCTTCGTCATTCATACCGCCCAATGGGTACCCATTTTACCAGTTGCTACCTTTGCCCGGGCCTGGAATCGAAAACGTCTTGTCTTCGACGGTGCCGTCGGCGAGAATGAGCCTGGTTCGCGTGGGGCGCCATAGCGGTGGCCATACCTGCAGCTCACCGTCTCGGCCGTGGATGCGCACCGCGGGACCGCTAGTATTCTTGCCGTCCGAGTCGTTGGATACCATGAAACTTGTAGTCGAGATGCCGTGCATGTCACCACCTGACTCGGAGTCGCGAGGAAAGGTCAGAAGAATGGTCGAGGTCTCGTCGACACCGGTGGGTTCGTATTTGCGCAGCGCGGATTGGACGTCTGGGGTTTTGCGTGTATCAGAGGGTTGTGTGGTGTATAGGGTCTGAAAGATCCACGTGAGGCTGTAAATGCCCATATCCAAAAGACCACCGCCGGCGAGATTCGGGTTCACCATTCGGCTCTCCTTGGGGAAGCTCTCATGCGGTTTCAGATTCAGGGAGTTATCCGCGTAGACTCGGATGACGGTACCCAATCTCCCGGACGTGATGGTTTCGCGGACATATATGGACAATGGGAAGTAACGTGTCCACATAGCTTCCATAAGAAACAAGTTCTTGACACGAGCCAATTGTACAAGTTCCTTTGCTTGCATCGCATTGACAGTGAAGGCCTTCTCACACAAAACGGGTTTGCCCGACTCCAGGCAGAGCCGGACATTCTGATAGTGATGAGAGTGGGGCGTTGCGACATAGACAATGTCGACCTCATCGTCATTGACTAGCTCCTCGTAAGTGCCGTATCCTTTGGCTGTTTGAGGTGCTTCAACGTCCTTCAAGAATTGCTCAGCTCGCGCAGCGCCGGAAGCACTCGCCACAGAAACGATTGTATGCTTGATATCATGCACATTGCGAGTTGCGGGGTCGACCAATAGATCCTTTGCGAAAGTTTGTGCAATGTTTCCCGTAGCTTAGCATTGATCATCAGAGACCATTTTTCCTCAAGTCCAAGAATGAGTGTACTACTTACCGAGAATTCCCCACCGGACAACTTTTGGAGCCATTTTCAACAATATTTGAGATTCGCCAAGGACGGCAAGCACATCGATTTCCAAACCGTAATGGTCAGATCTAGTTGCTGTGCAAGCACTTATTATCTAGACTTCAGATGCCACTAATAAACCCAAGGCGCCATCGTTAGTCTGCGGAGAGCGTGAAACTGATTGTGAAATTTCCCTATGGTATAAATGCCGCCGCAACTCCGCTTGACTCCAGAATGGAGATATTGATACTAGTCATGTAGACAATAGTGCCATCTTCACTGGCTGAATCCCGTGATGGAGTAGATATTGCGGCGGGAAGTCCAGATCCAGACGGCGGGGCCGGGGTCCCCACAAGCCTGCTATAAGTCATGTGTATGAGCCCTCACAAATATGATATAAACCCAGAGCTTGACGAAGAATAATAAAGCATTTTAGCCAGACAGTTGACAAACGTGAAAACAGAGTACGGAAGCCGCATTAATCTTTCAAATTCTACAAACATGGACGAGGTAATTTTGACCTCAGCACTTCATCAGCCCCAGGCAGGATCTGACAATGTACAGTTTTCTATCAAGGGCAAGACCGCCGTTATTACCGGCGGAGCACGCGGCTTGGGCTTTGCCTTTGCCGACATCCTGTCCGAGGCTGGCGCGAACATTGCCATTCTGGATGTCGGCACTCCAAAGGAGGGATCGCTGGAGTCCCTGTCGGAAAAATACGGCGTCAAAGTAAAGTACTATAAGACGGATGTGACCAGCCGAGAGGTCGTGAACCAGACTGTTGAGGCCATTGAACAATAATTCGGCACAGTCGACATCAAGTAAGTATCACAGAGCTAGCCATGACGCACTCGGCTAACTTGGGAGTACAGTGTCAACGCTGCTGGTGTTGTGACCGACGAATCTTTTCTAACCACGTCCGACAAGAACCTTGCCTCGACGTTCAATGTCAATGTGAGTAGCTGATTTATATATCATAGATCAGAAGCAGATTCTAATTTGTTTGTAGTTCATTGGGTCTTTCCTCGTCGCTCAGGCTTGTGGCAACGCCATGGTCAGGAAATGGGAGAAGTTGGGCAAGCCCAAGCCAGCCGATTCAGCATCAATGGGCTCCATCATCTTCATTGGATCAGTCGCCACACACATTAGTACCTACGTCCAGCAGATCACGTGCTACACGGCATCAAAGGCAGCCATCTGTGGTCTTGTGAAGCCCATGGCCATGGAATTGGCACAATACGGAATTAGAGTGAATAGCCTCTCCCCAGGTTCGATGAGAACGGACATGTTTTTGCAGGTGGAGAAGGTCTTTCCGGACTTGACCAAGCAGTTCAACCAGGAGTCCATGTTTGGACGCGTTGGTTACCCGAAAGAGCTGGGACCAGCCCTCATGTACCTCGCGACCAGCAACTGGACTACTGGTCAAGATATATTGGTAGACGGCGGTGTGAGTTCATGGAAGCACAGAGGCAGTTGGTGAGGTGGAAAACTTGCGTGAAGCAAACTTTACTACGCCTCTAGAAACCTCTGAAACCTAGTACATAAGTAGACACAGAGTAAATTGACCTCCGTCGAAAGAGTACTCCGATTAATGGGCAATACGTATCTTGGTTGTTTGAGCACGGGTGATAATAACGCGGAGACCTTCAGAGTTTTGGCAAGGTAACTGTGGACTAGTTATAAGCCAAAGTAGTGCGGAATTACCCGATACGGAATAGATCAATCTGGTGACAGATATATACTGCAACTGCTGGCTGAGTTGGACTGCAGTGTGTTTGCGGATTGACGATGCTATAAATGAAAAACTATTTCAGGGATTCGCTATACTGTATAGCCTGTATGAAAGCAACGATTATTTATTCTTTATCCCAATGGAGTCAACTTACCACGCATTGGCACAGCGCATCCATGGCATATGGACCGAGAAACGTCAACAAGGCCAGCACCGAATCATCATTGCCCTAGCAGGGCCACCGGGCTCAGGAAAATCTACAATTGCTCACCAAGTCGTCAACCAGGTGGCCGAAATGTACCCCGACCTGGCCATCTCGGCAATCTCTGCGGATGGGTTTCATTTGAGTCTCGCAGAACTCCACGCACTGCCCAATGCTGCCGAGGCGCTCGCTCGACGGGGCGCGCCATGGACCTTTAACGGGAACGCAGTGGTTGACATGGTCCGGAGACTTCGAGATTCTCCTGAAGAAACCTCCCGCGTGCCAACGTTTGACCACGCGATTAAAGATCCGGTCCAAGACGGCCTAACAGTCACGCCGGCAACTAAAGTCTGCCTGGTTGAAGGCAATTATTTACTTAGCAACGAGGAGCCATGGAATGCTATTGCGGCTCTTGCAGATGCGAAATGGCTCGTCACTGTGGACGCCGAGTTGGCTACGGGGAGAATAGCCAAGCGTCATCTTGCTGCAGGAATCGAGAAGACCATGGATGCTGCACTTGCACGGACTCTGGAAAACGACATGGTCAATGGAGAATATGTGCTACGCAGCAGTCAGGGACGGTATGATTTGCTGATAAAGAGCATCGAAAGAGTTGAATTGAACTCCAGCAATGGAAATGCAAATAATGCTTGATTTCGGCCGTAAGGGGGTGCTGTTATTTTGAAAGATTATCTGTTCAAAGTCGGCATCGACTTACGCAAAAAATCGAGATATTTCTCAAAAGTCAAAACGCCTTGACATTATTTCAAAGAATATATCGTTTTGTCTCGTGTTAAATGGAATGGTCACTTTCCAATACGCATGGGCCAAGTTGTGAATAATACATGGCCTCTTGAGCGAAAGCAATATCCTGCAATACATATGCCCGATGAGTCCACGGCCCTGGAAAGTATGTTCAAGTGCATCCTCGGTATTTCACCGGGTGCCACGCGGATGTGGCTGGGTCCGGCCGAGCCTTCATGAGCCATCCAGGATTGGGGGAACGCGGGGCATTGCCCAGCTCAATGCTCGATAGTTCTAATGTACGAGTGAGTGTGCAGAGACTCGCTCCAATCACTCCCCGCACCTACACCGGGGTTGCAATGCCCTGGTTTGTCAGATGGCTCATCAGAGGACTCTTCTAGAAACTACCAGATAGTCGTGACAATCCCATTTCACTTTCCCATGCTTTTTACTATGAGTAAATGGTAGATTCCGTTACCGCACCTGCAATCACAATAGCCGCTATACACTAGGTCCTTCGTAGTCTGTGCTATCAACTGTGGGTAATGTATTGTATAGTAGGCCTTGGGATATCCACCTGGAATATACCTAGTAGCTATTGTACGGACTACGCGATCTTGGTAAGAAACTATGATAAGCATGCTTTGACTTGGCTTCGATGTCGTAATGCGCATGTCTACAATTCATGTCTAGGACTCCGACAGCCTCCAGGGATGCCCCGCGAATCCTAGGAAGTGGTACCTAGCTCCCTATCGATTACAGAACCCCCCCCGCCCTGAGTGGCTGAGACCGACGTGCTTGAATTGATGTATTTCTTAACAACGAATATCTATGTCAACATGCCTTGACACTCAGGTCCATGCAGACAACTCAAATAGCCGAAACGTTCCAGGCTTAATTTCGTCCCGCATCCCTGCCATGCATGTGGGTATGAAGTAGTTTGCTGATCAAGATGTTAGCAGTGACATGTTGCAATAAGTAAACGGGTAACTCGAACGCGGTCGCACACGTATTTGGGATGCGGTTGACGGAGGCCTGTTGCCTTCTCTCTTCGGGCGAACCATCATCAGTCAATCAAGTCATCGTCGCGACACTCTTTCCCTCTTCCCCTTGACAACTTGCTGAATCTTGTGCTCGAAACAAAAGCGATTCCCTCACTCGACACGCAACCACACAGAAAACCCACCAAACGACCATGCAGAGTGCGCATGAATTCAGAACAAGTTTCTCCAATCGGCGTAAACGTTTGCCTCGACTGCTTTCCCCACCACCGTGGTATTACCAACTTGGCTGCACTCACCCGAGTGCTGCTGATGCATGTGGATGATGCCGTCGTCGGCCAACAACAGCGCCATCAACGGTAACCATGCCAGTGGTAGTGCCAAAGTAAACAACATTATCCAAACCATACACAACAACATTATCAACATTCCAGGGGCGGATCCGGCTATCGCAAGAATTATTGAGCAATTTGTCAAAGAGAGTGCTCAACGTCAGATATCCCAGATATTTCCTGAATGTACGTCGCAAATCTCAGGTATGCATACATCTTTGAAAGAATATAACTAATCGCGGGTTAGTGGGAAGATACCTTATTGGCGAATACCGCGATCGGCCAACGTCCACGCACGAGCGTGCTCATAGACACCACGGAGCAAAAGTATCATACTGTTTCGTCAGGAATGCCGCGTTTCCAGAGTTGGACGCATTCGATCGGAATATCAGTGAATACCTTGCTCGTTACCCAGATACCAGGAAGACCCGATGCGTGATTGATATACTCAAACGTCCCCAAGGTGACATTTTGTTCAGCTGGATGAAAACGCACAAAATCAATCTATTATTACTAGATCTGTGGCCGGGCAGCAAAGAAAGGTTGGAGTGGACAACAAACTTTACATTGGAGGTGATAGGCCGCATCAACTGGTCCAATTATACCGAACGCCCCGCGACGCCCAGTCGAGTGATAGCTCACTTCTGCAGCGCATATGCTTCGCACGGGAAACAATGGCAAGAATACGCAATCCGTGATTTGCTAGCTCAGCTCCGTAGGGCTGCACGCGAAAATCTCGGTGTAAACCACGACTGCAAAGTGCCTGGGCAAGACGACAAAATTTTCCATGTCGAAGCAAAAGAGTCCTCTACTCTTTGGGCGTTACTTTTACATTCTGTCGCCAAAGCAGGCATCAAGTTGCTCTACATCATTTTCGACAATTTCGACTCGCTCCAAGGTCGAGTCAATGATAAAATACTCGCAGAGTTCCGGAGAAACATTTTGACATTCGTCAATACATCAAAGGAACGGGGCGTGCGTGTAAAACTATTGGTGACCAGCCGATCAACCAATACAGCAGACTACTTCTCGGGTTACAGCAAAATCAGTCTCACGCAACATCTTGAAGAGCGCTTCAAATTCTGAGATGGTCTCTGGCACTAGTCTATTGGAATACATTATTGGTCTGCTTCCCAGCTGGAGACAACATGACCAGCTCCGCGATAGGATCAGACAAATCTCTTGTATATGAACCAATACCACCGATCGGCCGTCTTTTTTTGCTTGAAAACAGCACGCATAGTCTTGCTATCCATAGGGCAAGAAGGAATGAAATCTCATCAAATACCCCAAGCCTAGTTTTATCCTTTCAATTAGCACACCTCGCTATATGAATAGATCCTCTCCTATAACTTCTAATCTTGTTCCACTCTCCTGCATGATGTGAGCCTTGAAAGCCATGCCTAGCTCTAGAACGGTTTCGACATGATGTGGCATTACAATGGCCCCAGGTCCTTCATTCTGAGCCAGTACAAGCGCGACATCCATACAGTTCTTGATCTGTCTTGCATTCATATTTGTATGCTCCCCTTGGTCCAGACCTCTCAGTGTGCCATTGACAAACCTGGATAGCTCGAACTTGCTGTGCCCATCCTGACAAAGACCTTCAATGAGGCTGTGCCAAATTGCTTTTTGAGATTCAAAGTCAAACTTTGGGAACGGAACAGCGAGGTGTATACGAGATGAAAATGCGGGATCGACACCTTCTTGGGAAATCATGCTGATGAAACAAAGACATTTCGAATACTCCAGATCTCGCAGAAAGGTGGGAAGAAGTGCTGCACGCTCGTTATTGTAGCCTGTGCGTTCTTTGCTGTAAAGGTCAACATCATCCAGCAGAACCATGGCGTTCCAGTTTGTTGCTCGGGTCAATGTCTCTTGTAGCCTTTGATCGAACACGGTCGGCTCGACACCCAGGTCACCGGTAGTCACAGTGTATAGCGCAATGCCAAACTTTCGGGCAAGACATTCTGATCTGCGTTACAACAATTGTTACAAATTCGAGATGGGCATGAAATGAAAACTTACCTGCGGTGAAGGTCTTCCCAGTACCAGAGCTACCACTGAGTAGGATATTCAGGCCACGGACCTTTCGGGTCGGTGAGTAGTTGTCGCCATGCGAACTGACACTATTCAGATAAGAAGACACGATCCCACTCAACGACTTCTTTCTAGTTGAGTCCATATACAATTCGTCATCGAATGGATTCTCCTGCGGCTCCACCTCTTTGAGATCACTGTGCGAAACCAGACTCCACGTCTTGAATCGCAAGGAGAATGCCCATAGCTTTGGTGGACAAAATAAGAGCATGCTACTGTCTTCAGTCGGGCTGCCCTCAGATCTGGAATGTGTCATCGTTACGTCGTTGACGCACACATGAGAACCCCTTGGACTCTCAACCGCGTGAGGGAATGAGAATAATCCGAGGGAATCCCCGACACACGCTGAGCAACGAGATGAAGTGCTATCGGGCTCAATCGTGGCATCGCCAGTCTGAACACACCTGCTACTCGTTGTATAGTCTACAATGACCATGAGAGGGGTCTTGATTGATCAGCTGGCTATTCCAATAGTCAAATGAGAATGCACTTTACCTCGTATGGTGCTTGACGCCATGCCGTCCCTCTGTACTCCTTGTGTGAGGGCGCTTTGCCGTAGCTCCAATGCTTCCATCCTCGGTCTATGAGCTCCTGTCGAGGGGAGTTTTGGGATTCGATGAACCACTCTGGGAGCAATTCCAAATGCTTGATTGGCCGTTCAGAAGAGAACTGTGATACCTCGAACGTTGCTCTGTGCGGTATCAACTTATCGCCAGCGTTGTTGAAATCGAGGAACCATGCATGAATACGCAAACTTGTTGGTTTCATACCAACCATGGTCTCCGATTTCTCGATCACGTAGGCCCTCCAGGCGTCATTGTCTACTTTAAAGACTGTTGTGCGCGGAGTGTAGAGAAGAAAGAGATGTTTGAACCGTATGTTTTGGCACTTGTGCGACTGAACCTCGTCAAACTTTTGACAAACACCAAGCTGGCTAGTGTTCAAGAAGTCTAGCAACATCTCGAGATGCTTCTTGGCAACGTCGTTTGTCGTCTCCCGGCGATGTTCCTCGATTCTGACTTTGTTATACACGATCAACTCATATGGCTCCATGATCCAGCTGTCACGCGATATGATTATTTCGTCGTCTGGAGATACTTCAGAGCTTGCAACAACTTGCCGCAGGGCCTTGAGTACGTGACCACAAACGATTTGCACCCCATCCTTGTCACCAAAAGACCCACTTCGAAAGACTTCAAGTTGAGTGACCGGGTGGATTTTGGGGAAGCTCGAGTCCCATGAGGAAGCGCGTCTATGAGTTGATGGTGGCTAAACATGTTGATCAGGTAAGAATATTATTACAAGTTACCGATCGGGGACAATTTCTTACCATTTTCATGTTACCTACAGGACTGTTCAGACTGCCTGCGTTACCATAGACTGTTGATTCATCATGTTCAGCTCCGCTGAAATTCGTGTTCAATGGGGAAATTTCGAGATGGGATGTTGAGGTCGTATAGCTCGGGTTGGTGTATTGGATTGTAACGGCTTGACGAGAGCTTGAACCATATGGTACTGAGGTTGAGCTAGGAGGTACATCTCTTTGGATAGAAGAAGGTGGTAAGGTAACAGGACTTCTCGAGCTTTCATCTGAAGCTGGCACATGCACTGTGCTGCCCGTTTGCTTTGAAAATATTTTACCCATGGTAAGCCACGACGGGATAATGTTGCTGGTAACGAGACAATATCAAACGCAAGGCTCCGGTGACCACATATGAGTGTACGACCAACAAGAGCATCCAGGGAACGTGTCCTTCGTAAACATCAAACGTCCTCGTATTGCGATGGATCATTAGCCCAAACCATTGAAACGTGGAAACAGCGCGCGCAATGTTCCGCTGAAAAGGCGAAGGAAAAAGGAAATACAAAAATCCCACGCCGCCCGGATGGCCATCCCTTCCGCTTCATGTAGCGATATATTGAATCACGCCAGGTTTATGAGCCCTTTTTAGGACCAAGTCTTGCCACATGTAGGCTGCCACACCTCCTCCCCTATTCGTCTTCCAATATTTGCTCTTCCTCTCAAATTCTACCGTCTAGTCTTCAACTGGCTGGCGTCATGTAGTCAGGCCCGAATTTGCGACATGCAGGAGAACATAATTGGATGCCGACCCCAGTGCTGCTGTATCTTAATGCATAGATCAGGGTACTTCTGCAAGCTGAGCTGTCTCCGCAGCTCTTTGGGAGAGTCAAAGAGCAATATATATGTCAGGTAAGGGCAAGGATACGACTCTCGCCGCATCCTGACCACGAATCCGTGGACCTAGGCCTATATTTGTCTCTCACTTTCTCACTCCAGGTCCTGCATATTTTTCTAGTCATGAAAACGTTTTCCATCAGTCAGATCTTGGGGCCATTTGTCACCTTGCATTGAAGGGCTTGACTCGGGTCCTGCCAACCTGGCAAACGATTCGCAAATCAGAGTCCAGATTGTCGGCTATCATCTGTAGAAGACACTGATCTCCAATGGAGCATTATATGGCGATCAAGTTCTCTGTGTAAATCGATCCAAGAGACTGAAATGCTATCATCTAATAATGCCAATTTGCAGATCAGCTGGACCCAATGTCAAAACTGAAGCCCACAAGAAACCAGATGGCGATTAGTCCAAGTTGTGTTACATTATCCATACGCAAATTTTGTCGAGTATAATGATGAGACCTGAAGAATTACGTTTCATGATCTCTTCCTGGAGATGAATGCACTTTTACTCCATCTCGTTTGATATATAAATATTCAGGTCGTCAGCACACAAGGTAGCAACTGTTCTATATCAGCGACTCTTTTGCTCGGAAAGGGCGAAACCATTGTCTGATCTATCAGTGTTATTCACGAGGCATACCCCGTCCAAACCACGAGTATTGTATTCACTGCATACCTTTCATTCAATCTTTTATTTTCTCGACAATCTTTGGTCGTACTCCTGACTGCAAGATCATGGTGTCAGGAATTTGTGACCATTTATTCATTCGTCATGTGACTGGCATAATTGCTGCTATGAGCATACATAAGCAACCAGTATGCATCTAGATGCGGGGATCATCAATCTGTGTTCAACAACGCACAAGAGATTCCAGGGCAGCAAATTACAAAAGTCGAACCCGCTGATTCGCGAATTACACCAGAACAGCAGGGCCTGAATAGTGGATTCTAGGGCATTGTTCATCAAACAGGATTCGCGAAAAGCAAAGAAGCCTCACTGATTCAGTTGATACCCAAGATCAAAGCCCATTTGCCCCAGCTGCATCTTGGTGTCTCGGCTAGAGTGGCGTATGGCAGTGCACCTGCGTTTAGTGGAGACACACTCGACTCAGCAATTCTCGCACATTCTCTCACCGTAACTTGAAAAATTTCGTCTTGCATTTGCAATATCTTTGGGATTTTACACTTCAGTCATTATATCAACTCAAAGTATCGCCCGGGTAGTGAGTAGTAGAGCCTTGTGCGGCGCAGGAAGGATCCTGCTTGGTCTATGATGGTAAGAAATCCTTCTAGCCCCCCTCACTTGTGTGACCCCAAGTCTGATGCAGCTCTTGATTTCAGGACTGTCTAAGCTCCGTCGCTGTCGTCGGACAACTCCTTGGTCAGGCTATAGATATATGGCAACAGATCGATTTGGTCCGGCAAACAATCAAAGCAGCTCCTAAACTACTCAACGATCTGACAGTGCAGTCTGCCAACCTGCTTAACATTCTGCGCGACATTAAGGGCTCGGCAGAGTTACATACCGCCGCCATCCACACCCAGGTCGAATATATATACACCATATCACTAGAGCTCCAGCAGATCCTCAAGCGCTTGGCCCTCTTAAATCGTCAAAGCATTATTCGACAGAGCCTTCATGTGTTGAGCCACCGAACTCGAGACGAGTCAAGGTTAAACGACGTGCTTTCAAGAATCGAAAAAGCCAAGACTGAGCTCTTGATCACGATGAGCCTCGTCCATGTTGAGAAGACCGGACGACTGTCGGAAGGGCTCCAAAGGATCGAGTCGAACACCCGTAGGGACAGCTTTGGATTCTCACCCACTATCAAGGTTGATCGCAATCATACCGATGGGACAGCGGGACAGAACAGTGCAGTCGCCGGGGTCGAAGACTGCAAGGTGCCATTTAATGCATCGATAACAGACAATACTGCACTGGGCCAAAGCAGACAGAACAATCTGATCCTGTGTGGGCCAGGGTCCATGGCCCTGCTGCAAGCTGTTCTGCTCGAGGCGTAGCAAGACCATTATCGAACAGCACATTTTCAACCCGACCGAGCAATCGCCGCTGTTTCAACACACATCCGAGCGACTAGCTTATGTGAGATGAACATTAAGCTGTGGGGCGACCCTATGGCGGCGGTGCAAAGCCTCGCGCTCGGTATCACCCACGAAATAACGACACGTTCACGACACATCGACGAAATCATGATGGCGAGGAGGTTGACTTTATAGAAAAATATTTTGATGCATGTATTTTATGCATTTTGGTAATTCGAATGGATCTGATTTTTGCATTTCACAATTCTACTCTTGTGCGGGCTAAACACCGATTCGTGTTACACAAAGGCAGCAGTTTCGGGTTGCCTCGGAGCTGCAGCACTATTTCGACCGGTGAACATCTTTAGGCCAAATGAGCCAGATTTTCATCTTTCTCGAGAAATTATATGACTTTTATGCCTTGCACCATTGCTCATGCATTGCCTCGAAGCAGAAACTCCGTTGGTCCTTTTGGCACCACAGCTCGCTTCTCCTCAGCTGCCGCCGTCGCTTGGAGACTGGTGCGTAATTATGCACAAATGCATTAGTCGGTCCAATCAATCATCTATAGTGCCACCCATTATGCTTGCAACCATTGAGCGAAGAATGATGGACACCAAGACGGAGGGTGTGCAGATGCAACAAGGGGCGGCCTGGCCACTTTGGTTTTATGCACCTCCAGAGCCTTGTCTGGCTTACGATTAGCTATAAATCGCAGTGATTTTGAAATCCGCCCGCCCCAGAGAGTTGGGCGTTTTTCTAATGCTTGCTGTCGGATGTCAAAATGCCACACAACGCAGTCGCTACGAGAAAGCCATTGGAACTGGAAATCTCTGGCAGTGAGTCGTCCACAAAGAAAGGCCCCACAAACGCTTTATAGCCGTCACTGAATGGGTAGCTGAAGGTGGATGTCTTGGAAGTATGCTAATTTCGAGTGCCAAAAATAGAAAATAGTAGCCGCAACAATAGAATCACCTTTGAGTATGGGGAGACTGTGCGTGATGTATCGGACAGGATTCGCAGTCAACTACAATTGAAGCCAAATATGCAAATTATTTTCAACAGTCTCGAAGGACCGCACCAAGGGCAACTACAAGGATTGCTGTCAGGTGACCGCATGAGCAAGCATTTCCCTCGAGGGGGAAAAGTGCGCATCGATACAAAAGCCCAAGTTCCGAGTGAGGCAGATTTTAGCATCCGTGAGTGCCGAGTGAAATGACTTCTCTCCGTTTTCAATATGTCGTAGCCGTGGTTACTGACACTTCTGGTGATCATCTGCAGAGGGCAACAAAACGCATCAGAGCGGCAAGCAAAACAACATCATTGCCATGCAGGCAGAGAAAGACAAGGCGGCTATCAAAGAGAACACGGCCAGCGACACGTCAAAGCAGAATAATTTCATAACAAACGATGCCAAATCAGTCATTGACAAGTTTAACTTTGACTAGGATGAGGAGGCGCATAGCTCAATCTGAAGCCATAATACATGAGCCATAGTAGTTGGAGACCTACATTTCAAAGGCCATCACGAGTCTTTGGATTGGCCTACTAGAGGATATTAATATAAACACCCATAATGTTCCGAGATGTCCCTTGAAAGATGATTACATACATGATTTGAACATCGTATGTAGTGGATGAGGTGGCCAAGGCTATGGCTCTGGAAATGGTAGAATCTTGATAACAATCTAAAAGGACCTTATTGTTGAACGGTATAGACATTGCACATGATCTCGGGCAGATGAGGAAACTGGTGGACGTGCTTGGGAGCAACGGGTGGAACCACAGTCAGCAAGTCGGAGAACTTGATGGCCACGGGAACCTTTCCCAGGGGTATGGAAGCCTCGTTGAAAAAGGCATCTTGGTCAGGTTCTTCATGCTAGTAAATGTGAATGGATTATTTTGGACCCCAGCATTTCCGCCCCGACTCCAGTGTATAGAAGCCATTAGCAAATGGCCCCCAGAACCCAGCAACAACCGGATAATCCAACGGACTGAGTCGACACACAAGCAGATATCCATATATCTACAAGTCAAAAATTTAGCGTCACTTTGAATTCCTAGTAGGTCTGCCTAAACCGGTTTTTTTACCGAATCGAAATATCCTATCCGCTTGCAGCTGGCTTTTGCGCGTTCGGACGTCTTCAGAGGGTTTGTTTTCAGCCGCACCTGATCATCATTTCAGCCCCTTTGAGCTGAGGGCCATGATTCTTGAATTAGGCATAATGTTTCAGCCAACTACCAAATCCGTAAGCAATCATTTCAAGACCTGTGCCTCGACGTCGTGCATGTGTAAACCTTTATGCAAGCCTGCTTATTTTTCAAAAGTTTACCTGCGTCAATGAGTGCAGACGATAGGCTCCAGAGCCTTCTTGGGTATCACCAAGTTGATGAATATAGCACAATGCACACAGTTGCAGACCTTGGCGGACTGATCCATGATTCAAAATACAAAGATCTTCTTGACCATACTATCAATCTGAATGATTTCAGCGTATATGATCGGAATACATACAGCCTCTGGGGCGCTTAGGATCAAGTACAAAATTGATCAACTCTTCTACAGAGAGGCTTTCTGTTTGTGCTGCGAAAATATAGAAGTTTTGATATCTCAAATTCATCTAATAGACTTGAGATTATGGGTTCATCAGAGTATTCAGTCTACACTGGCTTCTGGACCAACTGGACCGATGGCAAGGTCATGGGCGCAACCCTCACCCTCAACCGCTCTAATGCCAACTTGCTGATCGCCTTTCTCGCATTCTTTCTCACCATTGTCACTACTCGACTCTGGGCCATCATCTCATTCATTATCCATATCAATCTATCCAGTCCAGATCCTAGAGATGCATTACATCACCAGCGCCAAGCCCTGCTTCGCAACAATGGCGGTCCGATGGGTGCCTCATTGTCCTTGATTAAGCTTGCTTGGATGTGGAGGAAGAGTACGGGGACATACCGCAGAGTTTTGCCACTTTTATTGGGTGCTCTTCTTCTCGCTCTTGGCTTTGCTGTAGCCGCGGGTTTCTCGTCTAGGGTCAGTCGAGGGAGTGAAGTACTTCTGCTCCCTAAAAGTTGCGCGTTATATTATCCTCCAAACGACATGATTTATCGCTCTAATTATCTAGATTGGCAATCTATAATGGACACGGAAGCAGCTAGCTACGCCCAGTCATGCTACTCAAACGTGTCCACAAACTCGGCATCTAGCTGCATCAACCATCCCTATGTCCAACAACGACTCCCAGTCACGGTGGATTTTCAGGCGCCTTGCCCATTTGACTCGGATTTGTGCGCATTGAACACGCCTGGAATGATTCTAGACTCTGGGAGACTCGATTCGCATGAGCATTTCGGAATCAATGCGCCTCCGGGACAGCGATTCCAGTTCCGTCGAGTTCTGCATTGCGCACCGCTAAGGGCGGCCGGCCACACTGACACTTTTGAGTACACGACAAACACTTCGTTCACGAGATATTTCTTTGGAGAAACAGACGCTACAAAGTACACCTACGAGTATCCTAGCGTGAATAACATTGTCGACATGACCATGAATGGCGATAATGATACCCGCTGGAGGAATAGCGACTACAACTTGAAGTTAGCCCTGCCTCGGAATAAGTATGAAGCACATCTGACTGACTGACTACCAGACTGAATTACGCCTTTCCTCATAATGGATCACTCGATACACCTGTGGCAACATGGTCATTCCGCCCGCTGCCAGGGCTCTATAAGGAAGATGCCGACATGATGCTCATCTTCTTGAGTCCCAACCAGGTCCAATTTCAGTACCCTACCGCGGATCCATGGTACAATAACTCGCAGACGTCCATTAGCTATAAGATGGATTTATTTGAAGGGGGTGAGTCCTTTGAGGCCGAGTGGTGGTATGCCGCTGAGCCAGCATCGCCACTGGCTTGCCACCAACAGTCGCAGTGGTGTTTTGGGAACGGCGCTGAGGCGAAATGTACACCACTTGCGCCCATCAGCGACTTGCCGTCTTACGCGCGAAACATAACGGATAGATCAAGTTATAATCGAGCAGGCTGGGTGGACAGCATCTTCAACACCCAAGGCAACTCGGAATTTCCATCCATTGCCAAGACACTTGGAAGTAAATCGCTTACGTCGCGCTTTGCTTTGAACTTGGGGCGGCAAGGCACACTCACCGCTAATCAATGGCAACACGATGTTGGCTTTTGGTACGATTCGATGCTGGCAAGATTGCAACAAGCAATCGTTCGGACTGTCATGGGCGATATCCCGGACGAGCCAGAGTTCATCAAACCGGCCAAGACGGACGAGGCGCGCTCCATCTGTGCAAACCAGGTGGGTTACTCGCCCCTAAACTTTGAACCATGGCGTCTAACTCTACACAGAAAGTTATTGACTTGGTTCATGTATCTTTGAGCGTGTTTGGCCTTGCATTCATCTTCGTGTCTGGGCTCTTGATCATTATCATATCCTATATCCTTGAACCGCTGACCCGTTGCGCCGGTCGACGTCTGGGTAAGAACTCGTATGCCCGACTCGAATGGTACTCAACGGGAGTCTTCCAACTGCAACGTATGGCACACGAGGCCCTTGGAGTCGGGGACTGGGACTATTGCGGGGACGACATACCTACCACGGCTGCTGGAACGACGCTCGCTTTGCTCGATATTTCGGATGAGAATCACCCGTTCTTGAAAGCCGACACGGCTCGAAATGTTCAGAATGCCGCTAAAACAACTGAAAAGCCATCACACACTGTTCAAAGTACCGAGACAATGGTTGTGGCTGCAGATACAGTAGACAGTCAGCGTGGGTCGCAAGAGTTGAACAGCAAAGAGGTTGCCAGCACCGGAAATACAGACAGACCAACATCGGATAATGAGGACCCCTCAAGAATATTGGATCCGCCGGCGCTACAAATGCCGTCATCCTCAAGACTTGCTTCAGCCACAGATGGCGAATTGCATTGGAATGGTAATGAGGCTCTCTCAATATCGGATTCACACATGACAACCGACCGCCGTAGTGGACTGTCGCCACAATCAAATTCACCGTCAACAATACCGCAGATCTCTTTCGAGCTATCGCCAACCCGGTCGTCAGCTGAAGATTTTGCACTGGCATAGTCAGTACCTATCGCAGATTACCTTCTTGGGTGTGTTAGATAGCTCTCCAGTACCTGTCTTTGTAGATATCGGAATTAACCCGTATATCTTTCACATAGTCTTTCGATTCCACCTTCCCTTTGCGACGGCGAGGAGGGCGCGGCTCCGCCGGTGGCGGGCCTGGGGCACCGGCGATGCCTTGTACAGTCTGCACTGCACTAATTTGAGAGCAAAGCGCAGTAGGACCAAGACATTAGGTTTTGTGCTGTCAAAAGTCCTCGAATTTTGACATCAAGGCATAAGCCATAAAGGGTATTTATCTGTATCAAATTGTAAACAAAGTCTGAAAATTCTACTTCCACGGGACGTACGGGCCATACCGACAGACCGCTAAACTCTAGACAAAACTATTAATCATCGGTAGATTCCCTTCCTTCTCCCTAGCAGGTACCCAGGACTGAACCCGTAAACACCGATTATCTTGCGTCAAAGCACATATACATTTGAAAAGTAGCATTTGGTTGCATGTAGTGTGTATTGGTCATGTGCTGGGATGCAAGCCACACAGAGATGCAGGAACTTGCATTTCATATCATTCCCGAAGCAAGACCGATAACTCCCTTCGCCGATTACCATAACCCCTTATATTTGACAATCTCAACGTCACATGCCTACCCTCCGGACGCTGAGCACAAGACAGGAAGCCCGAGATAAGCATTCACCCGATCACATCATCTTCATTCCTTGCTTTCATTGTCCAAGGCCTGTCTGAGATGATTCCCCAGGTGCGTCAAGGACGGGCTCTGGACAATAGTAAAGGTGCTGGTCTCGACACCAATCTGCTGTCGGATCCAGTTGCGCACCTCCATGGCAACTAATGAGTCCATGCCAAGACTTTCCAGGGGTCGGTCAAGAGCAAAGCTGTCCTCATCTTTGATCAGGAAATTGGCAAGCGCTCCAGCAAGTGCCTTGGCAATGATGCCTGTCCTTTCATCTTCGGACTGCCCGGGTTCGAGGAGACTCTTCAATGGTTTACTTCCGGGCGTGCTGCTGCTGTTGGACGTCTCGGCGGATTGTTCCAAGTTGTGGTAGATACTCATGCGGGCGTCACGCTTCCAGGAAACTCGAGTTGTGGGAGAGGATATCGGCTTGGTAATGTTGAGCCCAAGTACCACCTGTCCGACGCTTCGATGGGTATTCTTTCCAGTAGATACCTGCGGGGGGTGGGATCTCTTGAGAGCTAGGGTGATTGCGTCGAGCAGATGCTGTTCTTGCAATACGTACATCCCCGTCCTCTCCAGGCTCTGCAGTATGTCCTGATTGCCGGCGACATAGCCCACATCTCCCATGAGACCAACGTCAATGACGGAAGCCGCAAGACCATTTCGGTGCCGGTATTGAACAAAAGCGTCAAGGAAGGTATTGGCTGCTGCGTAGTTGGCTTGACCCCAGAGGCCTATCAAACCACTCTGGGATGAGAATAATAGGAAAAAGTCCAAGGGGGACGACGCAGTGGCATCATGTAGATTCCATGTCCCCTTGACCTTGGGCTCCACGGCTGTGGTCCAGTCTGAAAAAGTCATCTCAGAAAGCCCGGCATCCCTCAAGACCATGGACAGATTTATGACTCCCGCCACGGGCTGGATGGCAGTAGCCTTGTCAACAGCACTTTGTACATCATCCATGCTGCTCACACTGCCCGCAACCAACAGTACCTTGCAGCCCTGAGACCGTAGATCCTCCAGGAAACTTTGCAATTCAGGCCCTTCTTGGGCAGACCGGGAAAGGAACACAAGATTTCGAGCACCATGTTCGACCATCCATGTAGCGACAGCTCGTCCCAAGCCACCCAAGCCACCAACGAGCAGATAGCTGCGGTCTGAACGGAAACTTGGCGCCGGCTTGGAAGACTCAAGCATTGACTTGTCCTCTTGCTCTTGAGTCAGCTCCAGCAGGTCCTTTGGCATCTCAATGACTATCTTGCCAATGTGCTTGGCCGTCTGCATGGTCCTGTATGCGTCTTGAATCTTGGCAGCTGGGAAGACCTGGGAGATGGTTGGGCCCTTGAGAGCGCCTGAGCGGATCAACTCGATAGAGCGTTCCAATAGCTGCACAGCCCTTTCGGGACGAGACAGCGACAGCCCGCGCAAGTCCAGGCCGACGAATGTCCGGTTCGCCTCGAACGTTTCCATGGCCAGCTGCGCTCGTCGTTGGAAGTCTCGCTTTCCAATCTCGACCATGATTCCGAATTCTGCCACGCACTTCCATGACGCGTGTAGAAGATCCCCTGATAGCGAGTTTAGCACAACGTCAACGCCGCGATTGTTGGTTGCGCGCATCACTCCTGGTAGGAACGATGCGTCACGCGAAGTAAATACGTGACTTGCGTCAATGCCGTAATTATCCAAGAGGTGCGCTCGCTTTGATTCGCTCCCCACGGTGCAGTACACCTGTTGATGAGATTAGCAGGTCTGTCAAGTCAAAGATCCAAAATGGACAGCACTTACCTCGGCGCCGATTAGCTGTGCTATTTGTACTGCAGCTAGTCCGACACCACCACAAGCCGCATGAATGAGAATGGACTACATATCTGGTAAGTTTCCAGCCAGTTGCCACCAGGGATAGGTCAGTTACTCACCTGTCCTCGTCGCAGATTTGACGTATTCATCAACGCCATGAGAGCCGTAGCGTAAACGCACGGCACCGTAGCTCCTTCAATGAAACTCATGGTGTCGTCCAGCTTGACACACAGGGACTCTTGCAAGGTAAGGTGCGTAGCAAAGCAACCGTCGCTCAGAAAAACGACGCGATCGCCGACAGAGAAGCGCTGAACCCCCGGGCCTACCGCTCGAACGATGCCGCTGGCTTCAAAACCCATCTCGCTGGGATTGCCTTCAACTATTCCAAGGGCGAGTACCACATCCTGAAATCAGTTAGTATACCTGATACTGTTCAACATAGAGGTTACTCACTCGAAAGTTGAGGCCGACTGCTCTCGTCTCGACAAGAATCTCATCATCCTTGGGGCTTTTGATTTCAGCGTCTCTCCACATCATGGTATGCAGCAGGCCTGGTGTCGTCATGGTCAGCTGTTTCAGTTTGCCCCCGTGGCTCCCCTCTTCGTTGGTTTCTGCGTATGCACGAGGCGCTGTCTGCCAGTGGAGTCGTGGAACAAGGATTTCGCCTTCATCTATGGCGTATTCGTAGTCGGGATCCATAGATTTGGGATTCAACTCGGGGTTGTGAGCTCTGCGCATGATATCCGTTATGCCCTCTGCGGCAATAGGAGTTGTCGTGTTATTGCCAATTTCAATGGTGAACAAGTCTCTCGAATGTTCATTGCGAGCTGTTCTGGCGAGACCGAGCACCATTGCCGCCCTGGGGTCTTCGCAGTTGACCTGGGACGCCTGGGTTACCCAGAAGAGCCTTTCCTTGTGTGGTCCAAAGTATCCCACTATAGTCTCGAATGTCTCTTCGGACATATTGTGGATAGCGGGCTCTTGGACATCGAGAAGGGAGATGGTATCACAGGCGGGTAGAGGCTCGCCAAAGATGCAGGTCTCAACAGCCACGTCGAACGCAGCAAGACTGCGCTGCATCTCTTCAACGTAAGGCCCATCAACAGCATAGCAGAGCAGGGCCACCATGGGTGGTGTACTTCTCCGGGCCGCCCGTGAGGCTATGATGCCAGCATTGAGGTGATATGGGGCAGCAGAATCGAGTACAATGGCTTCAGGCTCCTGGAACCCTGCATTGACCAGTTCTTTAGTCCAGCGTTCCGGTGAGACCCATGGCTGATTGACACGTCCATCATCGGCTCCAAGCCACCAGCCGGAGAGGAAACCCTATACAAACACTCCAATCAGTTCAAATTTCCACAGTCGATGGCAAAGAGAAGTGGAAGGTGGAATGAGGGCAGATGAAGAGATGACTGATGTGTATCGACCGCCTCCAAAGTATGACGTGGACTCAAGTGTTGATAACTTACCATGACATAGTTCATGAACATGGAATCTGAGCAAAATTAGATAGGTCAGAGTACAGTCAAGACATGCAATTACTCACCAGGGCAGAGCTCTTCAAGAAACAAGCGGCCACCGGGGCTAAGCAGACTAATCGCATTGCGAAGGGTGGTATTCAGGCAAGGGGTAGCATGGAGGACCTAAAAGGGTGATAATTAGCCTTGTAGTTGATACAATAGGATAACACTGGTCGTATTATGGGAGAAACCTACATTAGCTCCGATGACTAGGTCATAGGTTCCAAGATCAAATCCTTGCTTGGCAGGATCTTTTGTGATATCTAGGACACCATATTCAATGCCTGCCGCGCTGGCGAACCTCTCCCTGGCCGCCGTCATGAAACCGGCCGAGATATCGGTATATGAATAGAGGCTGTAAAGGCGCTCCCCAAAGGATGATGTTAGCGCCTCAAGTACTCTGGCTGTAGTGCCACCGGTTCCTGCACCGATTTCCAGAACTCTCAGATGGGGATTCGTGTTGGCCATGAGCCGTATCGCGTCGGCCGAGTCGAACGACATGGCATCGTAGAATTCGCTGAGCACATTGTCTCGCAAAAGGATATGTAGGGCGTGCGCTTCGCCTGAAAAAAGAGCAGGTGCCTCCTTAAACAGGCGGTAGACTGCGGTGGAGAAAACAGCATCTGGAGAGTCTGAGAGTTCAGCCACTATGGCATTGATCCTGGCGAGTCGCTGTTCCTGTGTCATGTCTTGGATGGCCAGGTCTCTGGAAATAAGCACATTGGCTCCAGACTGATACTGGTCTGTGTGCAGTTTCATCCAGTCGAGGGCCTTGATCAAATGCTCCGGAGTATGCTCAGTCGGCTTGACCTGTTCCAAATGGTCAAAACTGCACAGCATGATGAGCTCCTCTAATAGAGGCCATTCCCTCAGTCTTGGCGCACGTGGATGCAGACCATTTTCGAGGCCGACGAAATCACTGTGCGGTTTCCATTCCAGTTGCGAAATGACGGGAACTTGGTCTTCTGTCGGGCCTTTTGTGAGAACAGAGGTTCGCATCCCTTTCAGGCTCAAAACCGGGCCTGCATCACTGCAGGCCACGAGATCCCCAGTCCAGGATCCTGACTCTTCTAGTTTGTTGATCCTTGCTGTGACGTCTAGACTTATGGCGCTGGGAGAGACCACCATTTGTTCAATAAAGGTCGGCACAGCGAGTTGGCTCGTGTTGCGCCGGAGCCCGTGACAAGCGGCGACGGTAAATAGTTGGAAGCACTGATCAATGACTGCAGGATGCAAAGTGTACGTTGCGCACCTTGCGTCATCAGCAGCCATCCCCTGAGCCTGCGCTGCCACCGTGGCCTTGGCTTCGCTCGACGTTGTAGCGGCCGAAACGGATGACATTCCCTCAAACAATCCCGTGTAGTTGAAGCCCACCCGTCTGAGAACTTGATACCAGTCCTTTTCGCCCACAATTCGTGGGAATGAAGTCGTACGTTGGAGGGAAGCGTCGAGATAGAGCGACTTGTCTACTGATGCCATGGCCTGGCCGTAACAATTCTTGACCCATCCGGTCCCGTCAGATGAGGTGATGGTAAACTCATACCACGGCGAACTGTCAGAGGTGTCTGAAATGGGCTTCAGACTTGTGACAAGTTCCGTTGGCTTGTCCATCTCGAGGACCCTCGCTGAAGCGATACGAATGTTTTTCAAGCTGTATGTTGTCTCCCCAGACAATTGCCGGAGTGCTTCACCAATCATGGCAATGTATCCTGCGGCAGGGAACACAACGTCGCCGTTCACTTCGTGGCCAGTCAGCCAAAGCGCATCTTCGAGGGCTAGAACTTTCCTCCATGATGATTGGCTCGCCATCTCTGTTACCCTGTTCCCGAGAAGAGCGTGGGGTGGGTGTTCTCGGAACCGCCAGTCACGAGAAACCCGCGGCTCTCCCCAGTGACTGGTATCCTGTTTCCACGAGTACCGGGGCAGATCCTTCACGACTGTACCTGGCGGGCAAATGGCCGAGATGTCAAACTCGGCGGAATGCTGGTACAGCTTGCCGGCGACATGTAGAAGGCTCTCAAGACCGCCTTTGCCTCTGACAAGTGTACCGATGTGGATATCCGATCGACCAATATCCCTGAGGATTTGACCAATTGGTCCAGCCAATGCCGGATGCGGCCCAATTTCAACCAAGAGGACTTTTCCAGTTTCGTCTCCAAGTGCTGAGCGAAGCGCCGAATTGAAAAGGACGGGGTTTTCCATGTTTGCACGCCAATACGATGCCGCAAGTTCTCCATCGCCCGTGAGACGTTTGCCTGTTACGGAGGAGTAAAAAGGTATCTCGGGCTCAACACTGTGAACAAATGATTTGAGTTGGTCTTCATACGAAGGTCCGTATTCTCGCATATGATCTAAATGATTGATAGTGTCAGTAGGCAGTCCATTGCATTGTTATTTCATGGGGAGAGAATTGACTGACGAGAGTGGAATGCTTTCTCAACTCGGAGCATGCGTGCAAATGCCTCTGGTTTGTCCTCTTTAAGTGACTTGAGAACTGCTTCGACCCCATCCGTGTCTCCGGACAAGGTAACGCTACATTGGCTGTTCTCACAGGCAATGTCCACACCAGGCAGCAAATAGGGTTCGACTTCGTCCTTGCCCAGTCCCACAGCAGCCATGGATCCTTTTCGCTCAGATGACACGTTGCTGATACCACGACGCGTTGCCGTGTACATGGCAGCCTCGGCCGTAAGGGCACCACTGGCATACGCAGCAGCTGTTTCGCCTGATGAGTGTCCCAGGACAAAGTCTGGTACGATACCCCAGGATCTCAAGACGTCAACCAGGGCAATCTGCAAAGCGACGCACGTTGGATGGCCCAGTTCGGCTCGATGAACGCGGCTGGTATCTTTGCCTTTTCGCAGTTCATCTGAAGATGATATAAGCTCATTGTCTCTTTCCCTGTTTTGGGGGAAACACTGTATCACTTACCCTCAATTGTCCAAGGAAGTGGTGGTTTGAGTGTCCGCAAAAATTCATCCAGCTTCCGAATTGTTGCCCGGAATGTGGCGTTGCTGTCGATCAAGTCTGCGCCCATCTCAGGCCATTGTGCTCCCTGGCCGGTAAAGACCCACGCAATGCGAGGGGCTGTTTCCTCTGCAACTTGCTTGTCAGAGACAGCTCCCAAATTGGACGCGTCGTCTGTCACTATGTAAGCGCGATGTGGCTTGCGTTCTCGCCTGAACGCTAAAGTGTATGCCAAATCAGAAAGCGACGTGCTGTGACTCTCCGTGTATTTCCGATACTCATCAATCTGGTTGTCCAGTGAGTCTGCGTCATGAGCCGAGAACAATAACACGCTTCTTGGATCGTGCTTGTGTCCATTGATCTTGGGCTGAATGTTGCTGACATGGGTCCCATTGACATTAGTCCCGTCTGTATGAGTACCATTTGTATGAGCTCCATTGATATGGGTTCCATTGGTATGAGCCCCATTAGTATGAGTCCCATTAGTGTGATTCCCATTGGTGTGAGTCCCGCTGGTATGATTCCCATTGGTGTGAGTGCCGTCAATTTGAATACCACTCGTGGCATCTCCATTCTTGTTAACACCGTTGATGGGCTCACTATTGACTAGTCTGCGACTGTTCAGTTTGCCTTCTATGCCAAATTGGCGGGGTGATTCGAGAATAACCTGAACTCGTAAGCATACGTAAAATCCCAACTCGAGCAATCCTGCGCATGTTTGAACCTACATGAGCATTGACACCCCCTATCCCGAAAGAGTTCACACTGACTCTTTCTGCACGGTCTTTGGGCCAAGACTCCACCTCTGTTGGTACATGAAGCTTGCACTTCTCGAAAGGAACTGGCAAAATAAGTCTGTCTGTCTGCAAAAGACGCTGTGTATCCTACTCACTCTTTGGATTTGGTTTCTCAAAGTTGATGTTTGGGAGGACCTGATTATGTTCCAGTGCCAAAATACACTTGATGAGACTTGTCAACCCGGCGGCAGCTTCACTATGTCCGAGATTTGGCTTGACCTGGAATCGCAAAAAGTTAGTCATGTTCTGCATTACAAAGGGCTTGACCTACCGATGTAATGACAACTCCCTTGTCACCAAAGCATTGCGCAATGGCCTCTGTCTCAATTGGATCACCAACTGGAGTCCCGGTACCATGACACTCAACAATAGCCGTCTGAGATAAATCCTTAATGCCGGCAGCTTTGTATGTATGCCGTATCAAAGCGGCTTGCGCAGTAGGACTGGGAGTAAGCATTCCGTTGGTTTTTCCATCGATATTAACACCCGTTCCTCGTATAATAGCGCGGATGGGGTCATTATCTCTCAGGGCGTGACTGAGCCTTTTGACTAATACCATATTTACGGCTTCACCGCGTGCATAGCCATCTGCTGCGGCATCAAAGCTTCGACATTGGCCATTCGGCGAAAGCACTCCCTGGTCCTTGAGAGCCAAATATGTGGTTGGTGAAAAAATGAGACTGGTGCCGCCCACCAGTGCGCTATCGCATTGTCCGTTTTGAACCGCTCTACACGCGAGATCAAGACCGACAAGTGACGAAGAGCATGCTGTCTTGATAGTTACACTATCGTTGGAGTCAACAATGCTAATTTTGAATGCGTTGGGGCGCACCCTACCTTGGTCCATGTAAGTCCAGCTCGTACGAAACCCTATTGGCAAACGCAAAGTCTCCTAATCCAGTGCAGCGGTAGCCCCCCCTGTGTTGTGTCTCCCGCGCAGATACGTCGGCCCAGTCTTCCCCAAATTCACCTATATAGCAGCCAATGCTGCTTCCGCGCCATGAGGTCACACCTGCGTTCTCCAGGCACTCGTAAGCCACTTGCAGTAGCTGTCGCTGTCCTGGGTCAAGACGCTCTAGTTCCATCCTGGGAATGGGGAAAACATTGGTGTCAAACTGCTGGAGCTCGACGTCTTGTAAGAAATAACCCTTGTTTACGGGAATCGTTCCCGGGCTTCCGGCTGGGTCGTAGAAGCCATTGATGTTGAACCGGTTCTCAGGCACGTCGCCTAGTGCACTTTTCTTGCTGGAAAGAAACTCCCACAAATCGTCGCTGCTATGTATGCCGCCAGGTAATCGCATCGCAAAGCCGATGATGGCGACAGGTTCGGACTGGGAGGGGCCATTTTCTTGAACAGCGGGGGAACATGATGTTTCTTCTTGAAGTGGAACTGTGCCACGACTGGTATGTGATCCTGCCTCGAAGGCTTTGGCGTGAGAAGGAATTAAGACCTCGCGACCCATCTTCCGTAGTCTGAAAGTTGATCAGAGAGAATAAGGGACTCAAGATACAATAATCACAGTAACACTGACTACGCACTGGTATTATGCAATGTAGGTGGAATTTAAATGGGAACCCAATCTTATCTGTATACTAAGAGTTTGGCCCAAGTGCTGAGTATACTTGATTTTTATCAAGGACCACATAAAGTATCATGGCAGTATCAAGAGATGCTTGATCATATATCGGTCTCTTTCCATAAACGGCTAGCCTGCGCAGTCTTGGATGGGCCATAGGTTGCAGATCCATTTGAGCACTCATTCCAAGGCGGAGAGAGTTGCTGCCAAGCAGAAAGTGTTTAGTCACCGGTGGATCTCAAAATTGGTCGTCACTGATAATCGGAGTCTATACTCCATAACATGATATCATTGACCTCCATTACGAAAACGACCGATTTGTCGCCGGATCATGATTTGTGGACTTTTCATGGTATAGGAAAAAAGAACATCGAATCAGAGTCGGTCGATATGTTCATGACGTTGCTAGCACCAGGGAAAATGTGCCTTTGGAATGGCTGAGCTTCCCTGGGGAATGAATGTACCGAAGTAAACCCGCCTGGGCACTCCAGGAAAACCGATACAGAGCGTCCTGCAGTCATTGTGGCCGAATGAATAAATTACGAGTTAATCTCTCTGAGGGAGGTATTCATGCTGCAGACGAAAGTACCACATCTACCGCTAACCTTCTAAATTGCTGTGGGCCAGAGATCACACATTGTCCTCCTTCACCATGCTTCAGCACCTCGAAAAAATAAGTTTACGAGATTTGTTGGGCGCAGCTGGGGCCGCGGCTGCTGCAGTGGTTGGCTGCAGCATCCTCCTGGTACGGATGGCCCTTTCCCTTTAAGCTGCAAGATTTCATGGTCAGTTAATAAGAGTTCTTTAGATTCTCTACGGTATCATCTACCGTATCTTCTTCCATCCTCTAGCGAAATACCCAGGACCATTTCTCAGCAAGTTTACAAACTTTTATAGCGCGTATCATGCCTGGAAAGGCGATATACATCTTGACGTGCTACGATGTCACCAGATATACGGTTAGTCATCATGATGGGCATTTTACAAGTTACCGACGACTAAGACTTTGGGATTCCAGGTGACCGTGTGCGCTATGCTCCAAATCGTGTATTATTCAATACTACGCAGGGGCTTAGAGGTGAGACAATCTTCAGCGTGCTTTTTTTGTAAGACATGAAAATTCTGTGCAACGGCTATCTGACGCAAATACCCTATGCCAGATATATATGGACATGGAGCACACGTGAAAAAGTTTGACGGATACAAGGTGCTGTCGTCTCAGGCCGCAAACACCTTGACGCTCTCAGACAAGGCGCAGCACGCCCGGCGAAGACGTGTCATCAGTCAGGCGTTTTCCGAGAGCAGCCTCCGGCTCTTTGAACCGGATATGATTGCCAGAATCGACAGATTCTGTCAATTCGTCGGCGGCCCTGCTGTATCCGATGCGAAATGGACGCAACCGCAGAACATGGCACATCACTGCAAGTAACTGTTCTACCGGTAGTTTCAAAGAGAGGATTTTCTAACGTAGGGCGCAGTCACTCATTTGACTTTTGACCTGATGACAGCTCTGTCTTTTGGCTCCGACTACCATACCATCGAGGAGTCCGAGTTTCGTTATGTGGTGCCAGCCATTGAAGAATCAAATATTCGGTTAAGCGTCCTCTGGCAGGCGCCAGAACTGACCTTTGGTCATCTGGATCGCAGGCTTTTGCCACGGTCGGCCAAAGCAGCTCAACAATTCGTTGTGTTTCTTCGCAGATTGCTCAAGGACCGCCTACACAAGGACGGTGCGGACAGGAAAGATATTTTTTCTTTCTTACAAAAGTGTACGGACCCTGACACAGGCGAAGCACTGACTCCCAAGGAACTTAGCACGGAGACTGCGACTTTCATTGTGGCTGGTAAGACCATATTAAGCCGGCCGATGAAGCTTTGCACTTACATTGTTCATTAGGCACCGACACTTCATCCACAGCCATGGCAGGGCTGAGCCACTATCTTGCAGGTTCAAGTCATGCCTATCGCCGTGCAGCGGAGGAGGTACGATCAACCTTTACATCCATAGATGAGATCTCGCTGGGGCCGAAGCTCAACTCGTGCGCATTCCTGCGCGCCTGTTTAGACGAGTCACTACGTCTATCACCCCCCGGTGGTGGGCCGCTGTGGCGCGAGGTTGAGGCGAGCGGGGCTGTGATCGGCGGTGACTTTATACCCCAAGGCTGTGAAGTTGGTGCCGGCATCTACGCGATGCAGAACAGTCCGGGAAACTGGGAGGATCCCGGTAGCTTCAAGCCGGAGCGATGGCTTGAAAAGACGGATGGCAGGCAGCCATATTTTCCTTTCAACATTGGGCCGCGGAGCTGCGTGGGAAAGCCTCTTGCCATTGCTCAAATCATGCTGACCATGGCCCGTTTGCTCTGGGGGTTTGATTTTCGGAGAGCAGACCTTGACAAGGAACCTGGCGAGTCGAGTGATATGAACACGGAGCGATATGTTCTCAAAGATCATGTTACAGGGCAGAAGGAAGGCCCATTTTTGTGTTTTCGCCCTCGGACTTGATATTAACATCGATTGATGTCATTAGATTCATTTTTTCTAGACACGTTGTGTACAAAAGCCAGGAGGGAGCATGTGTTGTTTGACACGGTTGACAGCGACAAAGTACAGGTCCATGAGGACCGACTCTAGGCAGGGAAACGTGGAAAGAGCCTGGAATTTAAAGGCTATATTGAGTACATGGTACTTTTTGTTTTTCGCGAATTTCGATATCATTCCAACTGGAGCGAATCAAGTATCCATCGCTTATCATTCTTGACATTTGGATGTGTCGGCTCAAAAGCTTGTGTTTGGTCCCTTGGGACCATAGAGGGGTATAAGCGCTATGAGCCTCCTGTAATGGAGATAATTTTCGGGCTGCACGTTTCTAATAAGCCCCCTGAAAGCCAGGTCTAAAATGCCGCTAGTGGCTGGTTTAGTACACATCACAGTGGGCTTACAGTGGGCATTATACAAGTCCCACAAGCATTGTACAGCTCACAAGAAATTTCTATTTCACAAAATATCTTTGCTCTGAGGCGCAGTCTCTTACCAAATCATAATATATCATAAAAGACTTGTATGCCGCCACAGATTCCCGCAGCGGTAATTACCCGTTATAATCAAGCAGGGTTCACCCCTGGATGTGGCTCATTGCGGCTCATTTGAGCTTGGAACTACTCCGTTATTCTGGAAGTCTTGACTTTTGATCATGATGTGACTTCAGTCATTCTAGAATTCTACTTTATTCTAGTTATAGATACATGGTAGGGTGTGTCAGTATAGGTTCTATAGACCTCTCGTTCCGTACAGTTTCCATGAGATTAGTATCTAGCGGCTGTATTCGCCCTGTAAGTTCTCGCAATAACGTGTTCAATCGCAAAAGACCCTGTTGTAGCGACTCGATATCCATGGACTGATAGTTTAGTCCGCTCTTGCTCGAGTGCACGACAATTTCGTCCACTCGCAGACGTAGTCTATGGACCAAGGAGTCCCCAGTGACCAAGATCCGGCTGGTCAGGAGTCGTTTAATTAAATGAGCATCGTTCTCTGGCACTTGCCAATTCCCGAATAGGATGGCGGGGAGGCCTCGACCGCCCGTGGCACGACTATGATCCACCCTGATCCAGTTCAAGACTGTCTGAAGTACCGTTACGGTAAACAGAAGGACTTTGCAGTTGTGTCGACAGGACTGACAGGACAGTACTTTGTCGGTGCAAGCCAATACTTTAGTCGACCTGTCAAGCGTCTTATCCATGCAGATAATGTCGTCCTGCTGTCGCTCTATGTAATTAAGGTCACAAAGAAGGCTGGTCAGCCTTCTTAAACATGTGCAATTTGTCTGTTCGCTCTGCTCGGGGGAGGCGACCTGTGACAAGTCGTCGGAATCACTGTCCGTAGCAGCCTCTTTCTGCGGTCCCCGAGCATGCCCACCCCCCACCAGCAGTGTTTGCCAGTCAGGCTCTGCCCAATCAACCTCCAAGTTCCCTGACGGGTAGCTGGCCAAAACTTTTGTCGAGGTATCAATGGTGGAAGCGCTCTGTGGTTCTGGATTGCTCGAGGACACAATTAGCTTTGTATGGACTTGGCTACAGTGGGACAATTCTTATCCTACCGGTCATGAGCCAGGAGTTTATGTTGTGGTCCTGAGTGAGACAAGTCTTAGTTATCATCTTTGTCCGATATACGAATGCTGCTTACGGTCACAATGTCCGGGTAGAGAGGTGTATGGAGAGGAGGGCTAGGCTCTCCCAGTCTGTCGGTATAGCCAGCCTGTGGCGCAATTGGAACCTGGATTTGGGCATTGCCAATCGGATCCGGACTGGTTGTATGATTTGTTTGCTCGCTTTGCGGCGCGTTATTTTGATCGGCCGCTGCGAGTTTCTCGAGGGTTTTGTTGTTTCGCCGGCCTCTCGGCTTGCCAATCCTGGCCATGTAACTATATTGACATTCTAAATCACTGCCAAAACTTCATGGTCAGCAACTGTGCCACATCTCTATATAACGTGAGGTGGGGTTTCACAGACAGGCTTCGACACTTTTCGCACGGGTTGCCCCCAGAACATCGTATCTTGGCCTTGTGGCAGGGGTCGCAGGCCAGACGTCGGCGTTTTTCCATCACGCAGTGGAAAGCCGGACGATGACTTTGCGGCGAGAACAACAATGTCGGTGTTATATTGAACTTAAGAAACACACATTAGACAATCCGACTTATCTGGTGATGCACAGTATAGATGGATAGGAAAAGGATTTTCCTAAAGTCCTTGTCTGCATTACCTCCGATTCTTGCTTTATATGTCATAAGCTGACATGCATACAAAAGTGTCAAATGCCGGCTTGAATCAGGATGTATATTGCTTGATGGCTTACTGGATTGTATGGTACTATTAAACATCTCTGCATCAAAAGCTCGTGACCATACCAGGGCTGTCACATCCGTCTGACCAGGGTCTAGACTATACGCTTCACCCACTATTGACAGTGTTTATCCCAGTACTCGGATTACGTTTTTAGAATTATATCTCCGATCCTCTCAACGTATTGCAACCACTATAGCTTTCCACTTGCGTTAACCCGCCATTTAACCCCCATTGCAAAGTTCCACAAACTGCTTGAGTTATAGCTCAATTGATCTTATAATATCAATAACCTGAGGAGCAATTGAGCTATCATCAACTATGATATTGGCTACACCTCAATTGTCCAAAATTCTGAAAACATAGAAGTGGGTCAAGGTAACATTCTGACCCCTGACATTTGTTGCAGGTTAGCTTGTCCTTTGGCCGTGCCGCTCTGCAGCACCATCGACTGTGAATCTCGAACATATGGTCTGTGATAATCCCTTCATAATCACTCGATCTAGGCTTAGCAGACTTGCTGCCCCTCTCTTCCTACGACTTACGGTACGCACAGTTTCCCGCCAAGTCAAATCCTCCGGGGTGATCTACCAGGAAGAAGACCAGTCGACCAGGATTATAAGCGAGATGTCAGACAGTATATTCCATATCTGATGCTTAGCGGCGGATTAGATGTGAGTTTAGAGCCACTCTTAGTTGTCATGACGTAAGGAAATCAATGCATCGTGTACTTGTAGTTGTGTGTTTTTATTTCCCAGATGAGTGTATCGTGTCTCGCTTATCTTGCTTGACACAAAATGAAGGATGAAACGTACATTCGTAGAATTTCGCAAGAACATAACTACTACCAATTACAGCTTATCTTCAGCCTCTTCTGATGGTGTTCTGATGCCAGTAAGACCCCGGATTCTTACATGGCGTAATTCTCGGGTCTTGGCCTAGATGGAGACGGATCTGCAAACCCCACGGGCACTCTTTGGCCGATCCACCGATCCGCGACGTTGAGTGGTCGGGTGAAGTGCAGATGTGCTTCTCGGATTGCAGGCTACATGTAATACTCCAGGTCGACCTTCAGCCAGTCGTTTTCACCTCTGAAAAGGTCCTCCGGTCCCGCTAGTTCAGCTATTGGAACTTTTGGCAGCAATAGTCTTGCAATCCAGTATGGACTCCTCACGCTCGACCTTATCGTCTTACCTGCTCCACACGCAGGGGTTCAGAAGGTGATAGATCACATGCAGTTCTCGACTGTTTATTCGCGGAGAGTGTCGACCAGGTCCTTTTGTGTTCACTTGTTTTCACTGCTCCGGTGGTGAATTCGCACACTTGAGATTTAATTGCAGCACGTACTTGAGTGTAGAATGGTACGATCAAGCTTGAGAAGTGTGGTTCAAGTCAGTAAGCGGCCAAATATCTTTTTGGGTCTAAGCACTAAAGCATGGGCAAATGCAGCTCTGTGGGTGCTTTGGATTGCAATCCTGGCAATGTTTTTATTCCGTAGTTGCCTCCCAGACTGGGTTACCGTGGCCCTATCATGGCCCTCATTGGCGCGAATACTTCACTGGGGGGGAGACGAGCAAGTAAATCCATAATAACCATGTGGTTTTGAACATGACAGCAGCAGCATTTATGTGGAGAAAAGAAACAACCAACATCGAATGGAGGTGGTTAACAAGAGGCTTGCATGCCGAGTGATCCAGCTACACACGTACTCCTACATCGCTCCTGGCGATGAATACGTCATGTGCCGTCCGTCGAACCATTCAATTGTTATGCCTTGCAAATGGCCTGCCAATGTAGTAGCTGGTGTAACTAATGTAGGTACATACGATGCATATTAGCGTCGCCACCCCCACAATAACAGCGGGGGCCGATTCAAGCTTCTGGCTATGGTGGATACAAGAATTCGCGCGCAATCCGGGGCGCAGGTCGATCATGTTGATCATATTACGGGCTGATCCCGAGTTGGCTCAATTGTCCGCTTGAATTATTTAATCAAACAAGCTAGAACTGTTATGCGGAATGCTAATAAAATGCGGTTTTCCCCCATCCCGCTAATCACAAGGCTGTCCCGGATCAGATCTTCTTTCTATCTATAAGGGGACCGGGAATGGACTGACGCATTCATACCTGCACATGTCTTTGACTGCCAACAAGCGAGAGCTGCACGCCGGTGCCGGCCCGCAGGTTACCTACTGTACGATGTGTCAATGATATGATTATGATATGATTGCCTCGGCACATGATCAAGACGCACATGTAGTCGATAGTTTTGTGGTAAGCCCAATGATAGAAAGCTGAACCATTGACGCTTGGCTACATTAAGCCCGGAATGTGACGTTGGGCGGCCCGTCGCGGGGTATGCTTGGCGTTTACTTACATCCTTTGCGCTATACAAGAGCTATCCGGGTTCACTACATCAAGCCATCTGCAGCTTATGCTGAAACCCCTGGCACGAACCCGTAAGCTGCAGCCAGACTGTCAAGTGAACACGCCTATGGTGTAACCGTTGCCGCCATGGGGGCAAAAGCACGTTTCAAAACGGCAACGAATATCAACGCCACTCTTATCAATGGACGGAGGTTAGGCATTGGTGCGTTTGTCCCACGAAAAGTCTAGGTTAGTCGTCTTCCTATTGCATCTCACTATCAGCGCCATGCCGATGTCTACTTGAAACAACCCCGTCATGTTCAAATTTTATGTTTCAAATTATCGTGGCCAAAGCAGGATGTTTCTACTGCCAAAGGAACTCCATAGAAAGATCTTGCTCTCGCTGGAGTTGATATTTACACGTTAGTATTGGCATAATTAAAGACGACCATGTGAATGATGCATTGCACCTCACAAGTTGTGCTTATGCCCATCTCAATTCTTTGCGCACAATTCATGAATATAATTGGTGTACGCTCGGCTGTTTGAGCCATCACAGATGAAGCAAGTTCAGCGCTATGCCTTTTGCGAATCAAGCCTACGTCCAAACAACCAACCAGTCAACTATCACAAATGCAAGGGGCTTCTTCCAACACACCGACAGAGACCTCCTCCTACTCTGTATTACCAATCTCAACACTGAGACCCGATTAGGCTAATCAGCCTGTTATCTCCAAGATATTCCCGTCAAAGCTCCGATTGACGAGGTGAGCACGGTTACTTTTGGTCGGGCACCGAGCATTCACCTAGATTTCCTACATTCTGTCCTTTTTTGCATGCAAACTTCACATAGAAAACCACTTGTTCTAGTGTAGACCTAGTCTAGATGTCATAAATCATTTTGGGCGCGACAAACTTGTCATCATATATATTAAACTCATTACAAGCCACCGACACCACCGCTTCAACACTCTCAGCGACCGACTCAGCCTTCATCAATCACTATGGCGGAAAATGGTGGCGTCAAGGCAGTTTTCGTGCCGCCAGACGGCGGTCCAAGGGGTTGGCTCAACGTCCTGGGCTCCTTTCTCCTCCAGTCATCCTCGTACGGATACGTAAGCGCGTGAGTACAACTCCATTTTCAGCAATGTTGCAGACTGACTTGGAATTTCTGACATGCAATCAGTTGTGGTGTTTTTCAGCTATACTACAAGACCGTTTTACTCCCCGGCTACCCGTCTCAGACTCTCGGCTGGATCACGACGGTTGCCGTATGCTTGATATTTGGGGCTTGCCTCCCTACGGGATACATCATTGATCGGTATGGAATAAGATCCGTCACCGCACCATCCGCTGGTTTGGGTCTCGCGTCGATAGGCTTGCTCAGTCTATGCACCAAGTACTGGCAGATATTGCTATGCCAGGGCTTCGCCTTGGGTTTTGCTTGCTGCGGCATGATGCTTTCGGGTGTCGTCTGCGTTACCCAGTGGTTTTCGACGAGGAGGGGCCTGGCAGTTGGCGTAGCCAGTGCTGGTGGTGGTTTCGGTGGCGTCATCTATCCCATCATGGTGGCCCGTCTCATTGACCAACATGATTTTCCTACAGCCGTCAAGTGGTCGGCACTACCATTAGGTATGGGGATGCTGTTTGGAGTTCTCATTTGCGAAAGCCCCTTCCCGTCTCGGAGGACAAAGGGGAGACAAGCGAAGCGAGAGGCCCCCGAGGAACCCTCAGCTGCTATTGAGGTACCGCAATCAGAGGAGTCTAAAGCTGAGTCTGGTGTCGCGTCCCAGGGTCCTTCAGCAGCGGGCTCATTAGACTCGGGAGACTTGGAGAGGCAGGCCCAGAAATCGGGCGTTCTCAGATCACTGCGTTCAGGTGGTCTGGCTTGGCCCTGCTTTGCTGTAGGGGTTTTCTTCTGCATGTTCAGTCTTCTCGCGCCCCTCAACTACTTGCCTGAGATGGCACGAGAGACGGGAACAAGTCTGAGCCTTTCTCAATACACGCTGAGCATTATAAATGCTGGTCAAAGTAGGGGGTTCTTTCATACTTTGACTTCAAGCACGTTTGATCCAGAACTGATCAGTATACTGATGAAATAATAGTGTTTGGTCGCATTCTGCCAGGCTGGCTATCCGATTATGCCGGTCCACTTACTACAATGACTTTAGTCAGCGGGATGTCGGCAATCGCTATGCTGGTCATCTGGCTTCCGCTTAATTTCTACCCTAACTACGCTGGCATTGTATTCTTTGCCGCTTTCTATGGACTCAGTTGTGGTGGCTGTATGAGCCTCGCATCCCCTTGTGTAGCTGCACTGGCCAAGGGTAAAGTTCACGACCTCGGAGTAAAGATGGGCATCGCATGTTCTTTCATGGCAATAGGGTATGTAAACATCCCCACTTTGTCATCATATATGAGACTGACATTGTCGTTCGCGCCCTCAGGTCACTAGTTGGCGTTCCGATAATCGGTCTCATCAAAGAGAGTACCAATAGTTTCGATGGGCTCATAGCCACAGCGGGCGTCACAATGGTTAGTATATTCCTTACAGTTCTAGAAATGGATTGCCCCCTACTTAATGCGTCCTACTTCAATATCCTGCGTGTCTGAGACTGACGTTTGACGCACGGATAGGCATTAAGTAGTCTGCTCTTCTTCATCTCAAGAGTAAAACTTGGTGGTTGGAAGCTCTCGGATAAAGTATGAGGGTTATCCAGCATCACTCTACGATTTGAATCAAGAAATCCCTCACGGATATGTATTCAGAACTAGTTCCACGGTGTTAGTTAGCCATAGGGCTACACAGACAGCAGAGACCTAAATGTCCTCGGTACTGGAGGAGACTCACTCCAGGTACCATCGCTCTAAATGAATGCGTAAAAAGGTAATGCACTAAAAGTTTTAATGATACTTGAATTATTGTCTATCAAGTCGTTCAATACTACGTGACTTTATGACAGGACTTGACAAGTGAACCCCTCCTCGAATGTATAATAGTTAGCCCATCTAATCCTATCTCACTCGTCATCTTTGGCTATCGGTATGGAGGTGTCAACAACACAGGTAAACTCGATTGAATGTTTCTACAAATTTTAAAGTGACCTTGCAAACACTCAGGACACCATCATCATCTACACATTGTCTTCGGAGCACAAGTTGTGTTTGTCATGGAAGTCCATTGATTGAGTAATACCGTCGACTATATTGTTTCGTTCATTTCCACTAGGCTGACTATCCTTGCATTACATGTCATTTACCTAGTAGTAAATCCATGCCAAAAGCACGTCTCTCCTCGATTGATTTATTCCCCGCCGATTGTCCCGAGTCAGTGGCGTTAATGAATCCCCCAAGCTCGAGCAGCTGTGCCGGTGGTATTGTACGTCTCCCAGCCTTGGCCACAAATTTGGAAATAGCAACAGCAAAAATGAGATGCTTTGCGGCTTCTGCTTCACCCTTGCCAAACAGTGCTTCCACCCACCTCTCCCCGTTCTCTATTACAGCCCCGCTTTGGATATGATAGGACACGACGTATATCCACTTCCGATCCCAAGTTAAAATGCATGACCGCGTATCGTAAGCGCGCAGTGGAGGGATCTCTCGGCGATATGATATATCGACGCCGGCCAACATGACTTTGCTGCGAGTCTGGCGCAGAGGCCAAGCCAAAAGTTTAGCCACTAGCTTCATGCGGCTGACGTCTAGGTCTATCAGATATGTGCTGTTTGACTTGTGTATGTAAATGTCACATTCAAGGATGCACGCGTGCGACGACACGGTGCTCGGGTCAAAGAGCGGAGGAGCCTGGGGCGGTTTTCTCGCTGGCAGTAGGTGGATCTGGGCAAGGGGCAAGGTAACCCGGCACTTGCTTGGTTAGCAGATTAGTTCCGACTGACTTGCATTGGAATAAGCAAGGGTCATACAGTGTGGCCTAGGGGTAGCATTTTGGCATTCATAACCAAAGCCATTATGACACAGGCGTACAGGCTAGAGAGATCCAGCCAATAGGAAAAGAACAGGCTGGATATCATGCCGAGGAAGAGGCTCCGGAGGAAGGTCATGATGATGTTAACTCGGAAATCTGCAGCGGAAGCCGGACGCAAGGTGTGTGGAGACGATCAAAACCGACACTCCTCCTTTGCACTATAATCGAGCCGAGACTTGGGCAGAGGTACATACAGATATAGGGCTCCACGAATGAACAGACGGAAGATATTGGTGGTCAGAATTTCGATACGCTGTTCTTTTACCCCGGGATGTGGGTCAGATGCAATTAATACGCTTCTTTGATTGGAATACTACATGCTGCACAAGTATGGTCCTTTCTAAACGATAGTGGATCTGTATCCCCATGATCGCCCAGACTCCCTAACCTGACTGCTGCCGGTGTGAATATGCCCACCCTCAAGGTGCACATCCATCTGGGCGCTGCAGCCGTTAGCCTGTGTTCGAATTGCCACAATATTATTCAATCGGAGTACGGCAATTTAAAGACCTACATTTCCTGACTGGATGCATTTATCATCATTTTGGAGTTTTGCGATTATGTCCCGAATACTGCCCGAGTAGGAGACTAAAGGCATTTTCACCGTATAGTCATCGTATAGTCGCCGTTTAGTCGCCGGGTAGTCGCCGTATAGCCGCCGTACTGTTGTCGCATAGTCGCAACTTGCCTTCCCCACACCTCCCTTGAGATACAAGCTGATTGCTAATCGGTGTCACGTAGATTACTGAGATTCTGCGCCGGCGCATACAGGTGATGCACAGGATCTGAGACTGACGCATACTCAGGTCTGAGGGTCTAGAATGTAGGAGTATCGGTATGCCAGTATCATTCCGTGTGGAGTAAGGAGATCTACGAAGCATCTCTCACAGCAGTCAACCAGGTCTGATCACGTGCACAGCTGGACCGCATGTGGACTTGACATGCATACGAATATGATCATCAGGTAGACGAGGTAAAATCTTGTTGGCCATAGCCAGAGAAGACGCAGTATAGCGTTCAGCGGTGCTCTGGAATTGCCTGGGAGTGCTGCATTCATGTTACTAATCTTTTCTTGGATTCGACAGAAGCGCGGACCCGGTTACTCCATGACAGAACGCGAGAGCTTGACTGGAAGAGTCTCTACCAAAGACCGTGACCTATTCTCCATACTACACAAAGGATTTTACGCAATATCAGTTGGTTATTCATAGTAATCGCAGAGTATTGCCTGTCCCTAAGCCTCTACCACCCCATGATTAAAAGAAGATGAGCACAAGTGACAGAATTAGTTAGTATCTCATAATTCAATAATCCTAGGTAATGAGTGTATTTCTCAACAGAGTTTTCTACCCTAAGCCTAGCCAGCGGGACTTTGACCGGAGTGGATGAGTGTCTAGCCTCGTCTAGGGTTATCTAAGCCACTCATCTTGATGCAGCTGAGGACGGTGGGCTAAAGACTTCAAGACAACTCTATAGTTTATCGTGAAGAATGCGCCATCCCGGACAACAGGCTTTCATTATTCATTTCTAACCTATTCAATGATTATTTTGATCTAGTTTCTAGATTCCTTGTAACTGGCATAGGCGTTTGAATATGGAGTCCCGTTTCAAAAGTTCCTGCGGAGATCCGGTCTCTACAACTCTGCCAGAATCTAAAACCACCACTCGATCGAAATCCATGATGGTGTCAAGCTGGTGCGCGATTGCTATGATGGTCTGAACAGCAAACTCTTCTCGAATGATGTGCTGCATGATACTTGCCGTGTGTTTATCAACACTTCTTGGTGTTAGCCATCTACGAGATCTTCTCATTGACGCTGTTAACTTACCTGCTCGTTGCTTCATCCAGCACGATAATCCTACTCGGCTTGAGCATGGCTCGCGCCAATGAGAAAAGCTGTTTCTGACCCTGACTGAGCAGTTCTGCGTTAAACCGGGCATGAAGACCACCGTTCGTCTCGATCAAGTCCAACAGCTCAACCTTCTCGAGCGCTGACCGCATATCCTGATCCGATGCAAGGCCAGATGGGTCGAGGTTCTGGGAAACCTTCTCATAAAAAAAGTACGAGTCCTGGGGGACAATGTTGAGTGCGGACCTGACAGTGTTGCGGGGTAAATTGCGGACATTGACCCCGTCAATGTAAATGGACCCGTCGGTCAAGTCAAGCATTCGGGCGAGAGCTAAGACGAGAGAGCTCTTGCCGCTTCCACTACGTCCACAGATTGCAACCTTCTCACCACCCTTGATCATGATCGATACATCTTGAAATGCTAGGCTTGCCATTTCGTCGGCCTTGTAGCTGGCCGAGATGGAGTCTAGACGTACATCTCCAGTTCGAGGCCATGCTGTGGGTGGCACGTCCGTCCCTTCTCCCAATTCTTCGGATGCTGTACTCTCCTGGAAGGACTTTGTACGAGCAATGGCTCCAATAGACGTCTCCAGGTTAGTCCAATTGATGACAATCCTCTTTAGCTCCGCGCTGATGGTCATAAGATTGACCAAAGCCACACCGAGGAATGTTGTGGAAGAACTCAATCGGACAGCTACGGCTATCAGAACGACTGCAGTGACGGCAATCATAAGCTCCAAAACCAACTGTAGCCATCGTTGTACCATGTAAAGAAGGTACAAAGGCCGCTGTGACGCATCGATTAGTTTTTGGTTCAAAGCAAGACTTTCGCTGGCCCATCCAAACGAACGAATTGTAGTGATACCGTGTAAAGTCTCTAGAAAGTGTGTGTACAAGGGAGCCTTTGCTTCGAGCTCGAGAAAGCGGAGCTGGCGCGAGGTGCGGAGGTAGAAGCCCTGTATAGCGAAGAGCAGCAGGAGCAGGAATGGGTAGGCGATGGCTACGTAGGGCGCAGCAACTGCGATAATGACCAATTGAACCAGGGCAACTAGGCCTGCAGAAACGGTATCCAATAGAGCCAATGGAAGTTCCCCGTCGATGAGGATGATGTCTTGGGAGAAGCGATTTAGTGTGACACCCATATCCACCGTGCTGAAGAATGACAGAGGCGCTCGCATCAAAGTGTTGAGAGCCACTTCATGTAATGCAGATCCGGATTTGACAGCAATTGAAATCAAGGTGTGACCCGCAAAGAGGGCAAGAAAGACTAGACCAAGAGTTTGGAATACCGAATAGACCACCATATAGTACGTGTTGCGATCCTCCCCGGATGCAATTGCGCTTGCCCAAAAGTTGAGCCATACCGGCCCAATTGTAGAAAAGACAGCCCATCCACACTGGTAGGCAGCAAATACTAGCATTCTCCAAAGCCCAATGTGGCCGAACATGTACTTGTAAATGGTGGGATCGCCTAAGCGCCTTTTGAGATCATTTGACATGTCCAAGTCCGGGACGTCACCCGGAAAAGTCAATTCCTTTGGGACACCAACAGTGTCTGTCGTAGTCTTATCAAGATCGTTGTTATTGTCTCGAATAGCCAATGATTTGATATATTCCGAGCTTTGGGCCATTTTTTCGTACGTCCCACTCTCTGCTATCCGTCCATCTTTGCTTAGGACGATGATATGGTCTGCTTGTGGGAGAGCCGAGATATCGTGCGTAAAGAGTAGAACGGTACAGTTCATCTTGCGAAGGAGTCCCTGCGGTCCAAACACGTGCTGGAACACATGGTCCTTGGTCGTCGCATCTAAACCGCTCAAAACATCATCGAACACGGCCAACGATGCCCGCGCGTAAACCGCTCGTGCTATGGTTAGTCTTTGGCGCTGGCCACCACTCAAAGCCACGCCTCTGCTACCAACTTGAGTCAAATCGCCACCCGGGAATGACGAAATATCTTTGGAGAGATCGACCGCCTGGCATACATGTTCGTACCAATTGTTGTCAAAATGAGAGAATCCAAGGATGTTATCTCGCAGAGAGCCATTCATGAGGAAAGGTTCCTGGTCACAGTATGCGATGTTTTGACTTTCGATTTCGAGATGAACTTGACCCTCTGACCAAGGTAATTCGCCAACAACAGCTTTGCTGAGAGTGGTTTTCCCACAGGCCACAGGTCCAACCACGACAGTCAATCTGTTCTTAGGGACGTCTAAATCAATTTCTCTCAAAATTGGCTTCGCATCAATCCACCCGAAATTCCCATTTCGGATGGTGATGGCATTGTGATTTTCGCCCTGGGCTTCCTTTTTGTATGCTGCCACATCGTCGGATGAAACAGTGTCCCCATGGATTCCGCCCGCAGTGATCATGCGTGTGTTATGATTGTCCCGAGCGGCGAGGTAGCTTCCAATACGACCAAGACATCCAAGGGAGGCAATGAATTGAGGTATTGATTGAAAGAGATTGGCAAGAGGCTGACTCATGAGCTGAAGCAAAGACAATGACGTGAATATACTCGTGCTATTCAGAGATGTTCCTGAGCTCCTGGATTGAAGCAAGAACACCATGAATGTGAAAACAGGTGACAGTAAAAGTGGAACAAATGCAATGATGGCTGTCAACACCTCGATATATCGAAAGTGCCGGGCGGCGCCGAGTTCCTTCGACCGCAAGCTTCTGAGCATTGCATGTATGCCGGTCGATAGTCCGAGGAGCTTGACGCCCTTCATGTCTCCGATGCATTTGCCGATTTTGCTGACGCGCTCTTGTGTCGCTTCCATCCATTTGACCTGGCTTTTCTCGGCGTACTTGCTTATGAGGAACGACCCGCAGCTTGACAGAACCGTCACAACAGCCGGAGCAACACAGGCGATGCCAAGTTCTCCGTAGAGGAGCCATATCGAAATGGCGACCTGGACTGTGTTGGCCCAGATCTCATGAACATCTTTGAAGCCTTGAATAAGACGTTCCATATCAGTACTCATCAAGGCCACTGGGGCGGTCATGTCGTATCGGGCTACGTCGATGTTGACTGTCTTCTCATAGATAGCTGCAACAAGACAACCGCGCATCCTCACTAGGCCTTTATATGTCAAGCGCCAGTACCAACAAGTTGAGATTGCCAGGCATAGATAGACTAGACCATATGCACCGATAAATCCATAACCAGTACTGATCATGGGGCTCCCGAAACCTTGGATATAGTTGAGGAATTCACGGAGTAAGAGCGGCTGGCAGATTGTACAAGCTATCTGGACGATCCGTGGTATAACTGGCCCCAAAAATGACCATTTGAGAGTTTGCAGAAGAGCTAAGACGGTCCTGTTAACCAGACTGCGTCCCGCTCCCGATGCCCAGGCTGCACGAAACAATTGTGACAATTTGGAAGTCGCAAGTCCGGATTCTAGCGGGTATAGATCATCGGGTTTCATGATATGCCGGTGACCTTTGGCTAGAATACGGCGCAGCCACAGTAGGATGCTTTGAGCATAGATGCCGCTCTTTTCCTCGGGACTTTTTCGATCCCATGCTGGAGGCAGGAACCGGCCTTTCTCGACGCTTTCCTGGATCAAAAGGCAGATTTTCAGAGCAAGAGAGGTTGTGAAGAGTGCCGCGATGGTGGAGTCGGAGCCCTTCAGCCACAAGGTGCGAGTCTGCGCCGCATCGAACAGCACTGAAAGCAAAAGATAGACATTCAGCAAAGCGGATGGGCGTGGCGAATAGGCGTGCTCAGCCCACGACAGCGCTGCCAAAGGGAAGACGGCGACAAGCGAGAGAACTGCAGAAGCCAGGCTCACTCGTGTCTGGTGGCTACTAGACTGGGCCCACAAGGCCAATAGGGCAGTCTGCACAATCCCATAGCAGACAATGCCGACCAATTTGAAGCGCTGGAACTTTGTGCCCAAAACTTCCCTCTTCCGGTGGGATAGAAGAGTGCGAAGACGAGCAACACCGAGTACTACAAGGAGAGACGACGGGAGGATGGATAAGATGGTTTGCTCAAAAAGCAAGGTGAAGTCGAAGTCGCCCCTGCAGCCCTGGATAGCAGGGCCAAAGCTGGCGTCGTCGCACAGCGTAATATTAGCCATGAGTTCATTGAATGTAAGATATTCCGCGACAAATCGCAAAGACGTTCAATTGAAGTGGTCGGGCGCCGTGAAAGAGTCGGTCCAGCAATCAATTGATGGTCAATGGCAGTACTTGGTGTTCAATCAAAAGAGTGATGTATTGGAGGAGGTGACGCTAATGGGGCTCGGCTACGCCTCGCTAAAATCCCCTACCTTGGGGGATGGCCCGTATGTACCCCCTGCCAACAAGTTAGCGAAGAGCGGCGGTCGTTTAGTGTGTGTGTGCAGTGACTTGGATACTACTATGGTAAGACTACCTGACGTAGGTACTAGACGCGGCACAATCTGACTTACACACCCAGGTATGTACACCCCAGCCCAAGTAATCCTTGAGGGTACATCGCTTGCAAACAAACAATCAACATTTGCTTTTTACATACATATGCATGTAGGGATCGGGGAGATCCCGCAGAAATTCAAGCCTCATGTGGCTGTGCTGTAACAGCAGCGACCAGCATTGCCGCAAAGATTAGAGGCGTTCAGGACTGCCTAAATGTGTCAGTAGGGGGGTCATTGCATTCAAGTTTGAAGCTTTTACAAAGGCACTGGAAAGGTTCCAAGTCAAAAACAACGGACTCTTCAGGCCCAATCTTACTTGAACAAAGCCCTGCAGGTGGTCTGCTACGCCACGCGAAGAATTATGGTTGCACACATGTATTACTTGAGGGTATAATTGGGCACGTGACGTCGAGCCGGAAGCAATTATTATGCTAGAGACTTATGTCAATTACTCTTGCTTGCTAGGTACATGCATAAGGTGGCACTTGTCACTGTAACCTCCGGTGAAAAGGGTCAGTAGTCTGCGGAGAGAGGCACGAACATCATGGTTGACGAAGAGGAGCGCTCGGCGACTATGCATTTCTATGCATTTCTCTATACTATCACAACGAGAGTACATGGTCATGACCAAGCCTCGGTCAGAAAGCCACGAGAACATCACTGTGACCAACAACGCAAGACGCAGAACTTGATCCCTCAATCGTTTGCGGATCATGCAATCTTCCACAATCCCAACCTTTGTTGCTATCTAAGCACCCCAGTTCTCACATGCATGGTGCATCAATAGCTTGAATAGTACCACCAGCCTTAGTAATTCCAGCGGATCAGGCCACAGTCGGGGAATTTGCGCCAAAGTAGGGCACTCAGACCATGCATTGGGTTCACCTCCATTTGAGCGTGCGCGCAGTGATCCCAATGTTCCCATTGTGACAGATACGAGTCGATTGTGTGTAGTCCTCTACGAGATACAGCTGTGAAGAGTCTCCGGTTCATCTCGGCACAGTGACGCTGGTGAACTGCATCTTGTAAGCATCTGAACATGGACAATTGTTGACAATACTTACATTCCCACTCAACGAGTAGAAAGTCGTGCTCTCCTTTGGAAGCCTCTTCAATAGTGACTTCTTGTGTGCGGTTTGGCTGTAGCCAGAATCTCCAGTTTGTGTATTTTCTGAAGTTCTCCTCTGTTTCCTCGTCGTAGCATTGTGGGTGCAGCCATGCGCCGTAGAGCAGGCCAAATTTACAACCACGTTCCCTTGCTTCAGCAGCACTGTTGCCGCAGGGGTTCATGTAAGTGAACTCAGCATTTGGGTTCTTGACGGAATCACGGCCCGTTTCTTCAATCGCATAAACGCGGTTGTCGTCTTCGGACGCGCATGAATTGTCCTTGTGTCCTCCCATGTGTCCCATGTGCGAGCCGTGCGAGCCATGCGTGCTGGTTATACCATGGGGTTCTGTATTGCTGGACGAGCCCAAGAAAGACGGTGCAAGCCATCTCGCAAGGAGTACTATCAAGCCTGCATGCAAGACCAACACAAACAAAAAGAAGATTGTTCTCAAAACAAGATTGAAGCGACTTTTCGCGGGTCGTCTTCCGTCAAACACATAGTCTTTCTCTTCTGGTGACAGGAACGACTGAGATGCACCATCAGCACTCAGAGATCCGCGATCAACAGGTGAATAAACTTGTCGGTCTGTCATCTTGAGAAAGTACTTGCGAAGAGTCGACATTGACTTTTGTGAATCAAGACAGATTCCAAAGGTAGGTGATGATGTTGAGGGCGAGAAAGGATGTTGTGGGTTGTAGAGTGTGTTGGGACGGTAAATATGATTTAAAAGTTGGATTGGTCAAAAGGACCATGTCAGTATTCGAGATCAGTAGCTTTCATTCAAACCTCGAATCGAATCATAATGACAATTGATCTACATTGGATTGTATAGCAAAGTGGAGTCGACCGAATTGTCGCCGATTGGCCCCCTCGTCTTGGCAGGCATAAAAATGGAGTATTGCGTGAGGCCTTCGTATGATTCTCAAAGCGGCAAAATGCATACGACAGAACAACTCATCATTGTCGTCATGAAAGCCTGCAATATGCCGAAGATCAAAGTGCGGGGTGATGGAATCGCGGCATCAATGCATGAGAGGCGATCATGAAGCCAGCAGATCATATCGTACTGCAGCCAGCTGTCGATTATTACTTGGTTTGGTCTCAGCAATTGCATCTAACAGCAGCTAGCTCAAACCATAAGCTTACCTACATTGTGATATTTGCACAACTATAGATATCTGCCTTCAGATCATGGCAGTCACCTGCCACTTTGGTAGATGGAATCGACCATCAAGCGGCGAGTCTTGAATATGCATTAGCTTATCCGCGCGATACTGGCCCCTGCGTGACTATACCTACAGGTCTTTGATCTGCGTAAATAATATATCACTTTCGGATGACCAAAAGCAGTACTGTCGATCACCTTTCACCACGGCAGGCAAGTACGGATCCAAGTTGTTGACTAGTCAACATGCAGTCAGCTGATATGTGACATCGTGAGAGCTTCAAAGATGCAGCTAGCAAACGCTGTACCACCCACTCAGTGCCACCCGGACTGCCTTGCCGATATAGCACATGGGGTAGACCATGATTGTCGCCGAGCTTCATCGAGTTACCGAGCCTGCTGTATTAGCCGCCGAACGTAACCTCACAAGAGATGTGTTGATTTTCTCAATTGTATAGACGACGCCATATATCCCAAGCTAAACTCCCTTGCCTATTTTGTTACCATCAAGAGCATCAGAGCATCTACACACGTCGTAAAATCCTGTCATTCACCGTCTTCACCATGCAAACATCTTTCACCGCAATTCTCAGCCTATTCTTGGTTGCAAACACACTAGCTGCGCCAGTCGACAATGCAGCGATCTCCAAACCCACCATCAAGCGCGATACTGAACCCTTTAATGTGGTGAAGCGCGATACTGAGCCCTTCAACGTTGTCAAGAGGGATTCTGAGCCATTCAACGTTGTGCGCGACACTGAGCCCTTCAACGTTGTCCGCGATACAGAGCCATTCAACGTGGTGAAACGCGATACTGAGCCATTCAACGTTGT